ACAACTTTGTCAGATAAATACATTCGAAAATATGTACATACAATATCGCTTGCATTAATAACAATTGTAAACTTATCAGAAAGCTTCTCTACCACAAAAATTCCTAACAAAGAACTATCCATAGGATACTCATCTAGTTTACTACGAATTATATATTTTTGTGCCTCAAATCTTACATTCTCATTTTTGCATTTAGTAAGCAAATTTGTTAAAACTAATATATCTCCTGATTTATGCAAGAAGCAATTGTCACCTATTTTACACGCGTGTTCAAACCATAGTGAATTATTTTTGTCAGGTTCTTTATCTTCCCTTTCCAAACTTTGCATTTCCAAAACTCTTTTTGCAACCTGTTGCAGTTTGAAATTATGCGAATGCAACATGTGTTTGATTTTCTGCATAAAGTTTTCAAAGGGGAAAGTACTTATGCTATCAAGATTCCCGTAATTTACTGCATCGATATTTATGTGTAAGAGATTGTGCACATTGTATATTAGGAACTCGCGTCCATAAAGTGCACAACAATTTTCAACAAATTTACAAAGATAAGATTTTGCTAAACTGTTCCACTCAGGCTCAGAAGCATTAGAAGATAACAATATGAAAATGGCACAGTGAAATAACAAAAACATTTATATTGCTTTCTATCTTTTATCCCTTTTAAAGCAACAACTCCTGTATAAAGCAGAAAAGTTCTAAACTCCGTAGCTTTAAAGTGATCAATTTCAACAAGAGACCTTGGCTTTCTTTGAAAGCTTGAAGGAAAGAATGGTCTGAGTCGAAGTAGACGTTTGGATATTAATAAAACGTCCCTACTTGGTAATCTATGTGGTAGCTTTCCTTTTACCCACATCCTTAGTAATTTTCGGGTTACGCCCAAGCACACCAGGTGCATGTAATCCAGAGGTACCTGACTAACTAAACCAATTGAAATACATTTTAGTATTGTTTCCCCATTATGATGATCCTCATCGATCATTTCTTCAAATGACAAATCAGATCGGGGATTGCAATTTGAATCATGGTAAATTACCCTACCACTCCACGTACCCTCTTCATTACACCGTTCACACCCATGATAAGCATTATGTGCTTTACAATTTTTCAGAAAACTGCGAGCTGGAGCATCAGCAAGAATGGCAGAAATTCGAAAAGAAAATGGCTTCCCAGCAACAATACAATTCTCTTCCAATTCTTTGCATTCTTGCACAAAGGGTTGAAGGAACTGTTGGTCGGTAGGTTTAGAATTTCCATAATACAAAGCAATAACAAATGGAGTTTGGCATTGGCTTTGATCAAGAACTCCTAAAACAGGCCAGAATTGTTTGTTATTGCTTTTGGAGACAGGTATCCCATCCACTCCAATCCTTACGCTAAGCAATGGATGAGGTACCTGGTTCTGAAGCTTAATATGTATTGGGGAGCTAAATTGTGACAATGGACGAAGACCAGCTAGAAAACGATCTGTTACGCCACTCATAATACCAAAATAGACAAAAGACCCACCACTAGCTTGTTGAACATTAACCAATCGAGTTGTTTCCATTAAAGTCCTTGGATCAAGGGGTAAATCGCAAGGAATGTTATGACCATGTATAATTTTTAGTAAATCTCTAAGACAACTGTGGTTTACATTATGCTTTAAAACCCAGCTCCTAATTTCCTGGCCAATAGGGACAATTGTTTCTTGTGACATATCGATATACAATTCGTTTTCGTCTTCTATATTAATATTAGTTTGTGATGAAGCTAGACCTGAATTTAAATGATTTACATTTTTATCTAAACAATCTGTATGAGAATAACAATTAATATTCCGTGTATTAGTATTTGTACTTTTAAAACTATTCGCGCTCGGGGCACCTCGCATTTTTTCTAACAACCTCTTCAGTTGTTCTCGTCGTTTTCGTTGTTGGGAACGGAGAGACTTCGCGACGCGCCCAGACATCTTGTTTCCGCCCTCGAGTCGCTTTTATTTTTGACCCATTTCTTAATTGCAGCTTCCGCCTTTGCAGTTGTAAATTGCTCACCACCACTAGTTGCCCGAACACTACCTAAATAGTTAATAAATTATTTCATTATTACTGACCGTAACATTATTTATATTATCCTCATTAGTTTTTTATAAAATAGAAGGTAACTGCCTGCTTACTATTGATCAAATCTATAAGCCCGGAATCACGAAAACCACGCAAGACCCCTTTTCCCACCCCCGTTAAAGTTACAATTTTGGCAATATTCTTAGCAAACAGATAATCCAAAACGCGTTTGCTTATCTCCTCGGAGTTTGCTCCGCCCAAAATCCTTAGTTTCGCAACCTAGTTAACCGTTCAAAAATATTAAATAAATTTTTCAGCCCGTATCACCAAATAATTTGCCGTGTGACATATCATGTGCCGCAAGTTCAAACAGCTTACCAACTTTATTTTGTTCTCTCGAGTTTTTATCCACTCTGACAACTTGTCAAAATTCTCAATAGTAGTCACAGGGAGAGTTGGGTGGTCGCATGCTATCTCCTCAACTATGCCACCTACGAGGTTCGACCGCCGCAGCAATTCCTCCAAATTCCCGTTAATTTTTACGAGGTTTTCCGCCACTGTCAATTGTAAATCTGTAAAAGGAGAAATTACAAATGGTATTTGCAAATTTGATGAGGCACAATTTTAACACTCATGTTTACTTTTAAGCTCTGTTTTTATGTTTTCAAGTTCTTGAAGGGGGACGACAACATAATTCGAAACATCATCAACTACTTCTATTTGTCGCTCACTCGATCCACCCTCCTGGCCATTAATCTCCACGTTGTCGTCGTCTGGTGCAGTATCTGTATTTGACGGAATCTCGGATTCTAATCGAAAGCAAAATTAACAGTGTGTTATTATATTACATGCATACTAATACTTGAAAAAATGCACTTAGAATTGATAAAATTATGGCATAATGCTCACCACCTAAATTTAAAAAGTTGGTCGTAGGGACGTTTTCTTCCTCGTTCGATGAGAGACTGTCCGATTCCTGGTCGGCAGAAAACGATGCTGGCTTTTTAACTTGAATCTTCTTACGACGGGGTTTTGTCTTGGAAAAGTGGGGGCTCTCGGGCGCTGACGAGTCGACCTCCGACTGAAATTGAGCCTTGTCACGGTAGCGATTAGCTTCTTCTAAAGAGTCTATAAAAAACAAAGAATTTCTTAATTAAATTATTTAAATTTAATTACTTTGAATCGTTAAATGAATGTTTACAAAATTTCTACAAAAATTTTATTTAGTTTAAATTACCTGCAAATTTTATATGTTTACAAGGATACTTTGGCCAGGCTTTTTCAGGCGGTGCAAAAGTCTTTAATTTGTCGGCAGCACAGGGTCCAGAAGGCCAAGCGCAGTATTTCAAGCGTGCATCCAGCCAAGAAGTCAAAACCGTTGCTACTTTTTTCTCTTTATAAAAATTCACAACTGAAAATTTTGCACTTGCCATTGTGGATAAGATGGAGGCAGATGAGTGAATGAAAGAGCGAGCCGCATGGAGTGGATCAAGTTTCCCTCTAATTCTTTATAAAAATGCTATTCGTATTCGGAATGAATGAGAAAAAATGAGGTGCGATTTTGATGCGTTAATCAGTGTATGATATGAATTCGATCGTGAGGAGAAAGTCCACGGGATCCAAAACACTCCTATATCGTATTCTATCCGCATTCGATATGACGCCAACGAACGTATTCGTTTTCAGGTTCTTAATTTGCATGCTAAACGAATGCGCTTATAATACGATAAATCGAATCGAATCGAATCGAACGTATATCGAATTAACGCAATGCGAAGAGCATTCGATACGCAATCTTGTGCATACCGGGTAAGTACTGTCACCTCTCGATTTCCTTCCAAATGGCCTTAATCGACAGATAATTTGGTTAAACTAAAACTTTATCATAGAACATGCGGTGCAAAATCACGTTTTCGCGAAATATTTGGCGAGAACTGCACCAAAACCTGTCATTTTCCCAATGCTTTTAACATAGCCATCAGCCTTTCGAATGATGTAATGAACTTTAAGGAATATTGAAAAATTATATAGTTACCCGTCCGCGTGATTTCAGCCCGATTACGAATATGTAAAAAGTGATGCAAGCTTTTGCCAATTTTTTGCAAATTGCGAAAATCGGAAAAATTTCGCAAATTCGAATTTCTTCCTTTTTTAAATTCAACAAATTTTTCAGTTTAACTGATATACAAAACATTTCTCTTATTGCAAAAAAAATGCAAAAATTTGCAAAAACTGAATTTAGCAAATTTTTCATGAAAGTAAGTTAAATAACCAATGCTAGTCTATTTTTACGTATTTTTCGAAATTATTTGCGGTATTTATTTTTACAAGTTGCAAAAACTTACAGGGTGCAATTTTTTAATTGAATATGTAGAATTTTTTGCAATGTTTGCATGTTTTAATTTTCCAACAAATTAACTTTGGTTTTATTCGCTCATACCTACATATGTGACAATTTTAAGTTTCTATAAAATTTAAACATTGGAACCTTCAATTTTTGCAAACTTTTGCAAATTTTTTGCAATAAGAAAAATATGTTTTGTATCAGTTAAACTGATAAATTTGTTGAATTTAAAAAAAACGAAGAAATTCGAATTTGCTAAATTTTGCAGATTTTCTCAATTTGCAAAAAATGTTCAAATCTTTGCATCATTTTTTGCATATTCGTGATCGGGCTGAAATTACGTAAGTACAAATATAATTTATTAAGATTCTACAAAGTTCATTTCATAATTCGAAAGGCTGATGGACATTTTAAAAGCATTGGGAAAATGGCAGGTTTTGGTGCAGTTCTCGCCAAATATTTCGCGAAAATGCGATTTTGCACCGCATGTTCTATGACAAAGTTTTAGTTTCACTAAATTATCTGTCGATTAAGGCTATTTGGAAGGAAATCGAGAGGTGACAGTACTTAAGGTTCCCTTGTTAGATGAGCGGATCTTGATCGACTTCCCGACCGTGATGACAAACTTGGTGGAGGAATTGGAACAAGGAATGTATGCTGCGGGAGATGACATGGTGATGATATTATTAATTAATTAAGTAATTAATTTTTCGTTTTTATGTGAATTTTAATATTTTGTATTTGCACAGGTCTCACCGGATGCTGGGATGCAAGTGTACCACATGGCGGCCAAGCTTTGGGCATCCGCCCCAATATCTGAGGATATCGAGGTGGCAAGAAAGTGGGGTCAGTTGTTGGACGAGATGGAGAAGTTTTTAGAAAAAAGGGCAAATATTTAGTTGAGAAGTCGTAATATTTGCATGCAAATTTAACCTTTCGCGTGGGTGATGATTATTTAATATGTACTGGAATTTTAGATTTCATAAGTACTTAATTTGAGGAGGGCAGATAATATAAACTCCAATTTAATACAAACTCCAAGAATACAACTATTCTCATACATTCACATTCATGTGTAAATACATGATCCATAGCTTTATTTGCAGGCCACATTATGTAGCAGAATGCGTGGAGGCTTAATAAAATTAATATTAGTAGAAATAAATTCCTAGAATTTATTCAGCCTGAAAACTAAGTTCAGTTCAGTTAAATAAATATTGTATGTAAATAAACCGTAGTAACGTTAGACGTAGCTCACCCTGTCATAATGATTTCCATATAACTTTCGACCAAAGGTACGGAATAAGGCGACAAAATAGATTATAACTCTCATAGATTATTGCACCAATGGTGTAATATAAACGGAAAAATTAAAAAAAACGAAAATAGTTTGCACCACTAGTGGAACATTAGCGACCAACGGGATACATAATTTTGAAAACTTTGAAAAAATTGTATGGTTCCTTATCCCGACATTCTGCATCATTGGTGCGTATGGCATCCCTTTCCAAATTATTTATTATATAATTTATATATTTTAGCGTCAATGGTGCAGAAAAATCGAACAAATAGAACAGATTTTTGGGGGGAAATAGATGGTCCAATTGTTACGCCTCATTGATTTTTGGGGGTAAATAAAGGGCCCAATTGTTACGCATCATTTTTAATAACCAATTGCTCGGTACTAATGGTGCTACTTATTCCATAATTATAGTCCTATCTCGATGTACTTGCACAATTAATTCGCACCATTTACGCCACGGATTATTCGATACCAATGGTGCGCCGAACTTATCCAATAATGGTCAAGGGGATTTTTAATTAGCATCAATTGATGCAAAAAACTCGTTAACAGACGGACAGACAGACAGACAGACAGACGGACAAGGGGAATTCAATAGCTCTCATGCTACGCAGGGTGAGCTAATAATGCATATACATACATGTATGCACGAATTCATTTAATAAGTTTGATCTACATATATAATATTATGGAAACTTATGTACTTATTTATATTTGTAGATCTAAATTGAAGTTTGAAAACAAAAATTTATTCATTACATAAATCACTTAAATGATTATCTTAAGAATAAATATGATGTACTTCATATTTGTCGAATTATTAACTTTCTACACACATATCTAAACGAATTATTCCACTTGCATGTTTATTCATTTCATACATGGTAAACTCATTTATTTATGTATGTAAATATATTTTTGTACATATTATTTTTATTAAATCCTAAATTATAAGAATGATCTATGAACTTGGTTTACCTATGTGTTTAAATTTCTATTCCGTATCTGTATTGCATAAATGTATGTATGTACATATCTTGGGGGTATTCACGTCAACATCTTATGCCGCATAGAAGCTCCTGTAGCAATTTGTAAATCTAAAAACTTTGTGTCATGAGGGGATTTGAAAAATATTAACATTGTAAAACCAAACAAATTTTCCTATCTTGGTTTAGTTTTCATAGATTTCTATAATTTTGTGAACTAAAGACATACCCAATCGCTGGGTAAATTTGTGTCCAACTTTGTTTTTTAGTTAAATAAGAATTTACTCAACTTATCCGTCCCGTTGTACATATCTATGTAACATACATAGTATGTATGTAAATGCATGCATATTTATTAATCGGATGGCATTATTTATAAGTAATACGTACGTACGTGTGGAAATTTGTATTTACTTACAAAGGAAACGCACAATCCAATAATGGTGAAAATGGTCGTATGCACAATTTTTCCGTTGTATGAGTAGTAGAACTGTAGGTGTTTTTTCGCCAAAGATTTCTCGCCCGCTTTATTTCTTATGGGAGAAGCCACGGATTTCTCACCCACTTTATTTCTTATGGGAGAAGCCACGGATTTCTCGCCCACTCTATTTCTTATGGGAAAAAAAGACTTTTAAAATTTCAATCCAAATTTAATTTGTATTTATTTTATTCATTGCAACATATTTTAAGTTTGATGCGAAATTTATGAAACTTTAGGGCGACCATCCTTACATCGTCACTAATCCTAAGTCTATCCAAGTTCGAGACGAGCGTGGTCATCTCGTCAATAATTTGACCACTTTCTGGAACAATCGCGACATGGTGCTCAACGGAGGGCTGGACATTCTGCCCAAGCCTGGAGATACGGATCCATTATTTTTGTATGTATGCCTAAAGCATCTTGACCACCAAGAGTTCACCTATATCATTGAATTGGTAAGAAATACGAAATAATTTGAAAAAATATGACCTAAATGTGCTATTCTTTCAGGAAAACCAAGATGAGAAAGATCGCAGCGTTTTTGTCCGGCTTTACATGGCTCCGACATACAACCCGGATCGAGAAAGGTTCAATTTAACAGAACAATACCCGCTCTTCTTTGCCATGGATGCCTTCCCGATCATGCGTACGTGCATATTTTAGACCCCACGTATTTCAAAATTTCCTAATAAATTGTTTATTGGCCTCTAGTTAGCCCTGGAGCCAACACAATTCACCGAAAGTCGGCCGACTCAACGGTTACCAATCCCTGGTTTACATTGACGTCCGAACTTCCACCCACTGCTTCACTGGAAATTTTGGAAAAACGTGTCCATGCGGGTACCCCCACCACCTTCTCCTTCCCAAGGGCTCCGATGACAATTTGGGCGTCTACGACCTCGTCGCCATGGTGACGGATGGGTCCGACTACAATGGGCAACCAACCGACCTCTGCGCCTCATCTTACATGCACTGCTCCAGGCTGGACGGTAACCTCGAGTATCCGGACACTCGACCGATGGGTTGGCCATTCGACAGACGACCAAGCGACGAGCTGAGCCAGGCTTATTTGGACAGGTTGGTTCAACAAGTGCCAAACATGGCGAAGACAACCGTGACGATTGTGCATAACGATGTAGAACCGAAAGAACATGTCATCTAGATGAGTTGGAAGGAAGGAAAGTGTGTTAATAATTGGCTATATTTATTATCATTTAATCAATTGGCGAAATTATGAAAAATATTTATTGGTTGAAAACTTTGAATTATACAACGGCGTGACTTCTGGAGACGAATAAATAATTTTTGATCTGGTCATAATTAAAAAAATTGTTGTTTTAAGGAGTTAATTTCAAGATGTATTCTTAGTCAAGGCTATTTCATGATGGTATGCAGAGTGACCTCGAACCCATATTTTCATGCAAGATCAATTGTGAAATATGCACATACATTTATTTCGTAAATATTTTTCATTCACTCAAACAATTTATCTATTTATCCCTTGTTATTCTGTAATGCGAGGGCACAATCAATGAGGAAATTCACTCAAGCCTTGGTAACATTGTAAAATTTATAAATTCTTCAAACTTACCAAGTTTCACAAAATTTTATGAGCATTTCGAAGGAAAATTAGCTTGTACCTATGTACATATCGGTTTCATTGTCACATGAAAATGGCGTCATAATGCATACAGTAGTAGAACTGTAGGTGTTTTTTCGCCAAAGATTTCTCGCCCGCTTTATTTCTTATGGGAGAAGCCACGGATTTCTCACCCACTTTATTTCTTATGGGAGAAGCCACGGATTTCTCGCCCACTCTATTTCTTATGGGAAAAAAAGACGGGTCCTCATCACACACTTCTTATGAGGAAAAAGAGGGCTCCTCGCCACATATTTTCCTTACGGGAAAAAATACGGGTTCTCGCCACCATACATTGCCTTATGAGGGAAAAAGACGGTTAGGGCTTCTCGCCACAAGGCCTTTATAGCATGGGTATGTATTGCAAGGATATGTTGTCTGCTTATAGTAACCAAAGTCTCAGATGTATTTTCATGTGTCGAAAAATATTGGCGGGACAACTCAAATTACCCCAAGTATCTCAAAATGCCCCAATTGTCTCAAGTTACCCCTCTATGCCATAAATTACCCCTGGTGTCTCAAATCACCCCAAATGACTAAAATTATCCCAAATCTCAAATTACCCGAACAACGTATTTCCTATGGGAAAAAATCTGCCAGATGGGTGTACATGGGTTGACAAGAAATGATGGCGGGACATTTGAGACTTTAGGTCTCAATTTATGTTCTCCCAAATTATCCAAGTGTGTCAATTTACCCCCAAATGTCTCATGTTATCCCATTTGTCTCAATTTATTCAAGTATCCCAATTTATCCAAATACCTCAATTTACCCCAATTAAATATTTCAAAGCACCCCAAATATTCCAAAATACCCCGAGCCTTTTCTACGGCTCCGCCCAATGCCTCTTCCTTACAATACATTTCTTATGGGAGAACTTATTCCCATAGCGTTTAAGGATAGACACCTTTGTTATGAGACCAAGGTATATGTATGATGTAGTAAGTCATCATGTAAGGGTATGCCAGTATTTGTTATGTCCCGTCCTATGCTTTAAGTTTTATTATGTATAGAAAAGGTTGAAAAAGTGGAGTTCAACCTTTTTGTTGGTGGTAGTGTTGATACTAATAAGCAAGTTACGAGAAAAAGATTGAAAAAAGGTAGAGTGAAACGTTTCTGAAGTTAGTGGTGATACTAATGATGACGCAATTTTTCATAAACGTTTGAAATAGTACTTATGAAGGTTTATCTACAAAAATATAGCGTTATTTGTGAAAATATGATATTCACGCATGAAAAAACTTATTGTTTTAAAAACATGAAAAATTATATATGAAAATTGTTTGCAGTAATGAGATGAAATAACAGATCAGAAGTATTTATAATTAGCATTTATTGTCAAAGATTTGTTAACTAATTCTTAAAATTGTGTTTATTTATTATGCGCCGTAAATTTGACTGAGTTCTTGTCTAATGTAAACCTTTCCCATTTATTTATTATCATAAGTAAAGTTGGGATATGTAGGTGAGGCAGTGCCTAAGTACACAACACACAAACTTGTAGAAAAATTATCTCCCTTTAACTTTATTGCGTTAAAAACAAAACACTAAAACCACTTGATTTTTAAGCCGCATTAAAAGACAATGTTGTTGGTTTGCACAAGAATTAGAAGGTTTTTGATCTTTTATTTTGAGTAATTTGGAAAGTATGCAGTTGTTCATTTAGCATTGAGTAGGTTTCAACGTTTTCTTACTGGTAATCAAGCGTATGGATTATCATTTGGGAGACCTTCAGACGATCTTACGATATCAGTAAGTAATTTACGAGTCACAACCATTTCTCCATTCTTTGCCGCCTGCATAATAGACGCTATTACATTTTTCACATGTTCCCCAAACGTTAACATTTTCTCCTCTTGGGTTTGGGGGAGTTCTAGAAACTGCATCAATTTTGTTAACACATTCATCGAATCTTCATTGCTTAGCATCAATTCTACTCCATGAATATGATACTCAGAAAGTGGTTCACCCCAAAAATCTACACGGTCAGGCTTATGCAATGTCCGACACACCTTACAGCATTCACCAGAAGTTCCACTTGCCTGACTTTCTGTATCATCTTCTTCCTCTTCTTCGTCCGAAGACGCGTCTGAACTTGAATCTCGACTGTCCCCTTCTCTACTACAATTTGACAGCTTGTTCCTTCTTCCACCTCGAGATCGTCTTTCTTTTTTTGCTTGGGGTTCATCATCGGAGCTAGTTTCGTTGGACTCTGATGTGTCCGCTGAGTCATCCTGGTTCGTTTCAGCATCATCAGAATTAAACAACGTCACTTTGTGAAACCCAGTTTTATGAGTACTTAAAGCCTGTTCAGAATTGAAGTGTCTGGAGCAGCGACTGCATTTGTAAACCATCTTGATATCACCTCTCTAGGTCAACTGTCTGACGATAACAGCAATCTCTTCTTTTATACTGGTCCGAAATTATTAAGCCATCTGAAAGATATTATGATTTGAGGTAAATTCATATGTTTACACATGTAATTACATATGCACACATGTGTACACGCACAAATGTATGCATATGTGCACACACATATGTATACATATGTACACATACATATGTATACATATGTACACATATGTACACATACATATGTATACATATGTACACATATGTAAACATAGACATAAACATAAACATAATTCCTTTTCTCAAAAGGAATCATACTTTGCAATCAAATTTTTATTTTAATTAAACCTAACCCCCAAATTAATTAGGGTTGGACTGAGTGAGGTGGAAAATCAAATCAATTGATCATATGGAGGTAGATCTTTTGAGGCACCTCCCCATTTGCCAAAATGTGTACATATGTATACATATATATGTTTACATTGACATGTTTATTCATTTTAGTATAGATTATATTCGCAGAGATGTATGTATGTGTACAATTATTCCTTTTGAGAAAAGGAATTATGTTTATGTTTATGTCTATGTTTACATATGTGTACATATGTATACATATGTATGTGTACATATGTGTACATATGTATACATATGTGTGTGCACATATGCATACATTTGTGCGTGTACACATGTGTGCATATGTAATTACATGTGTAAACATATGAATTTACCTCAAATCATAATATCTTTCAGATGGCTTAATAATTTCGGACCAGTATAAAAGAAGAGATTGCTGTTATCGTCAGACAGTTGACCTAGAGAGGTGATATCAAGATGGTTTACAAATGCAGTCGCTGCTCCAGACACTTCAATTCTGAACAGGCTTTAAGTACTCATAAAACTGGGTTTCACAAAGTGACGTTGTTTAATTCTGATGATGCTGAAACGAACCAGGATGACTCAGCGGACACATCAGAGTCCAACGAAACTAGCTCCGATGATGAACCCCAAGCAAAAAAAGAAAGACGATCTCGAGGTGGAAGAAGGAACAAGCTGTCAAATTGTAGTAGAGAAGGGGACAGTCGAGATTCAAGTTCAGACGCGTATTCGGACGAAGAAGAGGAAGAAGATGATACAGAAAGTCAGGCAAGTGGAACTTCTGGTGAATGCTGTAAGGTGTGTCGGACATTGCATAAGCCTGACCGTGTAGATTTTTGGGGTGAACCACTTTCTGAGTATCATATTCATGGAGTAGAATTGATGCTAAGCAATGAAGATTCGATGAATGTGTTAACAAAATTGATGCAGTTTCTAGAACTCCCCCAAACCCAAGAGGAGAAAATGTTAACGTTTGGGGAACATGTGAAAAATGTAATAGCGTCTATTATGCAGGCGGCAAAGAATGGAGAAATGGTTGTGACTCGTAAATTACTTACTGATATCGTAAGATCGTCTGAAGGTCTCCCAAATGATAATCCATACGCTTGATTACCAGTAAGAAAACGTTGAAACCTACTCAATGCTAAATGAACAACTGCATACTTTCCAAATTACTCAAAATAAAAGATCAAAAACCTTCTAATTCTTGTGCAAACCAACAACATTGTCTTTTAATGCGGCTTAAAAATCAAGTGGTTTTAGTGTTTTGTTTTTAACGCAATAAAGTTAAAGGGAGATAATTTTTCTACAAGTTTGTGTGTTGTGTACTTAGGCACTGCCTCACCTACATATCCCAACTTTACTTATGATAATAAATAAATGGGAAAGGTTTACATTAGACAAGAACTCAGTCAAATTTACGGCGCATAATAAATAAACACAATTTTAAGAATTAGTTAACAAATCTTTGACAATAAATGCTAATTATAAATACTTCTGATCTGTTATTTCATCTCATTACTGCAAACAATTTTCATATATAATTTTTCATGTTTTTAAAACAATAAGTTTTTTCATGCGTGAATATCATATTTTCACAAATAACGCTATATTTTTGTAGATAAACCTTCATAAGTACTATTTCAAACGTTTATGAAAAATTGCGTCATCATTAGTATCACCACTAACTTCAGAAACGTTTCACTCTACCTTTTTTCAATCTTTTTCTCGTAACTTGCTTATTAGTATCAACACTACCACCAACAAAAAGGTTGAACTCCACTTTTTCAACCTTTTCTATACATAATAAAACTTAAAGCATAGGACGGGACATAACAAATACTGGCATACCCTTACATGATGACTTACTACATCATACATATACCTTGGTCTCATAACAAAGGTGTCTATCCTTAAACGCTATGGGAATAAGTTCTCCCATAAGAAATGTATTGTAAGGAAGAGGCATTGGGCGGAGCCGTAGAAAAGGCTCGGGGTATTTTGGAATATTTGGGGTGCTTTGAAATATTTAATTGGGGTAAATTGAGGTATTTGGATAAATTGGGATACTTGAATAAATTGAGACAAATGGGATAACATGAGACATTTGGGGGTAAATTGACACACTTGGATAATTTGGGAGAACATAAATTGAGACCTAAAGTCTCAAATGTCCCGCCATCATTTCTTGTCAACCCATGTACACCCATCTGGCAGATTTTTTCCCATAGGAAATACGTTGTTCGGGTAATTTGAGATTTGGGATAATTTTAGTCATTTGGGGTGATTTGAGACACCAGGGGTAATTTATGGCATAGAGGGGTAACTTGAGACAATTGGGGCATTTTGAGATACTTGGGGTAATTTGAGTTGTCCCGCCAATATTTTTCGACACATGAAAATACATCTGAGACTTTGGTTACTATAAGCAGACAACATATCCTTGCAATACATACCCATGCTATAAAGGCCTTGTGGCGAGAAGCCCTAACCGTCTTTTTCCCTCATAAGGCAATGTATGGTGGCGAGAACCCGTATTTTTTCCCGTAAGGAAAATATGTGACGAGGAGCCCTCTTTTTCCTCATAAGAAGTGTGTGATGAGGACCCGTCTTTTTTTCCCATAAGAAATAGAGTGGGCGAGAAATCCGTGGCTTCTCCCATAAGAAATAAAGTGGGTGAGAAATCCGTGGCTTCTCCCATAAGAAATAAAGCGGGCGAGAAATCTTTGGCGAAAAAACACCTACAGTTCTACTACTGTATGCATTATGACGCCATTTTCATGTGACAATGAAACCGATATGTACATAGGTACAAGCTAATTTTCCTTCGAAATGCTCATAAAATTTTGTGAAACTTGGTAAGTTTGAAGAATTTATAAATTTTACAATGTTACCAAGGCTTGAGTGAATTTCCTCATTGATTGTGCCCTCGCATTACAGAATAACAAGGGATAAATAGATAAATTGTTTGAGTGAATGAAAAATATTTACGAAATAAATGTATGTGCATATTTCACAATTGATCTTGCATGAAAATATGGGTTCGAGGTCACTCTGCATACCATCATGAAATAGCCTTGACTAAGAATACATCTTGAAATTAACTCCTTAAAACAACAATTTTTTTAATTATGACCAGATCAAAAATTATTTATTCGTCTCCAGAAGTCACGCCGTTGTATAATTCAAAGTTTTCAACCAATAAATATTTTTCATAATTTCGCCAATTGATTAAATGATAATAAATATAGCCAATTATTAACACACTTTCCTTCCTTCCAACTCATCTAGATGACATGTTCTTTCGGTTCTACATCGTTATGCACAATCGTCACGGTTGTCTTCGCCATGTTTGGCACTTGTTGAACCAACCTGTCCAAATAAGCCTGGCTCAGCTCGTCGCTTGGTCGTCTGTCGAATGGCCAACCCATCGGTCGAGTGTCCGGATACTCGAGGTTACCGTCCAGCCTGGAGCAGTGCATGTAAGATGAGGCGCAGAGGTCGGTTGGTTGCCCATTGTAGTCGGACCCATCCGTCACCATGGCGACGAGGTCGTAGACGCCCAAATTGTCATCGGAGCCCTTGGGAAGGAGAAGGTGGTGGGGGTACCCGCATGGACACGTTTTTCCAAAATTTCCAGTGAAGCAGTGGGTGGAAGTTCGGACGTCAATGTAAACCAGGGATTGGTAACCGTTGAGTCGGCCGACTTTCGGTGAATTGTGTTGGCTCCAGGGCTAACTAGAGGCCAATAAACAATTTATTAGGAAATTTTGAAATACGTGGGGTCTAAAATATGCACGTACGCATGATCGGGAAGGCATCCATGGCAAAGAAGAGCGGGTATTGTTCTGTTAAATTGAACCTTTCTCGATCCGGGTTGTATGTCGGAGCCATGTAAAGCCGGACAAAAACGCTGCGATCTTTCTCATCTTGGTTTTCCTGAAAGAATAGCACATTTAGGTCATATTTTTTCAAATTATTTCGTATTTCTTACCAATTCAATGATATAGGTGAACTCTTGGTGGTCAAGATGCTTTAGGCATACATACAAAAATAATGGATCCGTATCTCCAGGCTTGGGCAGAATGTCCAGCCCTCCGTTGAGCACCATGTCGCGATTGTTCCAGAAAGTGGTCAAATTATTGACGAGATGACCACGCTCGTCTCGAACTTGGATAGACTTAGGATTAGTGACGATGTAAGGATGGTCGCCCTAAAGTTTCATAAATTTCGCATCAAACTTAAAATATGTTGCAATGAATAAAATAAATACAAATTAAATTTGGATTGAAATTTTAAATTTGTATTTAAAAAATATTTATTTCACCTGCGATAATTCGTACGGATTCAGAATCTTGTGTTTATAACGCATGAACATATTGTTCACTTCATTATGGATCCGATAGAAGTAAATGTCGCGAACTGCGGTGGCAACATCGGATAACACTCCATATTCCTTGCAAATAAAGGATTTCACAATTTCCATAAGAAAATCATACGAAAGTCAAAATACTCAACATACTTTCTTTAGGGATTGGTCTTTTTCCACTAAGACCTTTCCCAAAATGTCATGTGCATTATTATGCCATCCGTCATCCGAATAGAAATAGCTGTTGATTGACCATTGGGACGATTCGAATAATTCCCCGATCGTGTTAATTCCATCCGGTTTTGGCATGAGGGGAACCGTATCGTTACTACCCTAAAAAGTGTGACAATTATTTATGTATCTATAACTAACAAAGGTATCACATTATGAATTGTTTATTTACATCCAGAACTTTGTCCGTTTGCGTGATTTGGTAAATGTGATTCCAAATAATCTCCTGCTGTTTCAGCTTGGAAAATAATTTTGATGAAAGGGAAGTTTTATTCAAAAACGTTGAGTTGACCCGATTGACCCAGTTTAAATAGGACACTCCGTCCCTCAGGTTGGCGTCATATCCCTGTTTCAACTCGTAATCCACGATGGGCTTGATCCCCTCGACGAAGTAGTCGGTAAATCCGTTGGCCATCCGTTCCGAGGCGTAACGCGCCATGAGGTCGTGGTGGAAAAAGTAGAAGAGTTCTCCCCGTCGGGGGATCGGGCTGGGGGAGTGGGTGGGGTGAAATTGATGCCAATTCCAATGGTGCGAATTGAGTTGGAGATCTTCTCTGAAGTACCAAAGCCGGTTTTCAATCCCATTCGTCTTGGTCGACCCCCAATGTTGGTCGACTTTGATGCAGGTCTGTAAACATAAAATACATTTGAAAATTAATCATAAAATAAAAAATTCAGTACTAAATAATTTAACATATCGGTTAAACTTAGAATTAGAGGCTATAATGTGAAAAAAAATATTGAGGCAATTCATTCAGTTTTTTGTAACTATGTAAAATCCGTAAATTATGTAGAATAATTTTACAAAGCTTTACGAGACGTGCTTGATCCGGGTGACTTTGCAAAATTTGTAAGATAACTTTCGTTGCAAATATTGTAAAAGTTTGTAAAAATTTGTAAAGATTCTTCAGTTTACGGATTTTACAAAGTTACTAAGGCCTGCGTGAGTTGTCTAATTGACTTTCACAATTAAAATTGTTGTTTAAATGAATATATTGTACGTCATTGTCATTGTAAACTACGCAACTTGATGAGTTGTGACCGAAAATTATGCAAATTTTAAACGGAAATTTGAAATTTGTAAGCGAATCTTTGATTTGCAAACTAAATCCCCGCGTCTTAATTTTACTAAATTTTATTAAAACACGACTTGTTAAATTTCTTACCTTATTAGTTCCTCGCCCTGACTGCGCTGATAGTTTAATTTCTGGTCCTTCCACCACACGTGGCAGAAATCTAGAAGGAAACATTTCCACGAGGGGTGGTGTCGGTTCTCCGATCAGACTTGACCGCGTCGACACGAGCGCCATGGGCAACGCGCTCACAAAAAGTTGTGGATGGATGTCGCCTCGTCTTCGGATGTAGTCGAAAAATTCGATCGCTTGCATGTTCGAGGGGTCTTCCATATCAATATTCTCGATCAGAATGCCAGCCAATTCGCCCACGGCTTTGGCGTGAGGTCCATGGAAAGAGGCGAACATTTGAGTGGGGCCGATTTTCGACGTGATGCTGTCAAATGCGGTATTGTACTGCTCATTCCAGCATTTATACAGCTGGTTGACGACTAACATGGGCGTGGGTCCGTATGGCTTCGGAGTGAAGAGATGATAATACCGTTCTCGGTTGGTATTTGTGATGTCGGCCATGCTGTTTCCTGTAAATTTTCATTTTAAAATACATATTTTAATCTTTTGAATTCTAGAATGATATTTTGAAATTTAAAAAAAAATTAAAATACTATTTTAGATTTTAAATTGGATGTGTACGGAATTTTAGTGGAAAGACGAAGGAAAAGTTTATTTTTTTTGTTAATATTTTTAATGCTATCTGCCTAATCTTATTATCAACACATGCGTAGAAAAAGACGTAGAAATTTGTAACAAACATTTTTGGAAAAAAAATATTGGTTAGTTTTTGGAAATTCAAAAAAATTGTTTTCATGTTTGTGGATGTGGAGCTGGAAACTGGGTCAAGTTTTGACGTGGTAAAAATGCAAAGAGATGCTTGAAAAATTTGAAATAATATTTTAAAATTTGGAAAAATATATCAAGAATAATGGATTTTATCATTAAATGCGTATTTACCTCTTATTCCTCCATACTGCTCGAAACAACTGTGAAATAATAGGTGAAAATTAGCCAAAATTACTTATTCGTGGAATTGGACACGGCTCAATTAAGCATAATTTTATGATGATATGGAACTTACTCGAGTTGTGTGGGACCGTGCAGACCTGGATCTGGACCACGCCCCCCCCCCCATCATGATAGGGTATCTGGGCGCATCGTAAAATGGCCAAGAGAGCCGAGACCAAAAAACCGTGCATCTTGCAATCTTCCAAATTGATTTCTGTAAAGCAAAGGGTAAAATACGAGTTGCAAATTAAAACAGTTTAGTTTTTGTGCACAATTATTGTCCACAAAAACAATAGAAAAAATACCTAAGAGTCCTGAAATTTATTTAGAAATTATTTATAAAAAAATTAAGCAAAGTTCGTCTGAATTAAAAGTCTCAACTTAAATGCTCAACTGAGGATACCTCCTGTGTCCTTCTTTTTATACCACTAACGAAGAAAAATATTGTGCATCTTGAATTGGTTGAACTTTAATAAATACATTTTGTCGATTAATTATAAATTTTGCAGAGTTTCAAAAAGCTCACATGCATCCTGTTCATCCATCACGGCATCGCTACAATCATATTCATTAAGCAAATTGCAATTAATTTGAATATCCGATAAGTAAGAGCAGACACAGTACAAATTTGCTGGAAATAAAGTTGTATGCATGCATATATGTAAGTTTGTATATCATGCTAAAGTGATGAGCCTGCGAAATGTGTGCATTTATCTTACTTACATACATACATGCACCTTTAGTTTTACTTATCTATGGACCCTTCCTAAAGTATGTAATTGATTTGAGGAACATCTTGTCCATCCAATACTTATTGTAACATGACACATTTTTCAGGATAAAAATTCAACAAAATGCATATGTATATATCGTCGAATTTTATAAAGTACTTTACGCACGGTCCCTAAGATGATGAAGCTTCACAAATCTTTTTGAGTTGAATGAAATCAACATCGTCTGTGTAATGTCACGGTGTTCGGCTGCAGATTCACAGCTTTCAAGATAGGAGAAACTGAATTCATAGCTCGACAGAATTTAGTTTCCAGAGCTGTGATTCTGCAGTGAAGTCGCATCCAAATGTGACTTCATAGATTACAAAATTTTTAAATTTAGTTTTTAGAAAATTTTTATTTTTCTGAAAAATTCAAAAAAATGTAGCGACCAAAAAATAGGATATATATACATATTTGTTCAATTCAAGAAATTCTATTTATTAATGACACATGCGGCGCTCATCATACAGAAGGTTCTTTTCTTTTACTTGACCTTCGGCGACAAATTACTAACTCATTATTGACTGGAAAGCTGTATCCAGGTTTTCGCGATAACATTCGGAAGGGTATCGAACCCTATCCGATTCAAAGGATTAAAGGGTAAGGTGGTAGAATATGTTATTTAGTATATTAATCATCTTTATGATTTTGAAATTTGAAACAAGCATAAGTAATTAACCAAAAAATATTGTTTTTGTTTGTTTTTATATTTCACAACGGACACGTTCGGCCTAAAGCTAAGTATCCAAGTGAGCTTTTCACGCGTGAAATCGACTTCTGTGAAAATTCCACCGGAATTTCACTCGAACGTATCCAGGTCAGCGATGAAAAAGTGGTGGAATTTTACGCGCGTGAAATTTTCACAGAATTGCGAGTGAAAAAGTCATGAAACGGAGTATTATTCCACGCGAATGAAATGAAATTGTCGTGAAAAGTCATGCCGCGAGGTTCAATTTTTTTGCAATTCGCCCCTGCTGATTGAGTTTATTTGTACCAACAATATTTACAATAATTAAATAATATGCTTGCACGAGTATTTGGTGAAAATTTGAAGAAAAAGTTTTGACTTTATTTTCTATTTATAATATTTATAAATGGTTTCTTGATCAATATTGATGCAGCTGCCAGCAAAATTATTCCTCTATTTCAAATTACATTAAATACACTTGATACAAAATAAACTTTGACTGATTACTTACTGGATTTTGAGAATTTTGAAAAAGTTGTAGATTTTATGGTACAAAACGAAATGAATATTAATTTGGAATTTAATAACTGTTGGTGATTTTTTGAATAATAAATATGATTTTCGCGGACAGTAAGTCCACTTTGAGACATTTTCATCACACTTTGACCTGAATACGCCGAGATGAAATTGGAGTGGAATTCTCCCTTTCACCGTTGTTTAACTCGTGTGGAATTTCGCATGAATGAAAAAATTTCACTCGAATTTCACTTCTGTGAAATCTCTCACTTGGATACTAGGCTTAAAACCAAATACTGTAGTGGTTAATTTTCGAAAAAAAATCTTCATAATATTCGTAGGGATGCTAGAAAGAAGATGAATCGCCTTCAGTCGTCTGGGTAGAAATTGTGTCACGTCACCGGAACACTAAAGGCTCGGAAACGAGAGTGGGGGAGAATTTTAACTTGGAAGGGGACAATTAAGAGCAGTATAAAATTTATTAATGGGATTATTTTATAAATAAACTCATTCAATTTGTAATATTTGATATTTCGTTGTTGTTCCGGGATTTATTTTAAAATATCCAAAGGAAATTTTGTTGCTTTTCGTATAGTATATTTTCATACTGGATACTGTTTCCCGATATCATATATGATGAAATGAAGTTTTCATGCTAAATTTCGAATATGAATCAATGGGTTCGTATTAGAGAAAAGTGATGGGGAATCCTTCCCCTTTTCCCAACACTGTTTCCCATTGGGCTCTCCCTAATGGAAACAGTGGGAACGAACTGCACGGGAATGCACACAGCTAAATCAGACCAAGGTATCGGGTGAAATTCCCTGAGCACATTTCTTATGAAATTTTTGCATATTCCAAACCACACCCACTTCGGGTGTGGTTTTTACCTAGTGTATTAATAGTTAGGGTCAAACGAGATAGCTCACACGAATGTTGAGATACCATAAAAATGTCATCCAAATCCGTTGGGACCAATCCGAACGGACTTTGGACCGCAGGTTCGTAATCCCCTCTCCTTCAAGCTGAGATATTTTGCTTATCAAAGTTTCAACTTTCAAACTCAAACATAATTCCTACGACATTCTACATAGACACATGATGAGGCATGTTACTTTGTTAGTTTATGCATATATCTGGTCGTGTGGTGTGCACATATCTGCATAATCTCCAGATATGTCCATTAAATCGTGCAGACTCTTACGTGCTACCTCAGGGAATAAAGACGTATATAAAATAGAATTCATTTACACTGGTTCACACGTGTGAATTTGACACCGATTGACCACACTCCCAATGTATTTAAATTGGAATGAAAGGGGAAACCCACTGACTTGTATATATATGTACATACAAGGCGAGACCATACAATTACAAAGGCGACTTCTTGAAATCCTTGTATAAATAATGTGTAAATTCGTCACAACTTGACCGCTCTCACTCGAAAAGGGAGTAGCCGGAACTAAAAATGATTTTTCGAATGAACTCTCTAAATCTTCGCACACAATATTGTAGTACACATAAAACTTTGCATTATAACTCAAGATTACCATTCAATGACATCCAATCGTGTTATATCAGTAACCGACTGTTCGGAAGTGAAAATCACAGCTGTGGAAATCAATTTTTACGAACATGTGAAATTACAACTTTTCCTACCCTGAAAGCTGTAAATCTGCAGCTTTTCAGGGCTGTGTGAATCCACAGCCTGTGGACTCACAGCTTAGGACAATGAATGCACTGTCAATCCCTAGTCTGAATGAGGTTCGAATAATATACCAGTCAGGTCAAATTATTGCATCGCCAGTTCACACAGGCTTATCAAATTGTCCAGCATTTTATTGATAACGAATCCGGTAATTTATTTAAATGAATTTAGTAAATACTTAACAAAATTTCTCTTAAATTGTTTACATTTTCTTAGACAATTTTACATAAATATTTTACAGGAGGGATGGAACACTGCGCAATTAAAATTGGAATTGTCCTCGTTTCTTAGTCACTTCTCGTCGTTGTCAACGCATCTAGAAAGTACGAAAACAAAGGTGGATACCTTCAAGCCATGCAATCTTATCAATAGGACTGACCGTGAGAGTGGGACTAATGAAAAGTTTAGTATGGAAAATGTAGTTATCAAGATGGAGGTAGGCCAACCCTTTTGCCCCTTGACCTGGGGGACATTGAACTATTTCCTGAACAGTGGAGTGACAACGGTAAAGATCTACTTAAGTTTTAAGTTACAAGTTACAACTTTATATAACTTATTAGGCGATTAGTAATTATTATGTTGTTATTTCCAGCGTCAACTGTTGTTGTTCAAGGGCGAAGGAGAGCAGTGAAACGTTCTAAAAATGCTGGCGAAAACTGCGAGGTTGGTCTTTTAAATTAGGTATAGTAGTGAGGTCGAGGTTGTTAATTCATTTGGTGGTTCGTACTAATTAAATACACCTTCCTTGTTTCAAGTACATATTTTTAAAATATTTTGTATCATATTGTGTTGTAATTTTAGAATGACTCGGACTCTGACTATGTACCTCCACCTTCTGAAGATTCACATCAATCTGAACTTAGCGACACAGTAGTTTTCCAGAAGAGCGACGACCTCGGAGAATTAATCCAACTGGCCGAAGGCGAAAAAAAATTAACCAAGATCTGCTTTGTGTGTCAGAAAGAATTTTATACTACTAGTGGGCTAGCAAATCACATGTCGAGGCATGATAAGGATGCTAAGTAAATACAATTTACATGTATTGTTTATTATTTCATGATTTTTGAGAAAAATTCCTCACAAATTTTATAAATTGCAGGAGTACGAAGGAATTAAATCGTAGGAGACGAATGCGTGGTATAGAATATGTCGGATATTCCAAAGTAGAAGCTACGTCACCCGGAGTAGCAAATATTGTTCAAGTTAAAAAGACACCAAAATCCGGTCGTCGTCTCGGTCCAGTCTGTACTTCCTGCACGAAGAGTAAAATACGGAAGTGCATTCACTTTAGTGAAGAAGTGAGAAAAGAATTGTTTGATAACTTTTGGCTAAGTATGGACTGGAAAGCAAAGCAATCGTATGTTAGGGGCTTGGTGGATATCATCCAGGTTGCGTGTCGAACTACCCAGCACCCTTCGAAGAGAAAGGTCACCTTCGTGTATCACTTACCGATACGGGCCGGGTTAAAAGTGAAAGTTTGTAGAACCATGTTCTTGGCCACCCTTGGAATCGGAAAAAAAACAGTTGATGAACTGGGTACGGAAAGTGGATAGTGTTGATCATGGTAGTACTGCTCAAGTGGTCTGAGATCCATTGAAGATATCGAAAGTTGTAGTTTAAATGTATTTGTAAAAGAAATTGAATATAAATATTTTTTGTTTCCTCCTGATATTAAATTTGACGACTGAGTGTAACATTACCTAAGTTTAGTTAACTTACCGTCTAATTTTGTATTACGTAATTGAAGAAGTTTATGTATTCCAATAAACTGCACTGTTGACTTGAAATATGTGTGAAGTCGTTGCCTATTTTCGTTAACCTAAATTAGTAATTGCTTTAATTAATCATATGTTGAGTTTCAAATTTTGACTCAGAAAATGCGACAAAAAATAGAATAATATGCAATCATTGCATTGCAATATTATAAAGAATCGCTTATCTACTTGGAAAATATTAACTATGTATCTGCATGCTCGCTGTAATCAAGTTTCCTGGAATTGCTAGTCTTCAAGCAAAAACATGCGTATGAATAAATGCATATGGATAAACGATGACGATGTAACATGTATATGTACGTACTTATGTAAAATTAGAGGTACAAAATGAGCCAAAAGTGCAAGTCTTTTTCGCATCGATTTCACCAAATTGCACATAAAAAATTACAAATTCAGTTTTGGGTGGGGGGATTAATATAGCATAGCTGTTTTTGAATTATATTCAACCACACCCCCTTCAAAAATTGGGGAAGAAAATTGGGAAAAATGAGAAGGTCAATGTACACTCGGTACAGAAAGAAGTAGATACCAACTTGCATTTGACATTTGACTTCCCTCATGAATATGAACATTTTGATGCATCAAGACTTTCAAAATTCGAAAATTGGCGGTTTTTCGACCTACATATAAATCGTTAAAAAAGTGACCTTAGCGGTCATTTCGCGGCTGACAACCTGATGCCAGATTTTTCTTCGTCAGAAGTGCCACATTTTCCGCTTTTGTTGTCCGCTGCGAAATGACCGCTACCATGACTTTTTTGGGGTCAAAGTTTCTGAGGGAGGGGCTTATACGGCAGGAGCCGTAACAATGTATAGGTATTTATGATATACATAAAGGTAATTACATAGAAGCTATTAAAACAGCCTCAAATCGCCCCAAATTTAAAACTTAAGCTTTTCTGAATTTATAATGATGATATGCATTCGAAAATTAACGCTATGAGGCTTATCAACGAAGTTATCAGTTTTTAAGATAAGCAAATTTAGTTTGTCCAAATCTCCCCAAATTTAAAACTTAAGCTTATCTGAATATATAATGGTAGTATCCACTCGAAAATAAACGCTATCGGGCTTATCACTGCGCTTATCAGTTTTTAAGATAAGCAAATTTAGTTTGTCCAATTCGCCCCAAATTTAAAACTTAAGCTCAACGATTTATCAACTGAACCAACTCGTGTAAGAGATGAAAAGCATCTCAACACGAGTTGGTTCATAATCCCGGTAAACAATTTGAAGAGAGTGAGAAGTGAGACGGACCACCATACGGCACTGGCAACGACAGTCAGCGGTGGTGGTGGATACCCACCAGAATCCGAGTCTCACTCTGCCTTTCGCTAAATAATGGAAACTGCGTTTGTGAAACGGTTGGGCTGGTTCAGCTCTAGATACATATTTACTATTTACATATCTACATATATATACATATATGTCATTCAGAAGAACATCATGTAATGGTACTGGTCATTCATATCATCACTTCTTTAACACTTATATGTACATATTTCGTAAGAAACTTAAATTCTGTATTTACATACTTATGCATGCAAAAAATTGCGTTGCGTCATCCATGAGTCTTACTAATATGTTTGTATGTAGGTCTTGGACAAGATGAATCAAGTTTCATGGAGAAATTTCATTTCGGCGGAATTGGATTTAACAGAATTTGATTTTACGGGATAAAATCGTGTCAATTAATTGATTTCCGCAAAACGAACTCCTATAAAAGGAAATGTTACTCTCCTTAGCAAAACATTCATTTTTGAGCATAACTGTTCAGCCACCGCTTTGTTTTGACAAAAGCATATTTAGAAAAAAAAAATTTCTACAGAAACCACGGCGCTGTTTGAAACAACTATTTACTAATCTTAAACCTTTTGCGTATATACTAATACATTTTTTGCCAACTGGATTTGTAATTCAAAATGCAAAAACCAAATTTATTATTTACTGCGGTGGTGCTATTCGCCATATCTACGGATTTAGGTGAGTACAAATATGTACATATCAACTTTAAAACGTTTAGGGTGAATATGTACGTTTTATTTTGTCCAGTAGACAAAATGTTTTTTTATATACAAATTTAGTAGTTTTTCACAGTTTACATGCATCTCAGGTTAAATTTTCTCATTAAACCACATATATTTGTACACACATATTTTAACACCTTAGAGATTAATACTTTTTAATTAGGAAAATTCATAATATATTTTGCTCTTTGTAGTTTTCGCCTTTGAAGAAACGGATTATCACATCGTAAACACACTGGTATTAAGAACATAAATTTATGTATTAAAGAAACGTTACACATTTTAAATTCTTTCCAAATTACAGGTGACATGGCGTGAGGCAGCGGCCACATGTAAACGTCTCAACTTTGGCGATCTCGTCACCATCGAATCAATGGATGAATACCTCGACTTGATCGATCTCCTTGCATCGGCTGGCGCAGGTAACATGCACTTTTTTTTGTTAAGTTCAATACAAGGTGGAAGTTGGAAAATTTAATTTTATGTACACACCAGTGAAGGGCCAAATATATTGGACGGATGGATCCTACAGCTCGTCATCTTGGAAATGGGCATCGACCGGGGGGAAGATGCCACCCGGGTTGGGAAGACGCTGGCTGCGGGGACATCCTGTCAATTCAGCCTCCAACAAAGTCCTTCTCTCTTACCAGACGAAATTCGTGACTTTGCCAGAAACTCAGAAACACAGGTTCATTTGCAAGGTGAAAACTCTGATAATTTGGATGATTACACAAATTTTTACGAAATTCGAACTGAAAAGAACTAAGCCAATTCATGCAGGTCTTGGTAATATTTTATATCCGTAAATTCTGTCAACTTTCAAACTTTTAGCAAAAAAGTTTATTAGTATTTCCTAAGTTTACTTCGTAGGTTTACTCATCGTGAGTGTATTGATAATATTGGATACATTTTTGTAGCGCATTCTTAAATAAGTTTGCATTGTTGCTTATTCTTGGACAGAATCCAAGACCTACCGTGGCCGTCCCGTGTTACGTGACGAACGACTTGCTCGTCGTCCTCGACTCATCAGGCAGCATTTCGTTGCCTGAATACATTATCGCCAAAGACTTTTCGGCCGGATTAGCACTCGCTTATCGCGACAATGAAGATTCTCGGGTAGGATTTACCATATTTTCCAACCAGGTGCAAACTGTGGTACATCCGGTCAATACGCTCACCCCGTCCCAGTCGGCGACCGCTGTGCAGGCCGCGATCCACTTGCAAAGCGGGACTGCGACGGATCTGGCCATCGAAAATGGAGCCAGTCTGCTTGCCAGTATTGACAGAGGCGTTATCAAGGTGAGTTGAAATAAATGGCTGATGAGTGAGTTTAAAAATCTGTATTTATTCGCAGAATTTGGTAGTTGTGACGGACGGGATGTCGAATAACCGTGCGTCCACGATTGCCGCAGCGAATGCCGCGATTGCGCGTGGGATTAAAACATACGCGGTAGGAATTGGAAATTACGACGGGGCTGAGCTTGTCGCGATTGCGGGCGGTGACCGAAGTCGCGTCTTCACGGTGCCCGGATTTAATCAACTCCTCGCCCTGCTGAGACCAGTCTCTCTCAAAATGTGTGGGCCTTGAGATTATGGTCATGGCTTGAATAGATAACTTAATGGACACATATGCATGGGGTTTAATTTATGTACCATAATTCTTTCCTGTATATTTACACTTCTGTTATAAGGAAAATAAACTTTTACACTGCATCTGTCTCGCATTACTGTTTTCAATTTTTTCAATTTTGATTCAGGAAATGTGACAATATAAATCTGCATGTTCCATGCATGAGACGAAGGAATGAGGTTTGTTACCGATGACTTATTTAAGCACAGTTTGTGAATTTGATGAATTGTGTGATATACAAAATCTCCTCGGAAATGTACCCTGGTCATTGATAAATACTAAATAAGTTAAACATTGAAGTACAATTGGCATGCCGAGTGGGGCATAATTTAGTTTAAAATTGTTTGGGAACATTATCTGTCACAGCATTGGTGTTATTTATCAAGAAGGACATATTTCAATTCTGCTAATTGTCGTGATCCAAGCAAAAAGTAGAACACGGTCGAATTATCCTCCACTTGGATGACGCTTCTCCAGTTTTTCAGCTCCAAAACTCCAGTTTTTGGGCCCTACATAAGTACACATCATACATATTATGACAAACTGCGCAAATATGTCGAATGAATTTAAAAGAAAGAAAAACAGAAAAGTTTCGTCGTTTCGAACGTTGGAGGACCAGCGGACGGACAGACAAATGGACAACCGTTTACACAAATTATGCAGCTTTCACTACTTCATAAATATTTCGACTCACATTCAACATGAAGCCAATACTGTAGTACTTATTCGCCTCCAGGGTGAAAACCCCGTCGAACTCGATATAGAACATTTCCCCTTTTTTGGCATACACACCAATTTTTTTGTGGTCAAGAACGATGCGCCAGTCGGGAACAGTTTCAATTACGATGGTGACCTCGTAATACCCATTTGCCTCGTGGGGACCCAAGAAGCCAAGACGGGTCAGACCGATGCGTCGATTAACTTTCATCCTAGGAAAGGGAAATATTTCATTAATAAAATTTACCAGAATTTTGCATTGCTTAAGTTTAAGGACCTGATGCGATGTGTGACCCCACCAAATCCACGAAAAGCATCTTTCTTCACGGTTCCACGGGAGAAGGTTCTCTCCTTGTCTTTGAGTTTTAAAATACCGTTGTTCATATTTACAGATATTTTATTTCTCAAATAAAACTGTAGAATTGTAGGAAGCTGACAGAGGAATGTGACGATAATTAATGAAGGCTACATATTTCAGTCAAAATGAAACGTTGAGTAATTAAACAAATCGCGATAAGTGCTTAACACATACATAAGTAGTTATTACATTTTACTTAATGTTTGGTTTGAGGGAGTTACACGTTGTAAATATCTGGGTTATCAAGCTGGCTTATGGTCATGGCGTCTTTTTGAGAATTATGGTTAACTGATTTCACTAATTACTGATAGTTGTTTGGCAATCTGTGTTAACTAGCGTATAAGCCCGTCTCCCGCCGGGCGAGCGAAAATAAGAGCTGGAAATATCTGTCGGCAACGGAAGTAAAAGATAAGTGGTGGAGTGACATTTCCGTGTGCTCGTGTCTGACTACTACTCCGCTTCCACTCCACTCCGCAGTGGAGTGACAATTTTTGTGTGCTCGTGTCTGACTCCCACTCCATTTCCACTCCACTCCGCAGTGGAGTGTCTGACTCCCACTTCTACTCCACTCCGAAGTGGAGTGACAAATTCCGAGTACTCCTGTCTGACTCCCACTCCACTCCGCAGTGGAGTGACAAACTCGTACAGAATTGTTGCTTGTAGAAGTGACGAAACTCTGGATCCATGAACTCACTTCCATTTCACTTCCACAGAAGTGACGAAACTCTGGATCCAGGAACTCACTTCCACTTCACTTCCACAGAAGTGACGAAACTCTGAATCTAACTAATTTCCACTTCACTTCGCAGTGAAATAACCACCCACTATTAGACAACCACTCCCAGATAAGCACCATCAGACAACCACTCTCAGATAAGCTCCATCAGACAACCACTCCCAGATAAGCTCCATCAGACAACCACTCCCAGATATGCACCATCAGACAACCACTCCCAGATAAGCACCATCAGACAACCACTCCCAGATAAGCACCATCAGGCAACCACTCCCAGATAAGCACCATCAGACAACCACTCCCAGATAAGCACCCACAGATAACCACCATAAGACAACCACTCCCAGATAACCACCATAAGACAACCACTCCCAGATAACCACCATCAGACAACCACTCCCAGATAAGCACCATCAGGCAACCACTCCCAGATAAGCACCATCAGACAACCACTCCCAGATAAGCACCCACAGATAACCACCATAAGACAACCACTCCCAGATAACCACCATAAGACAACCACTCCCAGATAACCACCATAAGACAACCACTCCCAGATAACCACCATCAGACAACCACTCCCAGATAAGCACCATCAGGCAACCACTCCCAGATAAGCACCATCAGACAACCACTCCCAGATAAGCACCCACAGATAACCACCATAAGACAACCACTCCCAGATAACCACCATAAGACAACCACTCCCAGATAACCACCATAAGACAACCACTCCCAGATAACCACCATCAGACAACCACTCCCAGATAAGCACCATCAGACAACCACTCCCAGATAAGCACCATCAGGCAACCACTCCCAGATAAGCACCATCAGACAACCACTCCCAGATAAGCACCATCAGGCAACCACTCCCAGATAAGCACCATCAGACAACCACTCCCAGATAACCACCACAATTTTGAATTGAATTTAATTTATTTTGAATTTTTGCGCCATTCGAAACTTCACTTTCTCTGCTTTCACTTCCGTTGCGGAACATTTACTTTCACTTCCGTTGCCAACAGACATTTCCAGCTTATAATGTAGATTTATGGTACATATATACATATTGACATAAATAAATCCCATACTTAAATACAGATTCATAAATGTCGTACGATATGTTGGGGCTTTGTCGCATGTACATACATAATTTTTCCTTCACGTGTTTGGGTATGTGATATGTTTACGCATGAATTAATGATGACAGTTGACAGTGATATAAACCCTTCTAAAATATTTATATGTCTAGGTGGGTTTCCACTACACGTTTAAATCATATTCTGTGAATATATCAGATTTTGACAAAATTATTACACGCAGATACATATGTATTTAGTTAGAAAACCTCTACACCGTAATGAGAAGGCACGAGATTGTTTGTCTCACACAGAATTCCTGAACAACAATGGGCGTTAGAGCTTCAACAAAATTATTCCCAAATTCTAACCTTAACGACATTAAAGATTTATGCATCCTTCTCTCCACCCTGTTGCAACACTTCCTCTTGAATATATAAATCCAATTCACGCTTAAATTATTGATTTGGGCAGCCGCAGAAAACAAAAATATTGTAAAAACGAACACCAAAATGAAAGTCCATATGAACAGAGAAGCCTCAATTTTTCTGATATTGTCCGATTGGAACAATTTAATGGAAATCCAGCACAATAAAATTTGCGCCGCAGGAATTAAAAGCGCCGTAGTGAGCAATATCCTCGATTTCGTGCAAGAATTCAACAATTTCTCGTAAACTTTAAGCTCCCTGTATTTCGAAAATGAGGCAAGATTATTATCCTTTGATGTTTCATCACTAGTTACAAAATCATTGCATGAAATCCACAAGAATGAAATACCCTGCAGTAACACTGTTCCTAAGTAATAAACTGCACCAATTGCAAGATGCTGAAATGATGCAAATTCAAGTATGGCTAAAAATGATTGGATTATGCAGTGCGATTTTTTCCCAAGAAAATTCCCCTTTGTACAGAAAAGATGACTTAACAGTATTGGCTGACATGGCGAGATCATGGTGAGAGTTGCCAGTAGAGGTGAGTCGAGCAGCGATTTTCAGAAGCTCGGCTCGCTCAAGCTCGACTCGAAAGAAGCTCGGCTCGCTCAAGCTCGACTCAGGAAAAGCTCGAAAAAGCTCGGCTCGCTCGAGCTCGACTCGAAAAAAGCTCGGCTCGCTCAAGCTCGACTCAGGAAAAGCTCGAGAAAGCTCGGCTAGCTCAGAGCTCAGTTGAACCGAGACGAGCACGATCAAATTCGGCTAAATTCAGCATTTCTTGTGACAAAGATGCATTCATGCCATAATACATACTAAATTTTAAATTAATATTTATCGTTCTATTAAAGACCAACATACAAAAATGTAGAACTTTTGCTTTCCTGCTGGATATGTAACAATTTGACTTCAATTAGTGATTAACATCAACCAAAAAGAAATTGTCAAACCAAAGGTTGGCAATTAATGCATACATTTTATACCCTGTGATTCACTTTTTGTGAGAACAATTTAAATATTATTGTGAAGAGAGAAAAATATGTTTAAACTATACGGATACAAATTTCTCACTTTATCCCACTTGAAATTTTAGAAAATAACGAGCTTTTGAATAAGCTCGGCTCGCTCGAGCTCGACTAAGTAAAAGCTCGAAAAAGCTCGGCTCGCTCAAGCTCGACTCAGGAAAAGCTCGAAAAAGCTCGGCTCGCTCAAGCTCGGTTCAGGAAAAAGCTCGGCTCGCTCAAGCTCAGTTGAGCCGAGCCCGAGCTAGCTCGGCTCAACCGAGCATTTGGCTCACCTCTAGTTGCCAGTATCGCAGAAATTAAGGGACTGGTCACTTCGGCCGAGAAATATAAAAATCGTAGGAATAACTGCAGCTTAGAATCCTTTTGAGAACCTAAAAAATAGAGAAAATCCATATTCTTATACATATTTCTAAGAAAAATTGTATGATAGTTTTCATACCATTTTCTCTAATCAGAAAGTTTACCAACTGCACGGATACATGGTCGGTCGGAACGTCAAATCTTATCAGGAAGCTGGCCATGAAGACTATAGCGCCAATGCCAGCCTGTGCTCGATCAAGTAAACCAGATGCGCTAATCATTGTAGAAAGTAGGCGACAAAATGTAACACAAAAACTAAGGACAAGCGACAAAATGATAATTCTTTGTGAGCTTGCAGATGTAACAACTTTTCCACTTTGCTTATCCCATTTGACGAATAAACAGCCAAAATATTCCCCATACTTTATGTTTCGTTTGATAAAAGTGATATCTTTGTTAAGCATTTTAAATATGTCCAACTCCAACCACTAAAATATATTCGGATGAGTTTGCCCAACGAATGCTGGCTTTTAAATCCTTCTTCAAATGAATGTGCTACTTTTCAAATTCAAGATTTAAAGGTTATACATTTGCAAAGGCTGGACATTAGTTCAATATTTGTACTTGTCTTATGTCTGGTTTACTATTGGTTTTACTCGCATCTATTTAATTAATAATTTTACACGGTGAGATAAATGTTCGAAATTTGTGGAGATATCTGATATTATGTGTATTCAAGTACCTAAGCTATGCCTGGACCAACACGAACTAAACAAGTACCTCTGCGTCCGAGATGGTACCATGTCCTCAATATATGTACAAATACGCCCCATGTCTCAATTTAATATTTATGCGACGTTGACAAAGTCGTGCTTTAGATATTTGACAAGATTTTACTTGAAATAAATTATAGTCTTACCGGAGAATTCAAAAATATGGGTAAGATAATTTATGTATGATATGAAATATATACTTATCGTATATACTGTTGCATAGATTGGCTGATTAGCTCATCGTTAGAGATTTAAATACTGATAATTTCTAGCCCAACAAAACAAAAGATATAAATACCTAATCACACAAGATGAATTAAACATGATGGTGATAATTATAAAATCATGATAAATATTTCCAAATATCTATTATATATGTACATACCATAGGTTGTTATATATTTTCATGCATTTGTCAATTTCCTTGAAAATCAGGATCCTCAACAAATAAATAATAAAGTACATACTACTTAAAGTATATATTTCGACGCGTCGTTTGTATCGGAATGAATAATATTTAATCGAGGATAATGACTTCAAGATGTAAACTTTGTCTAACTTCGTCTAGGAGAGTGGTCAGTGATTACTGTGCTTAAAAGAAATGAGATAGAGAAGTTCTAGGACTTGATATTGGCAAAGCAGGCAATTTTCATATTTACTTGACGTCATTCTCCACAACAGCATGTAAACAACGTATTATTTTAATGTCTTTAACCGAGAAAATTATACTTTTAAAGTCAAATTTTATTTCCAAGTAAGTATAGACAGACATTATAATTAAGGATTAAAATCGATAGGGACCATAATTTTTCCACGCTGTATGTACTCGTATAACATGTTTTTCTTGGAGTTTTGTATTTCAGTCTCTAATTTCTGATCATCAAAAACTAACTTTTCTAAAATCAACAATCAACTTTTGGTTGTTTGGTAAAATTTGAGAATAAAAATACCCGAAAATTTACTTTTTACCACAAAATATAAAAGAATAGTCGTAAAATTTTTTGTGACATTTTGGCGTCAGGGTAATTTATGTATATATGAAGTATACATGTTTTCGTAACTGCCAAAATTTTTACAAAATAATTGTTCCAAAAATTTGTATATTACTGGCAACCCTTGAGGCCCCCAATGTCTTGGGTTCCTTAGTTTTTGACTGCCTTGCCTACATGCTATTTGGGCCACTGATGCTTATCTGTGGGGAGTTAGCTCAATTAATCCTGTACGAATTCAGCCTTTAGAGTAAAAGATAAAAACATTTTAACGCATTTAAAAAAGCTATCACAATAACGGAGCGTTCGAACGCTCTACAAGTACAACGCTCTAACAACTAACAACTAACAGTAAGCCGATCGGCTTACTGTTAGAGAATTATTGAAGTTGAGTTTAAATAATCTTGAAAATTTTTGACAATTCTTAATACAGAAATGATATAATTACTAAACGTAAGTAAACTTGTATTTAAATATTACATTTCTTGATAATGAAATTTTACTGGATATTACATATAAAGTCTCTCCTAGGTACTTAAATAATTCCGACTTTCTTAGACCGTTGTTGTTTGCTCGTGACCGTGACGATGACAAAATTAAACTATGGCAAACATTTCAATAGGGGCCGTTCTTAAATTACGTAACGCTAAAAATTGATTTTCTCGACCCCCCCCCCTCCCATGGCGTACATAGGCAAGATATCACTGGGGCCTCAACCCCCTCCCCCCTTCAAGCGTTACGTGATTTAAGAACAGCCCCTAATATAAAGAAAACATGTGCATATTAACCAACCACTTTAATATCGCATTCATATCTGAGGAAATTTGTTGCAAAAATGACAAATTTCGCGAATTTTTTCAAAATTAACTTTACGTTAAAGTACTTATGAAAAGTTGCACTTATCTCAAAACCGATGAAATTAATGCTTTAGAAATTTATATTAAAAACCGACATTGAATTGGGGTGAAGTGAGATCAAAAGAATCGGTCAGTGATTTCTCTCATTTCCCAACACACGGATTTCTTTGTGAACAAGTAGTCTCCGAAGCCCACATTGCGGGCTTTTAGCCTCAGAGACAAATTGGTCAATCCAGGATTAGTATTGGGGATTAATTAGTCCTTAATCTCAATCTCTAATCCCAAGTTTTAGAATTTTAACCCTTAACCCTTAATCCAAAAGTCGACTCCCGACTATATGGGGTGTGCCCAGATCCAGGGTCAACCCCCGACTATAAGGTAAGTGCAAGGGCCCGGGTCAAAAGTCGCCTTGTATAAGGGGCGTGCCCATGTCACAGATCGAGTCTCGACTCTAATCCTAAGCGATGTTCGAGGGGTCAACCCGAGTTCAATTGGGGAAGTCGTGTGCTCGGTTGTTCTGCTAGTCAACGTTTTGTGAACGTTTTGACACTTTCAGCGAAGAACGCCCTCTACTGGCTGAAAATAGTTCCTCAAAGCGCCGATAGGTGGCACTGGCCGTGATTTTAAACACCTCTGGGGTAATGTGAGATGCGGATGTAATCAACAACCGCTAACTGTTTTAACACACACAGTTGATGATTGATGACGTGATAAATGGCATAACAGTATCAATAGAGGGCGCATAATTCATGATTATACAAATACGAATAATCTCATAATGCAACAATCATTGAAAGCCAAGTTGGGGCTCTTATGTTTTTTGAACTTACAATAACATTGAGTTGAGTCTCATTTTGCCCCACGTTTAAACCAAGTTCGAGCGCATACCTTCAAATTGGACACACAAACACAGTCACTCACCGCTATTCTTGGTATTGGTGGGCGCCTAAAGAAGAGAGCACGGGCGCTCGGCAATAAAACGACTTCACAAAGTCTCAATTTTATCAGTCTGACTCCAGCCAAGCCAGAAGGAGGAAGTTCTCACTCTGCTGGCCTAGTTTTTTTCTGGTTATAACCACAAGAAATTCTTGTCAAGAATGATTAAAAATTCTGAAAAAATGACGAAAACTTGCTGTTTCGCCTGCATTTCGGTGGGACGTCGAACGCTCATCATTGGAATTCTCAACATCGTAAGTATTTTTATTATATAATTAATTATTTGCTCAAAATCCCCAATTACAATTCGCAAAAGAAGATTTATGAGTCATAAATTATGACTATGTATTATCAAACTAATAAAATTGAAATTGTGTAACAATAATTGTTACCTAAATAAAAATGTGAAGATTGTACTCTCGACTGGATTTTAAGCAGAATTAATTACTTAATTTCAGATCTGCGCCATCCTCTCCGTGGTCCTGAATTCTATGGAGATCTCCCATTGGACGAAGATCAAGTACCCCGATCCAATTAAGGAACCTAACTTTCGTCAAACTAGTACGCATATTTATTGAATATTTCACACTTTATAATTTAACCCTTTCCACAATGGAAGTAAATAGTAACTACCACAAACATTAATTTCTACAGTCAATAGCTACATCACGTTCAGTTGTATCCAGATCTTCATCGCGGTCGTGTACTTGATCTTGTCATGCCTCATAGTGGATGGATATCGCATGGTAAGCTCTACATATATTTATTCTGCGAAAAGTGGTACAATTTTAATTAAAAAATTTGATCCTATTTTTTTAGCGAAAACACCGCTTCATCACGCCATGGTTGGTCTGGAACTATGTGGCCCTTTGCCTCGTTGCTGCCGCGACTGCTTATCTGTTTTTACTGCTCGCCGCCGGTGGAGAAGTCGGTGCGGGATTCATTGTTCTCGCTGTTAGCAGCCTTATCCTGTCAGTGCAGTCCTACTTTGTTTATGTGGTGAAAACCTTCGTCGACGGGTTAAAGGGAAGCTCGATTTGTTAAATTTTGGACGTACTACTGGATCAAATGGTTGAAAAGGATGGACTTGATTACTGGATGAAATGCTACAAATTTTGTTTTTTCTTACTATATACTATTATACTCACACTTGCTAGTTTGTGGATCGGCGCACCACTGGTTCTCAAAAAATGCGCACCGAACCACACCGCGAACCACACCCGGTGTGGTTCGCGGTGTGGTGCGCTGGGTTTCAGACTTTTGCTGGTGTGGTTCGCGGTGTGGTGCGCTGGTTCGGAGCTGTGGTTCGCGGTGTGGTGCGCTGGCTGGGAGGTGCGGTTTGCTATTGTTAATCGCAAATGAACCTTTTAACCTTTACTAAAAATTTGGCTCAAGAATGATTCAGTGGACGTGTAAAACTTTTTTTTACTTGCAGTCCAAAATTGTCTAATGAGACCATTTGCCAATTTGCTACAGCTTCTGAATTCATGCCGTTTTATTAAATATATTTTCAGATATAATGTCCTTTCAATTTTGAGAAATGTAATTAGCAATACCACGAAATTTGAAGATAGCCTTTTACTAAATTTGTGGTGTTACATACGAACACATGTAAACAAATATATCTGATGAGAAATGAATCATAAATTCTCTAAATCGTGCCGAGTCATACTGTGTATACATAATATGCTCAAACTGAAAAGGAATAACATCTTTCAATAAATAATCCAGCAAGACATTTTGGAGCTCCGAACTATGATGTCCAAAAATGGTTAAAACCATTTTTGGACTGCTATTTTGGCCGGTAGTTACAACCACCACGAAACACTGGAATAATTATAAAAATATATTTACTATAAAAATAATAAAATGCTCCATTCTGAATTTATAAAACTGGTAAAAATGTGAAAATGTTGAATTTTAAAAATTTTGTATGGAGAAATTTTTGTACAAGTCACAGTATTTTTTTAACATAACATGTATGTTGTATCTTTAAGCAGTCAGTGAACCACTGGTTCGCAAAAAATGCGCACCGCGAACCACACCGGGTGTGGTTCGCGGTATGGTGCGCTCGGTATTAAGCTTTTGTTGGTGTGGTTCGCGGTGTGGTGCGCTTAGTTCCAGACTTGGCTGGTGTGGTTCGCGGTGTGGTGCGCTAAGTTTAAGATTTGGCTGGTGTGGTTCGCGGTGTGGAGCGCTGACCCAAACTAGCAAGTTTGACTATACTTAAGATGCTAAATTTCTTCAGGGTGGTGGGATTTCTTTATTAAACTTTGGGGCACACGTAATATATTTACAATTTCAAACCATTTATGTATACTTTGAATTGGTATTGGAGGATATGTTCATTGAGAAAATATTTATTATCTTCAAGTTTTTGAATAAATATCTATTATCTTCCAATAAACATTCATGCGGTTATTTGGTTAATATGGTGAATCTTCATTAATTTACATCATTCATCAGGCAAAGCACGATCGGCAAACTAAAAAGCATATCCAAATCCTTATCTTCTTGACCTTGAGACAATTTGTCTCAGACAAAGCTCATCAGCTCATCCTGTCGGATTCATCTTTACAGTCAGCAGGTAAAGAAGGTCACGAATTACATGTTGCACCTCGGACGTGGAGACTTTATCTCAGAACTCATGAAATTGATGTCATTTTTAGAAATTTACATTTAAAAGACGACTAATAGGGGTAACTTGAGATAAGAAATATCACCATTTGAGTATGCGTGGTTGAAAGAAAAGAGCTTGGCAATAAAACGATTTCGCAAGGACTCAATTTTATAAGTTTGACTCCAGCCAAGCCAGAAGAAGGAGGTATTTTGCTCGCTCTTTGGACTTTCATCGCCTATCTAGTTTTTTTCTGACTATTTATATTTAACCCTAAGAATAATTTAAAATAAAATTCTGAAAAAATGGCGAGAACTTGTTTCGGACGGTTGACGGTGGGACATGGAACGCTCATAATTGGAATTCTTCATATCGTAAGTATTTTTGTTATAAAATTATGGTTGCAATTAGAATTAGCAAAAGGGATTTATTATTATCCAGCTAATAACAACAACAAAACAACAATTATTACCTGAAACAATATAAAAATGTGAAGAGTGTACTCTCGACTGGATTTTAAACCTTTTAAGATTTTATTTTATTTTATTTTAAATAATTTCAGGTCTGCGCCATCCTCTCCGTGATCTTGATTTCCATTGGGATCTTTCAGTTGATGGCGATGGAGGACCCCGATCCAATTAAGGAACCTAACTTTCGTGAAGATGGTACGTATTAAATATTTATTGAATATTTCACATTTTAAAATTCAACCCTCTCCAGAATGTAAATTGCAAATATCACAAACATATTGATTTGTGCAGCCAGTTTCTACATCACCATCGGTTGTATCCAGATCTTCATCGCGGTCGTGTACTTGATCTTGGCAAGCCTCATGGTGCATGGATATCGCATCGTAAGTTATTCATTATTTCTGCGAAAAGTTGTACACATTTAATAGCTATTTTGATCGTATTTTAAGCGAAATTACCGTTTCATCATGCCATGGTTGGTCTGGAACTATGTGTCCCTTTGCCTCGGTGCTGCTGCGACTTTCATCACGTTTTTAAGGATTACCTCCGCTTATGCATCCACTGGACAAGGCGGTGCGGGATTTATTATAGTCGCCGTTAGTGTGCTTTCCCTGGCAGTGGGGGCTTACTTTGTCTCCGTGGTGGCAAGATTCGTCGACGGGTTGAAGGTAGGCTCGAATTAAGCTTTGGGCGCATTACTGGATGAAATGCTGCAAATTTTGTTTTTTCTTTCTATATGCTACTATATTTAATATGCTAAATTTCTTAATGGTGGTGAGATTTCTTTAGTCTTTAGATTTCTTCTCTTCTAAAGTTTTTGGGATATAAATAATATAATTATAATATATTTCTAACTTCATACAAATTTATGTATACTTTGAATATGCGTTGATATGTTCATTGAAAAAGTATTTATTATCTTTCAAGCTTTCGAATCTGTTATCTTTAAAATTTTCTAATAAACATTTAATGACATTCATGCAGTTTCATGTATTTCATTCATTAGACAAAGCACGATCGGCAAAAACTAAAAAGCTTGTCAAAATCGTCATCTTCTTGCCTTTGAGACGCAGGACACAGCTCATCCTGTCGGATTCATTTTTACGGCCCCCGAGTCGAAATTCTCCAGAATTAACTTATGCTGATGAATTCAATACAATTTCAATTGGCCAAGACAATTTCTAAATATTTAAAATCAATTTGATACAATCTATTTCTGACATATGTACAAAAAACGGTATTGTATTCCAATCTAGGAAATAACAAAAATAATGAAAATACTGTTTTCATGCTAATAACAACGCATTTCTGATGTGGGGCCGTCCATAAATTACGTAACGCAAAAATCGTCATTTTTTAGACCCCCCCTCCCCCCTCGTAACGGCATCGTAACGCTACTCAACTACCCCCCTCCCCCTTCGTAACGTAACATAAATTTGATTTCACCGCAGGTGATTTACTTTGCACTCGCAATGCATTGTGGGGAATTTTGGGGCGGCACCGATGAAAGGAAAGGGGGGTATCGCTCATTCTGTTACCACAAAATAAAGCCAAAAATCCAGTTTATTTTTACTTATACAACCAGATCATTTCGGTTACTCCATTTTGAGATATTTAATGTCAAAGTTTGACCGCAAACTTTTTTGGATTGAGTTAGAAAATTTGTGACAACTTTGCACTTAAATGTTTCAAAATGAAGCAAATGAATTGATCTGGTTGTACATATCTATGTAAAAATAAAAAAACAATTTTGGTATATTTCTTGGTAACAGAACAGAATGAACGATGGACTCGTTACCCCCCCCCCCCCCGCTTCCTTTACCGGTTCCGCCCTAAAACTCTCCGCTGTAATGCAACCTTTTCTCAATTTACACCTGGAAAACTAATGAAAAATGTATATTTACATGCATGCACTGAAACCTTTTGGATGACATGAATTCAATATGCTCTGCTCGGCGTATCGTATTTGGCGAATTTTAGTCGAGTTTATAAAATGTGTTACGTAACAAATTTTTTATACCCCCCACCCCCTTCATAACAATTCGTAACGCGCTTCCCATGACCCCCCCCTCCCCCCCTCTTGCGTTACGTAATTTATGGACGGCCCCTGTATATCAATGTATTGAAATTAAGCAAATTTTCAATATCCACCAATTTCACACCTTGATCAAAACACTATTAATACATTTCCAATTATCTCAACCAAATAAAATAATATATTCGCCTTGCTATCTTTTGTTATTCTACTCAAGCTAAATTGCCCCACACCCACGGGCAAAATTAGCCCTGGCAGACTTCTGACCTCCTTCCGGTACAGCATTCTTTGACATCTGCTCATTCCAATAAAGCGACGCTCATTTCTACAACGCTGCAAAACTTGTCTGCACAGGTAATCACAATGCCCAAACATTGTCAGAAGCTGTTCTAAAATTACCACCGATAAGATAACACTGCACCCGTGAATGACCAACATCAGAGGGGAACCTCGTCCATGAAGGCGTGCCAAGAGAAACGCAAATGCACAAAGCATCATCCCAATTGCGACAAGAATTAGAACTACCGAAAGTTTTACAGCGTCCTCCACACTTTGCGAAATTATGCGAAATCTGTTGTAGTACTGGAAGCATTTCTGACCTCGATGTTCGCCAATTTGGTTCACCAATTTTTGCAAAATTGAGGTCGCCTTCGCGCCCAGATTTACTGCGGCGGAAATGAAAAACACAAAGATTCGGACGCCTTCGTACATAAAGAAGTTGTAAGTTGGCCATAACATTAATATGATGAAAATAAGTTGAAACATTTTCCCGAAACCGGGAAGTAAAAAGTGTTTTAAGAAGGAAGCGAATTGTTCGAAGGACATGAGATACATGAAAATATGGTAGAGAGGGTCGGTGCCATTGGAGAAAACGGATATGAGTGTAATCGGAGGCGAGAAGTATAGGATAATAGTGAGAGATTCGAATATTCCAGCGAATCGGGTTGTTTTTGAAGGGCATTGTCTCTCGATTCCTGAAAAGTAAATACTTCCTAATAACCCAGCTTGTGCTTTGTAAAAACTTTATCACCAATAAACATGGCAAATTTTGGCAATAAGTAGACTGCTAGTGGAATTGCGAATAATATATCAACGTTACTAAGTAATTCAAAAACTTCAAAAATTAAGACCACGGGTTTTACATAGAGAGAGATGATAGATTCATTCATATTTAGAAATTATAATCTAGATTTACCATACCCTCTGCTAATTCGAGGTCCATCTGGATCATTTCGTTCGCCATGTGGACTGCGACATCTAAGATGTCAAGCACCCAAACTTTGCAAGCGATCGTGCCACAAAATGCGAGAAGGCTGCCGACACTCCACATCCATAATCTTGGATCCTTCCCCATCTGGGCGTCAGATTTGGCTTCTTGGGCAACAATCCAGATCGCACTTCCGAAAAGTAACCAGACGGCGTTGAGGAATACCATGGGCATCCAAGAAGCGAGGTGAGAATATCTTTGCTGCGTTTTTCGGATTAAAATTATGCCACTCTTTTCAATAATTATTTCGACGCATGGTTTGTATCGGAATGGATAATAATCGACAAAAAGGACTTGGAGGATTGGAATTTTGTTATCTTGACGTTTTTGGTTGTTTGTCATATTTCAGCTGGCGAGATTAATATACAAAGGGCGAAGTACTTAAGTGTGTCTTGGGGGGGTTTATGTACGTGTTCCTATGTGTATGCATTTTTAGTATATCTAACTTCATCTTGGACGATGGTCAATGTTTGGTCAATGTACAGTACTCAAAGGCAATGAGCTACTTGAGGTTGAGGTAGAGAAGTTTCAGGGCTTGTCATCGAATAAACCGGCAATTTTCATGATTACTTAAAGCCAAGATTTTTCGATATCATGTTAAAAGGTCGGAAGACTTACTTAAATGTCATAAATATTGTACAAAGATATCAAACCAATTTGGAACAAATTGCGGAATATACTATTTAGTATTTAGTCACAAGTAATCTAATATAGCAATATGTATGATATACAGTCTTTCAGATATGTATGTATACTATATGCATACTTATATTCGCAATTACACCCGGATATAGAGATGATTATTTGGACTTGTGATTGAAGTAGACAATAATATTGTCACAATATACATACATCCTGAACTTGATGTACATAAAATCGATGTATAATCGATGTATGTTTGTAGAGAGGTTAGAATAAGTATATGGATCATGCAAGTCAATAAGTATACACTCCAAGCATATTTTACTTAATTCAATTAGCAATGTATTCCGAAATAATTAAATATTACCCGCAATTAAATATGTTGAAGCAACAGTGAGGTTAAAACCATTTTTATTAATTCAGATTTTCTTCAGTATGTATATATGTTTTCGTCGATCCCTTTGTACAAGTACCAGCTACAAGATACAACAGTCGTACGTAATTTACATACGTCGGATATGAATGAAAAATGACTTTTTCCATTTATTGACCTACAGTCGCCAAACTTTCTGAGAATGTTTATGGTCACTAGTAGGTCACGTAGGTCAAAGCATATTTTCTCATATTTGTCATATTTTCGGGTTTTGGGACATATTCATATTCCCGATCATATTTCGGGCCTTTTTCGTTGATTTTATCATTTTTGGCTAAAATTCTAAGATTTGGCAACCAAATCGACAGAAAATGACAAAAGATTCAGTTTTCTCACAATGATTCATTGTGAGAAACTTTCAAAAATTTACTTTCACTTTCGCCTAACGTGATTTAATTCATTGGGAATGAATTAAATCACCCCAGAACTTGTTTAATTTATAAAAATTGAGCATTACAGGAAAATATATCAAAAAATTAAGCCAAAAATTTAAAAAATAAAGTCATTTTTATGGTCATATTTTGGGGATTTTTACGGTCATTTTTCATTCATATTTTGAGGTTTTATCGGTCATTCATATCCGGCGTCTGGTAATTTACTGCATCATTCCGACTTTTGGCTTTCTTAGACCGTTGTTCTTTGCTCGTGACGATGACAAAAATTTAAAAACTTAAATTATGGCACCCATTTCGATAAAGGAATCATTTACATATTACCCAACCAGTAATATCTCACTCATTTTTGAAGAATTTCTTTGTAAAAAAATGTCAAATTTAGCAATTTTTTAAAAATCGATTGTCTCATAGTACCAAAAATTAACTTTAATTTGAAAGTACTTATAAAAAATTGCATTCATCTCAAACCTCGTGAAATTAATGCAATGTTAGAAATTTGCACTATTTGAGTATGCGTGATTGAGTGTTGGTGGAGCGGCGTGGAGTGGTACACCTCCTCGAATTTAAGACAAGTTTCAACAAGACTCGATTCTCATCTCGACACAAAGATTTCTGGCGTCCCAGAAGAGAGCAAGGCAATAAAAGGATTTCGCAAAGCGTCCATTTTATCACTCTGACTCCAGCCAAGCTAGAACAAGGAAGTTCTCACTCTCTGCTCGCTCTTTCCTTTCCACTTTTCTCGCCAAAATCATCCTACTTTTGTTTCTGGGTGAAACCCCAAGAATAATTTTTAAAATTGTGAAAAAATGTTGGGAACTTGTTGTTTCGGATGCTGCACGGTGGGACAGGGAACCCTCATCATTGGAATTATTCATATCGTAAGTATTTCTATTATACAATTATTACCACGCAAAATGAGCTTTATCATCAAACTACTAAAATTGTTCTTGTGTAACAATAATTGTTACCCGAAATAAAAATTTGAAGTTTGTATTCTCGACTGGATTTTAAACAGATTTAAATGATTTCAGATCGGGACCATTTTCTCCGTGATTATGAATTCCATTGGAGTCAATTTGATGATCAACTATCCTGACGAAATCAAGGATCCCGACTTCCATCAAGATCGTAAGCATATTTATTAAATATTTTAAAATTCAATCCTTTCCACAATGTAAATAAATAGTTAACACCACGAACAAATTAATTTCTACAGCCCGTCGCTACATCACCATCGGTTGTATCCAGATCTTCGTGGCTATCGTGTACTTGATCTTTTCCTGCCTCATGGTGCATGGATATCGAATGGTAAGCTATATATTTCTGGGAAAATCGGTACCATTTTAATTAACAAATTTATCATATTTTTAGCGAAATCACCGCTTCATCATGCCATGGCTGATCTGGAATTATGTGTCGCTTTGCATCGGTGCTGCCGCAACTGTGATCCTGTTTTTACTGATCGCCGTGGTTGGACAAGTCGGTGCGGGATTTGTTGTACTCGCTATTGGTGGGCTCTACCTGGCATTAGAGACCTACTTTGTCTTCGTGGTGAAAAGATTCGTCGACGAGTTGAAGGGAAGCGTATTTTATTGAAGTTTGGGACACATATAATACATACTACTATAATATGTTTATACTTTTATAAATATTTGTGTGTACTTTGAGTCGGCGTTAGAGGACATGTTCATTGAAAAAATGTTAATTATCTTTCAAGCTTTTGAATAAAAAATATTATCTTTCAAGGTTTCCAATATTCAAGCAGTTATCAGGTTAACCCGTTAGGGACCAACTACACATATTTGTGTAGTTTTTTGCTTTCCCTTGGGGACCAAGTACACAAATATGTGTACTTTTTTGCTTTCCGTTAAGGACCAAGTACACACATTTGTGTACTATTTTGTAGTTATGTTGGGGACCAACTACACATATTTGTGTAGTTTTTTTCTTTCCGTAGAGGACCAAGTACACATATTTGTGTACTATTTCCCCGTTACGTTGGGGACCAACTACACACATTTGTGTACTGCGGAAAAATTTTCAAGACGAAATACACACATGCATACAAGTCAAAATTTTATTTTACAAAATTTTAACACGAACCATTTCTTTATACACATTGCCAAAAACTATATATCTGCAAAAACTACAACTGTAGTTCGCTGCAATGCATTGTAAGACTAATTTTAAATTGTTCACGCTCAGAAATAAGCGTATTTTGGAGTTTCCCAGAATAGACATGTTTTCGCCCGTGGCGGAATTTAAAATAAACTTAATTTTTAAAGAAGCAAAAAACGATAATTTTTTGAAAATTAAAAGTTTTTTTAAATTGATTTTTTATCCCGAGTCAGGGCTTATGTACCCGTCATGTCCGTCTGTCTGTCCGTCTGTCTGTCTGTCTGGTTTGCGATAACTGCCGTAAAACTAATCCTATCGACTTGAAATTTTGCACACATATAGTATGGGTCAAATGAGGAGTTGAGTTCGAAGATGGGTGAAATAGGTCAAGTGGTTGACCGGTGGGGGTCATCGGAGTGGGTGGGGTATTACGCACCAAAATTTCAAAATTGTGTTAGAAAGCTGAAATTTGGCATAGAGGTTGCTAATGGTTTATAATGAAGGAATACAAAGTAAAATTTCAAAAATTTTCGTCTGGAGGGACCCGAGGGGGTGACCCATACCGATTTTTAAAATTGATCAAATCGAGCTGAAGTTTGGTAGAAAAGTTGGTAATAGAAGAATATTAATTAAAAAGGTACAATTTTCCCATAGAGAGACCCTATTGGGTAACCCATACTTTTTTTGTAATCTTCGGAAGCTGAAATTTGTTACACAGGATGGTAATTGTTACTAATAGAAGAATATGAATTTAATTTGGAAAAATCAAATTTAATTTTTTAATTTATTGATATGCATTTGCGATAAAATTTCATGCAAAAAGTCGGATTGAGTGATAAGCACAACTTGGCCTGACTCGGGCTATATCAAGTCTGCACTGTAGGTTTTATATTTTCAGGGTAGTAATTCTGAGCAAAAATTGTGTTTAATTTTTGAAATCGGATTAAAATTCGAAAGGTTACAGCGTTTTAAAAATCCTGACTTTGGCGGATTTTTTAAATTCCACCACGGGCGAAAACATGTCCATTTTAGAAAACGAAAAAATACGGGTCCGCTTATTTCTGAGCATGAACTAACTAACTCCGGTCAAGATCAGTGAAAACCACTTGGACCTTGCTAAACTATAAAAATGTATGAATCAATAACTTAATATTATTGTAATGAACTGCAGATAATTTTTACTAATATGCATAAATAAATGCTTAATGTTAAATAAAATCATCAAAAGTTGCCGAAATAAATTCGGTCCTTTATGGTTTGCACACCCACTGTGAAATCGGTGACGTAACTACGCTTACTTTAAAATCATTTTGGTGACGTAGCTACACTATTGGTAAAATTAAATTGGTTATGTAGCAACAACTAACTGATAAAATTCTGGTCCCCAAAGGAAAGCAAATTTCAATTATTTCGGTCACAAAGGGGTTAATATAATCTTCATCTTTCATCTGGCAAACTAAACATCATGATATGTATTAGTCCGTGCACATGTCGAGCATTTTTTATACGGATGGCCAAAAATATAAAATAGCTTTACAATAAATGTGAACTTGAAGTATTGATGAACAAGCTACTTAGGATTAGTAATTATGTAGAGAGGTTATAATAAGTACCCATATGCATGTAGATCGTGCTATACATAAAGTGAGTGAGTTATGTACTGTGCGGGTGGAGCTTAAACCTACTGCCTCCTGAAGTACCTTGTGCTGAGACTAGGGTTTCTCGTGAGTTTAGCTCCATCCGCACAGCACATAACTAACTCACTTCAAGTATAGTCAACGTTTACCATAATAAATACACTCCATACTTAGTATTCAATGATTAACAACTTACTCCGAAACAGAAATTACGTTGAGCATTAGTGAGGTTCACTAATGAGGTTCAAACATGAATCTATTTCTACCTAACTCTTATTGATTCATGTGTGTCTCACAAAAATCAACGGGGCAGGATAGGAGATGGCCAATCCAGTAGAAATATACATTCATGATGTACGCGGAGTATGTTTTCGTCATCTCATTGTACAAGTAACAGCTACCACAGTCCTAAATAATTTACTGTGCCATCTATGTACATCCATCAAGTTTATGTAGATCCAAGTCCCTCCAAAACAACGGAATAACTTATGATAAAGGTCGCTATCTGAGCCAGATCAAAAATATGTAAGAATCAGCATTAAGTTATCCAACTTTTTACGGATACATAAATCCTGTAATATTATGACTTAACCAATTACCGAAGCAAACACAGTCCAGTCGATATTAAAATGTCCATTTGCCGTAATTTGGAACGACCTTGATCGCATTTGAATTAAAAATGTTGTCATCTACATAAATACACAATACATATGCAAATAGTATTCAAAATCCAAGCGTATTTTTGTTAATAATATTTTCATAACTACCACTGGAATTAACTCAGGTCGCCCAACTCGTCCAAGTTCCGATGATCTTATACAATCCAAGCAGTCGTTCGCCTAAATATTGTTGCCAATCATTTTTCATAAATCATTATTTTCATAAATTGTACACAATCTCTTAATTTCTTACCACATTTTTCACCATTTCCGAATGATGGCACATGACCCCAAGAAATAATAACCCCCAAAGATGCCCCGAATAAAGTAGCGTCGCTCCGAACAACGCACGGTACAATTTTTTCCCACTCCCTTCCAATTTCAGGAGAAGAACAACCATCCGAAAAATTAGGAACGTGCTGTAGCAAACTTTTCCCACACAGATCAACATTTTCGATCCAATCAAGTCTTTAAATTCTTGGAATAGTTGGTCAGCTTGTTCAAAATGCGCTAAAGTGCGGTACACTTCGGTAGTATCTTTCCCGTTAAGACTGGACCTCAATCTTGCCCCTAATTCTTTAAACAAAATTATGAACGTGTGAATCCGTAGGGAACAGAAGATGAAAGTGAAATAGTACGAGACCACGAAGAGTGACCAGGCACAGATTAAGACCAGATTTAGCAGAGGTACGTCCCTTTTCGGACTGCCGCTCGAAACGTAGGACATAATCGTGACAATGATAAAATAACTGAGGGCAAACAAGGCTAAAACCTTGTTCATTTGAGATCTCATGGAACGAGGAGAGTCAAATGTTCCTATTTCTTGCAGCAGGTTTTGCAAGTTGTTCCAAAAAAGGACAAATTTGTCCCGTAGTAGGAACGATTGTAATACCAAGGCGGCAAACACGACTTGACCTAGATACGCTTCTGAGACAAGAACGATGTAATCAACCCTGTTCATGTGGCCCTTTGCTCGTTTATAAATTTCTTGGAAGGTGGAACCAACCAAGAAAAAGGTGCAAAATGCGATACAACTGAGGAAGAGGATTAAGGTGGAGTAGAGAGCTTGAAAACTTAGGAACTTGAAGGAGGCCACACCATTATTTCGGTCCAGGGAGAATGGGAAATAGCCAAAAAATGATAAAATTTTGATGCAATGGTCCAGATTTTTTGATAAAATTAAGTTTGGTTTTTGCTGCAAGGTTGGAATTTCAAGAATTGTTTGATCCCAGGCAATGGTTGGGATAATTTTTATATTTTTTGATGGCTTGTGCTCCATTTTTTTTAAATTTTCGTGTTGTATTCGGGTTGGATATTTTAAATGGAGTTCCATTTTATTCAGACCGAGACCTGTTTTTATATGAACTTCCTTATGTATGTACGTGCAAAAATTGAAGGTAATCGTCCCCAATGACACTGACTCGTAACCTTTTCAAGAAGAATGTTTGTTTTTAAATATGTAGGTTAAGTTGATGTACTATAATTCACCTATATATTTTGAAATGACTCCAAGAAATCATAAGTATTCATACCTACATACATTTATACATACATACCTAAATACGTACCTATACATACATGTGCACGTATTGTACAAATATTTACCATTACCCTGACCGATATTTTAGCGAAATTCGGTCTTTTGGTTTATTCTGTAAATGTGTCAATGTCATTCCGTGCACGTAACTATCATCATGTAATGGTCATTCAAGACCATTATTCAAGAATTTACTTTAACAAATGAGTAAGTTGAAATTGAAATGAAATTGTTCGACAAGTTTTTCAGTTTAATGAATTTATTATTATTATCATTAAGTTTTATTATACTACTTTATATGAACAAACGATACAACAATGATGAGTAATTAAGTTAAGTTGGAATGATTTGAAGACGAACAGAATTATTTCAAGTTTCAAGTAATAACTTAATGATTTTAATAGCTGATTGTTCAAGTATCTGTAGGTTATACTGATTGGCTCCCATGCACAACATTTATGGATATATTAGTTATAAATTGTAAGTGGGTGACTGCGCTAATTTTTTAAATTCAACAATTATGCAGTGTATTCGATAAAAATATATAGGTACATATTTGTACCTATACTTTGCCAGTAATATTTAAGAAGCGTCACGTTTAAGAAATGCATATGTATGTATAATTTGTGTAATGTGTATGCAATGATAATAAGAAAAGAATGGTTATATGTAAAACTTTGCAATTTCTTAAATTAAATTCGGTGACATTTAACGGAAAAAATTAACCTTCGATATATACGTGTACATATTTATATGTAAGGTAAGTATATTTGTAATTTGATCAGTTAAACGTACGTACATACATACAAATCCGATTACGATGTTTATAAAATTAATTATTATTTCCATATCGATGAAGTCCACAAATTTTAAAACTTGTCAAAATTATTAAGAAAACTAAGTTTACAAATCCAGTGTAAACTCATTAGCATTAAGGTGCCAAGTTTTATAGGGTAATTTAATTTTACAGCAACTGCTTGTTTACGCACATGCTAATTATATCATTGTCATTTTTACCACATTCCTGTAATTTGTTGTCATTAACCAGTTGCCTCCCAAGCACATGAATGTCATGTGCTGCACAAAACGTCGCTAAGGGCCCAAGTACATCAAAGTCATGTGCTCCTTGAACGGTAACCATGCGCCCAAATACATCAATGTCGTGTACTCCGACTGCGGTAACCATGCGCCCAAGTACATCAATGTCATGTACTTCCAAAAACACAATTTTCCGCCCGAGCACATCAAAGTCGTGTAATTCAAAAAAAAAATTCGGTAAAAATTTCTAAATAGCTGTAGTTTTTTTTGGAGCTTGTATATTACAATTGTATAGCTCTTCAGGCATGTCTGGTAAGTATTTATCATCGACAAGCATATATATAAATATATATCAAATTTTCTCACACTTGAAAATACGACAGACAGTGAAGACGTCGAATTTTCTCTCGGGCAGTTCTCAGATTGCGACTCCGATGAGGAATTCTTGATACATGAACAAAACGACGACGATGACGAGAACATGATCAACTTTCCGGAAGATGAAGATGAAGAAGGCGCGGATGTAGATTCTGAGGACGAGTTGCGTGACCCCAATGAACACCCCGCTGTACGTATATTATTTGTATATTTGTATATATGCATATTACTAAGTAGTGCGTTTTGCCTAAATTTATTCATATTTTAGACCAATGTTATCCGCTACCGGAAAAATGTTCCATTTTTACCTCAAGTTACTGATTATGAGGAACCGGAGGTGTTCCTAAAATTGGATTTTGGGATTACAAAGGAATCTACTGCACTGGAGATTTTACAAAAATTCTTGGACCCCGAAATTTTGGATGAAATCGTCCTTCAGACAAACATGTATGTTCAATACCTAAAACGCGCGGATCGGAATACGATGAAGGATTGGACTGTGGTGAATGGTGAAGAAATGTGGCAATTCTTTGCCCTGGCGCTGATGATGGGGCTCATTATCAAACCGGAAATAAAGGATTATTGGTCTACTGATTTGATGTTTTCTATCCCATTTTTTGGCCATTTTTTGGTCATGTCAAGGAATAGGTATAGCAATAAAATACAATATATATTTATGTGCACTACTTATCCTAGCTATTTTCTTACTAGATTTGAGTCAATCCTTCGTGGATTCCATCTGGTGGACAATGATACCGTCCCACCCAACAATAAAGATCGTTATATAAAGTTTGGAAGTTTTATGGACAAGCTGTTTCAAAATTTCCGGAAAGCAATAAATTTGGGATCATTTCTCACGGTGGATGAAACTTTGCTCTCGTTCAAAGGGAGGTTATCTTTCAAGCAATATTTAAAAGACAAGAGAGCCAGATTTGGAATGAAGCTATATCTCCTCTGCGATTCGGCTAGCAGATTTGTCCTCAAAGCTCTTCCTTACCAAGGAAGAACTACCAAAATAGAGAATTCAAGCTGGATTCAAGAACTTGGATTTGGTGGCGCTACTGTGATGACTCTTCTTCATGGCTATTTTAACAAATTTCATAGAATCACTATCGATAATTGGTTCGTGTCTCCGACCTTGGCATTGCGATTGAAGCAACTTGGTACGTACATACTTGGCACCGTACAGAAAAGAAGTAAGCTGATGCCAAAATGGACGGACAAATTAGCAAAGGGACAAGTTGTGACTTATTCTTCTTCAGACATTTTAGTGGAACGGTACGTTTTTGTAAATTTACCAATAAAACAATACAATAAACCGGATGAATTTCATTTCATGATTTTTAGGTGGTCTGACCGGAGAGAAGTGCTCATGCTGAACACATTTATGGGACACCAAATGGAAGAAATCACAACCACAAACCCCAACAACAACCGAGAGAAACCATCAACTGTTCTCGTTTATAATGCGACAATAGGCGCTGTGGACAACGTCGACAGAATGACTAAGCCATTCACATCTGTCCGCAAATCTTTCAAGTGGTATAAAAAAGTATTCTTCTACTTCTTGGACATTGCAATTTACAATTCGCACATCATTCACTCTTCTTTCCGCCCTACGAAGGAAAAATTAAGTTATAAAGACTTTGTACGAGTACTTGTCCGTGAAATATTAGAAAAATATCCACCACAACGTAGATCATTGGGGAGGAAGTCGAACACTCAGTCGGAACGGCGAATCGGCACCCACTTTCCAAAAAAGATTCTAAAAGACGATTCCTCGGTCTTCCGGGACTGTCACCTCTGCGGTTTGGAAGGAAGAAGGTGTACAACAGCTTTCAGGTGCGAAACGTGTCTGAAATTTTTCTGCATAAAGAGCCAAGACTCGTGTTTCAAGAGATTCCATACACTTCCGAAACCACCGGTTAAAAGGAAACATGCTTCCGCTACTGCATCTTCAACAACGACCAGTCAAAGCCTCATGGACCAATCAGTACCTAGGTCAACTAACTCTGAAATTGGATTAGGATTCGGTGAAGCGAATGAAGTGAGATTTCATGAAGCGAATTTTGAATCACATGTTGAAGAAATGCAGGAGGAGGAAGAGCTGTTTTCTATTTAAAATGTGAAATTACTTGTGATTCTGTGAAAATATTTTGCCGAACCACATTTTATAATTCGTGATTTATAGTTGTTTTGCGGAGTTTTTCTGGCCTATATTCGAATTGGCTATCATGATGTTGTATGGTGTTTTATTGTGAAAAAAATTGCTTCGCGGCATAAGTAATGATAATTAAAATGATTTCCACTTATCATATTATCAGTATCACCCTTGCATTAATTTGGGCTATAGCGTACTTGTCAGCATTTCATATCTTGGGTCGCAATGAAAATGCTTCTCCAAGAAAAGTGGTACAAGGATCACGAAATTCGAAGCCTTATCTTGGGGGCTTAGCAACTATTTTATGGCTTCAAATGTGGCAGGCAACTGGTTAATGAAAGCTTATTACTTCGCCAAAATGAGATCAATCGCATAGTCCGTCACTCTAGTTACGAATTTCAAAAAGTATTCTAAACCGATACCGTTTCGCATCGTTTCCACGGTATTAATTATTTCAAAATTGATCGAGTTTGACAATAGTGCCTTAATCATTCTTCTCTTCATTTTATTTCCACGATTCGCATTACTCATTAGTTCCAAGTATTTTCTAGAATTTGTAGAAACCATGGCCAAATAGGTAACGATGGCTTTCTCCAACGCGACAGAAATCACAACCGCGCTGCCACTCCCGCCAATCAGAAACATGCTGACGGCCTTATCATTGATAAACTGGGAGAGTAAATAGTACAACGCGGTGGTCGTTATGAAAACGGAATATGCGTGATGGGCGCAAATCGATCCGAGATGGCGACACATTGCGACATAAATATTTTTCATGAGGGTGAGGCATTTATAGATTTTAATGGACTTAAAAAACTCAAATTTCAGCTGGGAAAATTGACAAGATTGCAGTAAGATCAAGGTCCACAGATTTATGAGAGCGACGCCATGAACGGCGAATGTAATAATGAGGGAGAACACTCCCATGATCATCCTCGTGTAAAATATGGTGAATATTCCGGTCGAAATGAGGATGAACAATGATACGAGGATTCCCAAAGTTTCAAAGTCGTAGATACTTCGCAACAATGCGTACCCTGGACTTGATCTGGTAAAGGCTAGAAATGGGACGGTAAATGAGACGATGTGATCCATCACGAAAGATAGGACGTTCAGCATTCGAGACATTTGCGAGATTAGTGACACAGCTTTTGGGGTGAGATGGTAGGGTAGATCGGGAATCATTTCTGGCAAGTAAAATTGTTATAATTAGTGCATATTCATTCTGGTATTCTTTGTATCGTAAAATAAGTTACGGCGGGTACGAGATTTTGTAAGTGGAGTAAGATTTTGTCAGAAAAAAATCACGTTACTAAGCCTATGATTTTTATGAAGCTTGACCACTTGTTTTTCTTAAGGATACGAAGACATTTGTAAATACATATGCACCCTTATAGTGAGATTTAGATAACAGATATAAATAAAAATATGTTTGTAGTACTCCCACCCACGACTAATGGCTAACGTATGTAGCGACTGACAAAAATTAGGGTCATGGGTCACACATACAAAATATACGAGAGTATTGAAAATCTTTGAGAGAACTTTCAAAATTCAGTGGCATCTGACCTTTGAAGATGTTAACTTGTAATTGCATACCCTTGAAACGTTCCTCCAAAAAGAACATGGTTCTTATACACGACACAAGTTTTTCTCGTCCCGATGATCTAACCAGAACCTTGGCAAAAGGAATGATCATTCCAAGCAATGCAGTTCCTAGAAAAGTCGTGAAGACCATGACCTTGTCGTTCACCTTGGCTTGACTTCTCGCGAGCAAGACGCATCTTATTGTTAGGACGGGCATGATAGCATAGGTGCTAAAAATGCAGAAAAGTTGAAAGATGAGTAATGGTAATGAATTCGATTTTAGTGACGAAATAGACGATTTTTTGTGATCCCAGTGAAAACAATACGCTAAGAAGAGGCTGCTCCTCTTCATTTGGGCCAGACGACAACGGAGATTGCGTTTACCGGTGGATAACCACATTTTGTTACTCTACTTATCTGGATAAGTACAAGTATTTTTCGGGTAAGGTGAGGAGAACGAATGTGAGGTGAGGCTAAGGTAGCAAGCCAATTTTATAGATATTCGCAACCTGGTTAGATAAGAAAACGATGAATTGTGTGCTTTTGAAATTAAAATGTATTTTGGTTTATTAAATAGTTTTTCAATAGCAGTTTGATACTCGGATATGTAGATAGGTTTGTACAAGGAGAAAATTAAATGTTTTTTTCTTTCTACGCGTGTTTGTTTACAAGTTTCAGAACAATTTGGAAATTTATGATACATAAATTGAGTACTTATTCCATTTACATACATGTATAAGGGCCCTAAGTACCTGAATAAATTGCGCATAAATATTACTTATTTCTGGCTCATCATCTCGATTGGAAACTAGATAAATTTAGATTGTAGAAGAAAAACAAACTTTACTTATTACATTGATGCAGATACAAACCAGACCAAGTGTACTACAAAACTCTTTTCCATATTTAGCGTGAGGCAGAGGGAGATTCGGGTTCTGGTGGGTATCCGCCACTATCGCGCGTCAGTGCCGTATCCGTCTCACTTTGTCGCGCTCACTCAATCATGCGTCATATTTAATTAACTATACTGGGTTACTTAAATGTTGTCTTATTAAAATACAAAAAAAACTTAAATGTTGGTATATCATTAGCCCTCGTTTGTTACGGCACTTGCCGTATAAGTCACTCCCACAGAAACTTTGACCCCAAAAATCTCATGGTCCCAGGCATTTCTCTTCGGGCAACAAAAGCTGAAAATGCAGCCCTTCCGAAGGAGAAAATTCTGGCATCAGGTTGTCAGTCGGAAAATGGCTGGGACCATGACTTTTTTAAGGATTTATGTGTAGGTAACAAAACCGCCAATTTTCGAATTTTGAAACTCTTGATGCATCAAAATGTTCGTATTCCAGGGGGAAGTCAAATTGCAAATGCAAGTTGGGGTCTTATTCTTTTTGTGCCGAGTGTACATTGACTTTCTCATTCTTCACAATTTCCTTTAACAATTTTTGAAGGGGGGGTGGTTGCATATAATTCGAAAATACCTATGGTATATTGATGTTTCTACCCAACAATAAATTAAGGATTTTTTATGTGAAATTCGGTGAAATCGACGCGAAAAGAGCTTGCACTTTTGGCTCATTTTGTACCTGCATAAACTATGTATTCGTACCGGAATCAATTGAATTTATTTGATTTCCTCCATTGTTTAAGGTATGATCAGTCGAATAGATCTAATAACCCAGGAAATTATTTGATAATCTCATATTCAAATAATTTAATCACATTTACTTGCGTCATAGTACTCTTACTCGTACTGAATAGCCCATAGATTTTTCCATATTCGCCGAAAATGGAAAAATACCAATTTTCGAAAATACATGTAAATATGTTTACATGTTGTCGCTGTAACTGAATTAAATATTTGTTTTTTCCTTCTCATCTTTTCCATTCTGAAAATATTGATGGACATGATGGATTATCCATCCAAAAACTCATGCGCACTTAAATTGCACATATTTATGTACTTGCATAATATTCCAATTCTTTTTCATAGATATATATACATGCATATTTATTACATATACAAATGTTCAATTTATGTATTTACCTTCTTCAGACGAGATGATGCCCTTACATAAATATGTACATTTGTAGCTACATCAATTAGATGAATCAGCAGTTTTTTACAAAAAATACACAATTTTTTAAGGAGGTTTGTATGGTTTGATACACCAATTTATTCGAGCTTTCGATGCTAAACTGACATCATCATAAAAAAGTTTTAATTATCTATTTCCATCTTCCTTATCATGAAAGTTAGAGACGCTTTATTTCTTTTTACGCATTTTCATGACTTCTTGCCCTTTGCCTCAGGCAAATGTATGTACATACATATTTACATAAATATACATGCATTCAGAAATTCCGAAGAAGAGAAAGGAGTCATGACACATGATGGCGTGGCGTGTTTGGTGATAAAAATAAAAAATAGTATGCACGTGCTTCCAACCGTCAATGTTAGTCATGAAAGGAGGCTACGTGAAGGTGTCAAGTTAAGTGATCCATACAAATAAATATTTACGATCTATTTAAAAAAAATATTAAATCAAAGTCAACTTTATGAACAATTAAAATTTTGAATTTTTGAAAATTCTCTACCATGGAGACCGATGTGATAACGATTTCGTCTTCTGATTCTGAAGATGACATGTCGCCTTTAAAGGGAAGAGTTCATCACAATACGGAATCAACGAACTGTTCATTCTGTACGACGACCCTTCCCCCGGGAGCGGGCATCGTGTTGGAACAATGTTTCCATGATTTTTGCTCGTAAGTAGTACATTTTTTGAAATAATAAAGCTTAATTCTCCGGCTGGGATGATAATCTCATGTGTAAAAATTAGCGTTGATGTGGGTTAAATTAATTTTTTTTCTCCTAACTTGACAGAGATTGCATTTCGGGAGTAGTCAATTCTTCAATTAGTGATGTCATTGAATGTCCCGTTTGGTGTGAAGGAATCTTGACGGAGGCGGAAATACGATGGGTAAGATTCACAAATATTTGAGTTGATAATGATAATTGATATGCACACAATCTGAATCGAGTGGAATCGTGATGTCATAAAACTGCCGGTCAAATTTCTTTATGCATGTCCCTCATTAAACATTGTTCATAAAAACAAAAGCATCTGCATATCGTCGGCCTAATTTTAAATAACCCTAAGTGCAGTCTCGTCTCAATTTTAAATAACCCTAAGTGCAGTCTCATCATAATTTTAAATAGCCCTAAGTGCAGTCTCATCTAAATTTTAAATAGCCCTATGTGACATATAAAAACCCCTAACTGCAACTTAACTTTCAAATCATGCATAATTAATTAGTTGTGATAAACTACGGTATGTTTTTTATAATTAGAACTTTTTTCTTGAATTTTTTGGTATGTAGATTAAGTGGCCGACCTTCTAATGCCAAATACATTGGAAATTGACATGGTCACCAATTTGTCAGTTTTTGACCCATTTTCAAAGTTTTGACCGTTTTCTAAGCCTCCTACATTTCTACGAAATATATATTTTCAGAATTTTCAAATACGACCACACCCCCTTGAAATGAGGGTCACAAGTTAAAAAACTATGTTAATTAATGAAATTGAGCTTCAAAGCGGCAAATTCTAATTGTATGGCGAAGAAATAAACCGACAAATAGGTCATCCTCCTCAAGGTTAAGGTGGTCACATGCCCCACCCCAGTGGGTGTGGCTCTCCGCGACTTTTCGACTTTTGTCAATACATGGGTTGTGATATGTCATTTCTCGCAGGTCGATAAGGACATCCCGATGCAATAATTAAAATTCACAACCCACACGCCCAGTGGGTGTGGCTCTCGGCGACTTTTCGACTTTTGTCAAGACATGTGTTGTGACATGTCGTTTTTCTCACCTGGATGAGGAGATTCCCACGCAGTAATTAAAATTCACAAACCACACCCCCAGTGGGTGTGGCTCTCGGCGACTTTTCCCATTTTGTCAAGACATGGGTTGTGACATCTCGTTTTTCTCAGATCGAAATGGACATCCCAATGCAATAATTAAAATTCACAAACCCACACCCCCAGTGGGTGTGGCTCTCGGTAAATTTCTGACTTTTGTCGAAACGTGGGTTGTGATATGTCATTTTTCTCAGCTCGATGAGGAGATCCCGATGCAATAACTAAACTTCACAAACCCCACCCTCAGTGGGTGTGGCTCTCGGCGACTTTTCGACTTTTGTCAAGACATGGGTTGTGGCATGTCGTTTTCCTCAGCTCGAAAAGGACATCCCGATACAATAATTGAAATTCACAAACTATACCCCTTAGGCCGACGACGTCGGCCTAATTCTTAAAACCCCTAAGTGCAGTCTCATCTTAATTTTAAATACAACTAAGTGCAGTCTCATCTTAATTTTATATACCCCTAAGTGCAGTCTCATCTTAATTTTAAATACCCCAAAGTGAAACTTCTTCCTAATTTAAAAAAGCCCTAAGTGCTGTCGCTCGTTAATTTTTAAAACCCCTAAGTGTATTCTCGCATTCATTTTAAAAAGCCCTATGTGAAAAATAAAAACGAGTAAAAACCCCTAACTGTAATTCAACTTTCAAATTATGCATAATTAATTAGTTGTGTCAAACTAATCAGAGTATCAGACAGTATCATTATCACTGTATGATACTCTATGATTACAAATTAGATTTTTAAAGTATTATGCAAAGCTTCACTGAGGAGTGAAGCTTTGCATAATACTTATAATGATACTGTGTGATACTCTGATTAGTTTAACACAACTAATTAATTATGCATAATTTGAAAGCTGAATTACAGTTAGGGGTTTTTACTCGCTTTTATTTTTCACATAGGGCTTTTTCAAATGAATGCGAGAATACACTTAGGGGTTTTAAAAATTAACGAGCAACAACACTTAGGGATTTCTAAAATTAGGAAGAAGTTTCACTTAGGGGTATTTAAAATTAAGATGAGACTGCACTTAGGGGTTTTAAGAATTAGGCCAACGATGTTTCGACAAAAATCAAAAAGTCGTCGAGAGCCACACCCACTGGGGGTGTGTTTTGTGAATTTTAATTTAATTTTTGCATCAGGATCTCCTCATTGCTCTGAGAAAAACGACATGTCACAACACATGTTTTGACAAAAGTCAGAAATTTACCGCGAGCCACGCCCACTGGGGGTGTGGTTCGTGAATTTTAATTATTGCCGGGAGATCTCATCCAGGTGAGAAAAGTGACCTATCAAAACCCATTTTATGACAAAAGTCGAAAAGTCGCCGAGAGCCCACCCCCACTGGGGGTGTGGTTCGTGAATTTTAATTATTGCGTGGGGATCTCCTCATCCAGGTGAGAAAGGTGACATATCACAACCCATGTTTTGACAAAAGTCGAAAAGTCGTCGAGAGCCACACCCACTGGGGGTGTGGTTCGTGAATTTTATTTATTGCGTGGGGATCTCCTCGTCCAGGTGAGAAAAGTGACATATCACAACCCATGTTTTTATAAAAGTCGAAAAGAGGCGGAGAGCCACACCCACTGGGGTGGGGCATGTGACCACCTTAACCTTGAGGAGGATGACCTATTTGTCGGTTTATTTCTTCGCCATACAATTAGAATTTGCCGCTTTGAAGCTCAATTTCATTAATTAACATAGTTTTTTAACTTGTGACCCTCATTTCAAGGGGGTGTGGTCGTATTTGAAAATTCTGAAAATATATATTTCGTAGAAATGTAGGAGGCTTAGAAAACGGTCAAAACTTTGAAAATGGGTCAAAAACTGACAAATTGGTGACCATGTCAATTTCCAATGTATTTGGCATTAGAAGGTCGGCCACTTAATCTACATACCAAAAAATTCAAGAAAAAAGTTCTAATTATAAAAAACATACCGTAGTTTATCACAACTAATTAATTATGCATGATTTGAAAGTTAAGTTGCAGTTAGGGGTTTTTATATGTCACATAGGGCTATTTAAAATTTAGATGAAACTGCACTTAGGGGTAATTAAAATTAAGATGAGACTGCACTTAGGGCTATTTAAAATTTAGATGAGACTGCACTTAGGGCTATTTAAAATTATGATGAGACTGCACTTAGGGTTATTTAAAATTGAGACGAGACTGCACTTAGGGTTATTTAAAATTAGGCCGACGATATGGTTAACACAATGTTTCACAAGAAGTGGTTTCTTGCAGCTATTTTGACTTGCAGGGAATGCATTACGTAAAAAAACATTTACCGACGATATAACTCATTGAGCGCGTCGCTAGATGGCGCATATTTCTTGCCCTTGGTTGAAGTTTCTGGTACCTACTTAGCATTCCTTGAGCTTCTTGCTTTGCATTGCAAAATATGTAGCCAACCCGAAAAAACGAAACACTGGGTTAATATTCAATGGAATATTTAGTCCAGGTTTCATAGAATTTATTTCATAAATGGCATGCCATTTTTCTACTCTCGGTTGGAATTAAAAAAAACTATTTTATTTATCCTCTTATGGACGACAAATTTTTGGTCTAAAATCACCAAAATCTTTAGCATATTTCATTGTAAAAAAGTTCTAAAAATGCTGAAATATGATATTTAACAGGTAGCATCACCAACAACGTTCCAGCGACTCTTCCCTTCCACACCAATATCAAATCATACCTATCGACGAAGCGTAATCCATGAACCTCCCCACATTCCGACGCGACTCGCACAGTCAATGTGGCCGACTCGACCAGAGCTTAGCATGCCCAACGACATGACCACCATCACCAAGAGGATCGATCATCTTAATGTTATCGACACAAAATTTGTCCGCTGTGCCAATGGAAATTGTCGCTTGGAGGATTATCTAAGAAATTCGGGAGTTAACCGGGGAGAATTTTCTTGCAAAAAATGCGATGTTGTTACCTGTCTGGTGTGCCAGGTAGATTTTTAATGGGAAATCAAACATGCTAATTACTTAATTAGCTAAATACTAATTAATTAATTACAGCAAACCAAAAATTTCGACACTTCCAACCAACCATCCACCTCATCCGCTCAAGCCCCACAAAACTGCACATGTCCAAGAATTGAGACCAATAATTCCGCACCTGCCACCGCCTTAAAACGTGACCACTCACCCCAAAATGCGATGGAGGTTGAGATCGACACTGATTCCGCGGCCGTTGCTGCGAGGAAGAAGGAAAAGCTGGATTTGCAATTGAAGTCAGACTGGGAGTCGAAGTGGTCATTTGTCATGTCTTCCGTCGCCGAGATTCCGTCGGAAGGGGGAGAGGCCGCAGGAGGTGAAGAACGCCGAGGGTCTGATGATGCCTCCATGTTGCTCGCACTTTCACTAGAACTGGAACAGAGCGACTTGTTCCATTCGAAACTAGAGTTTGAATGTCCGATCTGCTTGTGTGACGTGGAAAAAGGAGATGGCGTCATTCTGAAGGATTGCTTTCACCATTTTTGCAAGTATGTCATACCTTAGATACTCATTTTACAATTTTTTTTGCGAATGAATCGTGCCATGAAATATGTAATCAGGGGAAACTTACGAAACGAAAATGTAATGCTTTTCCAGTAAAAAGCTTAGAAAAATTTTGCGACATGATAAATTTGCGAGATTTTTTCAAAGTGTACGAATTTTGCCGTGAGCACGTTCACAAATACATTCACTGGACAATTAAATATTTAATAAAATCCGTGTTTAATACTTTATTTCTATATTTTCTCGCGTAGAGCGTGCCTCTCGCAGGTCATTCAACATTCTGAGGGAGCCACGGTATTTTGTCCACATCGAGTGGAAGATGTCGTGTGCACATTTCTAATATCGGACAGGGAAATTAAAGCGGTAAGAATTGAAATTTGTCCAAAAAAATTTGCATTATTTTTCCTAAGTTTTATTTATCATTTTTTTATGAGTTGCAGCTTGTGACACCCGATTTCTACGAGTCCTTCCTCAACCGATCCATCAACCAGGCAGAGCTGGCAATTCCGAATACGTACCATTGCGGGACGGCAAACTGTAACAGTTGGTGGGAGCTGGAGTCTGACCGTGTCGAAGGGGAAACTTTGTGCCCCCTCTGCCAAAAGAGGAACTGTCTCAAGTGCAAAGCTGTCCATGAAGAGATTTCTTGTCGAGAATATCAAATGTTGCTGCAACAAGACCAGATGGATATTCAGTCGAAAAAGTTGCTCCAGGTATGTGTACATTTATTTAAAGTTTTTATTTAAAGTTCCCAAAAATTTGAATTGAATAAATTTCATGAAAATATTGCATATAAAAATTAGTTCGAACTGGTAAAAGCTGCTTCATTCCATTGTAACTTGCGCCATTATTAAACTTTGGTCAAAATTTTCAAATAATGAAAAATAAATGCCGCTATAACTTATTATTTCAAATTCAATTTTTAGAAATTGACCATACCTGTAAAACGTCGTATAATATTATACAGATTAAATTTTAATTCTCAGGAGTTCAATTAAAATCAAATCAAAGTCAACTTTTAATTGAATTGAACTTTCTTCCTGATTAACTCTTTCCTGAAAACTAATTCTCTTCCTTACATTTAAATTCGCAGGAGAAAGTGAATCGAGGCCTCGTCATGAGATGCCCTACTTGCAAAGTGATGATAGAAAAGAATGGAGGTTGCCCATCCATGCACTGCACCAGTTGCGGGACTGGATTTACTTGGGTGCCTAAGGCCGACCAACAGTTCCCCCAGGGTCACGATCCCTCCGCGATGAATACGCTTTTTATCCCCTTCGCGGCCGGACATGGTGACAAAGCTATGTCTCTGAGCAAACTAATACCTCCAAGAAAGCACAAACCACGCCCTGTTACAGACATGCGCCCCACCGTCGTGCTGCAGCGCATCCCTGGCATTACCATCGGGCCGCGTGGCGGGACTAGCAACACAACCTTGAGACGATTACGTCTTCTTCAAGAACAAGCTAAAAGGAGAGAATCTGAAGAAGATATAATAAACGAACTGCTTAGGTCACGTGGTGTCCAACCGGCAACATCAAATCCGGGGCCGAGTACTTCGTCATCGATGAGAATGAGTCAGCAGAGGGCAGAAGAATGGGTGTGGTCAGCACACTTTGGAGCTACGCCACCGTCCGGGCCAGCTGCAAATGTGGTAAATAATCCTCTGGGGGGGCTATCAAACGACCCGGCGGTGCCCATGTCAAGGTACCTGGTACCGGGGGCGTCAAATTATCCGGTACCGGGGACCTCAAATTATCCAGTGCCCGGGACGTCAAATTACCCGGTACCGGGGACCTCAAATTATTCGATACCAGGGACGTCAAGTAATCCAATGCCGGGGACCTCAAATTACCCGGTACCTGCAACGTCAAATTATCCGGTGGCGGGTACATCGTCCATGTCTATGCCGCACACCCCATTATATTGGACGCCACCAGATCCATCCTACTGGAATGCGCCGGCTGACCCATACTCTTCTACGCTTCAATTAGCAAGTATGTACAATTATTCGCAAAGCACGACCCAGCAGGTTACGCCTGGGTATAATCTATTTCCGGAAAATCGGGCCGCAACACCGGAAACGAGCAGTACAAGTAGTAGTAGTAGCAGTGGAATGGGAGTTAATATGCTTAATAAACATAGCTTAAACTTAATTGGTCAAGGTTTTGATCCAACAATTCAACGCCCTGCGTCGCATCCTAGCGGGTTCAATTCGAGCCCGTATCTCGATGATGATGACGATGACGATGATGACGTAGATGACGACTTGATGATGGAACATGAACTTATGAATCATATATGGGACAATTCAGATTCTTCTTGAATATTTAATTAAATGAGCACGTTGGCAATTATCTAACTTGATTTAGGTTTTTTGGGTTAAATTTTGAATTAAATAGAGATAATTACAAAATATATGCTTTATCTTAATTCCTAAACTAATTTTTATATGGAGTTAATAAAATATGTACTTCGTTTTTTAACCATTTATGAAATGTGCAGATGAGACAAGTTAGTACATACATATTCCACTAATATTGTAATTCTTATTTCAATCGGTAGAAATAATTCGAACGCAGATAACTTTTTGGATTTCATGTCCATGACGAGATTAGTGATACATTCTGTATTGCATAAAAATTAAAATCATGAAGTATGTTTACAAATTACAGCATAGATTCTTATATGTAGTGAATCTTACATGAATTAAAAAATTGGTTCCCTATGGCATACGATTTTTGTGTCCGTTTCCAGATTATGTAGTTGTTTGTGTCTAACTAAAGCTTGCTTGAATAAAAAATTTCTCGTTAAAAAACTTGACCTGAATTGTAAAACATCTGCATAATTGTATGTTTACCAAGAACTGAGCAGGTTAGCAAGGTGACACTTTGTGCAATTTAATGTACTCGGAACAAAACCTCTCGCACTGTTGGACAGGAACATATTGGTCATTTCTCTTGTCATAGCAGATCCTCTCTTCCTCACAAATATCGACGCAATCCGTCAGCATGGCAAAATTCTAGGAGTATAGATACAAGTGCCTACTCAAATTTCATAAAAATTCATTTAAATAAAATATGTACCTCGCCGCCTAATTGGTTGGAATTAGCCTCACAACAAAGTAATATTAGGACAACAAATTTCCAGAAATTGACGTTCATCTGCAATAGAAATTAGTCTATTCTTCCGACGAAATATATAATTTGACGTATTAAGATAGTTTTTACTTTGATTTCTTGGTAATGTGCTCAACCGAAATTGTGTATCTAATTCATGAACCTCAGCGACACGGATTGGAATAAATAAGTATTTACTTGTCAAAGTAGTTAATGTTTTCATTACTTCAGAGAATAGTATTGTTATTTTTGAAGTGTGGCATTATTCTTCAAATTGTAATCGACTAATATGCATTATTGTTGGTTTTAATGGTTCATAAAATACCGAAATTAACGCCAAAGTATTTTTCTGTAGCTCATGTTACGAAAATATCTACATGTACAAAAATGTACATACAATACACACGTACAAAAGTTAACCTTTTGAGCTTATTTTATACGTATATTTCCGCGAAAATAGTAACTGTTTACGTGGAATATGTACATGTATGTATGTACATATGCATGTACGGGTCACACGATTAAATAGTGTTGACACGCGTATTCTGTATTTAATTGACTTCGTCCCAACCTTAAACATGTCGTGGGGTACATACGCATACTTAATACTTACATATGTAAGTCTATTGACATAAATATGTACCCATATAAATATACAGATTATCCAAAATGTTGATATTAAAATGATTCTTCCTAATTCTTTCACACAGCTGCCAAAATAAGACGCAGAACAGTTAACATATTAATTATATGTACACAGAGTACATCCACACTTCAATTGGTTGTAGTTATATATGATTAACTTTTCTGCAAAAAATATTAGAAATATGAAATACACATTTCCACTAATTCTCCTAATTTCTCTTTCCTTTGCTCTGACAAGGGCACAAAATGAAGGAAGTCACTTTACAAATTTATACTTTACCGTTTCTGGCAGGTAATTATTGCATACAAAAATTTTCCATGTTTTAGTTCTATCATAATTTACATTTAACCAATTCTTAAATAGGAATCTTCCATCCAACGGTAACCCTTACCTCCTTATCTATCATGTCCACGATGACAGCTCAACGAACCTCGGAAAAACTTTGGGGGTGAAGGATAACCCAAACCCAGAATGGAATAAGGTCTTCAAAGCGAAATATTTTCATGGGGAAAATGTTCAGAACCAGGTGAGTTTCATGTTAACTATCTGTAGCCCATTCAAATTAAGAACGTTAGAAAAACTTGAATTTTTACCAAACAAAATAAAAAACACTAAATCTATACTTCTTTCAACACTATAGATAAATCTTTCAAAATCTGACAAATATTCTAGTATAATATTCAAATGCATGTTCTGATCCGTCTTTTGTAGAATTTACGGATATTATTTATATTTTGCATCTATTTTTTTACCAACGTCGAAAAGTTTCGCCCTTTTTACTTTGAAGTGCTCTTATTCTTATAATTTTCTAGAGGCTATTCGTGCAAGTAAAAGGGTTACAGAACACAGCAAATGTCTTCGTCGAACTTTCATCCTACATGGAGAGTGGTCAAAACCTGAGCATCCCATTAACAGGGGAGTATTCCGGGTCATCTCTTATCTTACAGGGAACGACGCCATTCTACTTCAGCCTTCAAGTCAAGTATGTAAATATGTACATTACAATTTTTATACTAATGCGTGAATTAAATCAAATTGTTAGGGCACAATGTTATTTTAATACCATGTAGCAACTTTAATACCGAGAAATCAATACTTGCGCAATTATATCAGATTTTTAACAGTGTATGTATTTAACTTTTATTCTTAAGCAACATTCCTGCCACGGACTTTAACTGGTGGGGGGTCAGAACAGGGCTAAGTGACCCTTACATAAATTGCTACTTCTTCTCCGCCTCCGACCCTTGGGATGCGCAAAGGTCAAAATTCCATGAAACAACTGTCGTCCGGAATGTTCACGACGCATCCTGGTGGGATCAGCCGATCGAGTATCTCAATTACGTTAAGGGAAAGGGACAGGTCAGCGAAAATTAGGGAGCCTAATACTTTTTTTCAAAATATGTAAATAAGTATATTCGCAGAAATTCCTTTTGGAAGTGATGGATCACGACCACATGAGCAAAGATGACTTCTTAGGGGAAGCAATAATTGATGTAGACGAGTTCGTGAGACATGAAGCCATTTTAATTACTCCATTGTTAAATACCCCAAAGATAGGGCAAGCCGGTCAAAACATCACATTAACAGTGAAATGGGAAGGTTGGGCTCAACTAACGGAACCGTAGAGACGATTTCCAGTCGTTTATAATATATTAAAACCAAGATTGTAATGCACTAAATCAATTGGTATCAAATGTATTTACATATTTACATTTATGTTTACACAAAGCGTGCATAACTTATCTCTTGGCACAATTTAAATATGCAAAATTATGTAAGATTTAAAATAAATAAGTATAAATGAGCCTTTGGATATATCTTGACATGAATTAGTAAGTATGTACATTTAAGAAAAAAATTTGTTTTTAAGTTTCTGTAAAATCTCTCATTTTATGCATTTGTGCATGACAATTGGAAATTTCAAATCCACCGTAATTAAATTTCATAGAATTGTACTCCACATTGTCAAGCATTTTACTTATCGTAAATTGTGATGCATTGCATCCAAGTCATGCAAAATATTCGTCTCGCACGACTTCCACTATAAATTTTCATACATAAATTAAGTTTCATGGGTAATACCAATTTGATATTAATCCAGTCTTAGCAAGCTTTGCCTTTGCGTCATCTCGCCATGACCTCCATTCAATTAATTTCGCACTAATTTATTCACTGTCTGGACATCAAAATTAATATTTTATACCCAGGCACATGGAGACCAGTGGAAATTTAGTATCATGTTTTTATATTTGTACCCCATCATCTATAAATACGTCACTTGTACGCGACACACTTACAAACAATTAACGTTAAATGCAAAAAAATATGTACATTGTACTTATGTATGTGCATGTTTGACGTTATCAAGTGGTCAATTTAATGATTATTATCATTGCTCTTAATTAAGTGTAACAAAGAATAAATTATGCATTGTGTTTTTGAATCTCATTTCGCCAGCATTACAACCAAGCTTCGCTTGAATTTAATACGTCAAGCTGGTCGAACCACCCTTTTTCATAAATTTATTTAACACGTCAAGGCCGAGTTCAACAAAGTGTGTAAGCTCAAAAGTATAGTCAAAATTTTAAGGTCTAAAAAGGTTAAACAGCAATAAAGTTAGTCTCTGAAAAAAATACAGAATTCCAAAAATGGGTGACCCTACTAATGTTGGAGATGATTCTTCTAAACATTTCGGTACCGTGGACTACCTCGTGTTTACCCTAATGCTCGCCATATCTGCCGGAATTGGGGTATTTTACGGTTGTTTTAGTAAACGACAAAAGACTACGAAGGATTTCTTAATGGGGGGTAGAAACATGGGAACAATCCCGGTCACCTTGTCACTCTTGGCGTGTAAGTACATACACCATCAATAAATTATTAGACATGGTTGTTCTTAAAAACCGCAAATATCTAATGTGACAAAAAAGTTAGCTCGTTAAAGTATGTGTGTATGTACGTATCGGACTCTTGCATATCTGTGATCTGTATCATTTTTCAGCGTTCTTTTCCGCCATTGCACTACTTTCCGTCCCTGCAGAAATATATTTAAATGGTAACGATATTTTACATTCTTTTGGATAAGTATTTAAATAAATATCTAAATTTGCAAATTTGTTACTTTCATTAAATATTATCCAGGCACCGTATACGTCATGATTGGACCCTCGTACTTTGCAGCTTTGGGGGTTTCGGCTTATCTGTATTTGCCCGTATTTTATAACCTACAATTAACCTCAGCATATGAAGTAAGCTGAACTGAAAACAAGCTGTATGTGCAAAATATAAAATTTGCTGACTCTATATTTTTGCAGTATTTAGAATTGCGATTTTCTAAACCTGTCAGAATTCTTGCTTCGGTAGTGTTTGCAATACAAATGGTAAAATGAGCAACAAAAATGTATAATTCAAACTTAAAACTAACAATAAAATTAATAACAATTCGTAGATACTTTACATGTCCGTCGTTATCTACGCTCCAGCACTTGCCCTCAGTCAAGGTAAAATCTTTGTAATTTTAATTTGACTTTGTAAAAATTATGCTTAATAATTTCCTTTCAGTTACCGGTTTACATCTTTACGGCTGTGTGACAACTTTATTTGGCATCGTCATTTTCTACACCGCCTTGGTAATTAATATTTAATTTAACCTTTTGAAATTGATAAGTATTTAATTCAAATCGACTCAAAAAAGTGGCATAAAATTAGATTACTTATTTTACAACAGGGAGGAATAAAATCAGTCATGTGGACCGACGTAGTGCAAATTATTGTAATGTAAGCAAGATGCAAAATATTCCAACAAAATGTGTTGACATTTTTTAATTATAATTCAAATTGTTAAATCCTATAGCATAAATAAATACGGATTATGTGGCATACATAATTTTACAAGTCTGGACTTGATAAATTAATAGAAATATTCCCCAGGTTTGGTGCCATGATTGTCGTCCTGGTGAAAGGTGGAATTGACTTGGGTGGATTTGGAAACATTTGGAAGGTTGCCGTCGACAGTGGACACATCGAATATTTCGAGTATTATTCCAAAATTATTTCCAAAATACGTATGACTGACTTATGCCAGCCGTAAATATTTAGCTTTGATCCCGATCCGAGGACTCGACAGACCACGTGGACCTTATGGATTGGGGCATTTTTCATGTGGCTGGCGATCTATGGAGTCAATCAAGCACAGGTAAATATCTAATTTACAAAGTCACTTCCAAAATAAATATGAAATATTCTTACGTTTATTTTACACTTTAGGTTCAACGTTATCTTACCCTCCCAACTATACGACAAGCAAAAACGTGAGTGAAATAAGTTAATCAATTTCTGCAAATTACCTAAATTATAAACACATTTCGTATGTTGTATAAAGGGCCATCTGGCTAAATGCTTTCGGTCTTCTTGGTTTATTAACTCTCAATTGTATGACTGGGTTGGTAATTTTTGCAAAATATTCGAAATGCGACCCACTCCTGTCAAAGGTTTGCCATTATAACTCGCTCAAATTTATATAATTCAGTTTTATTAGTATCAAGGAAACATTTTTTTTCTTTAGCGAATAAGGACAACGGACCAGTTACTCCCGATATTCGTGATGGATACGCTAGGCGATTTTAATGGTTTTCCTGGCTTATTCGTTGCAGGAATATTCTCGGGAGCGTTGAGGCAAGTAAATTATTCGAAAGTTTACAAATCTAATTCTTGTGGGTTTCCAGAGTAACATATTTTAAGAAAGGAATGCGATTTTCAGGAGCATTGAGGTTAAAGATGTGTTAGAAAGATAACAACTTTTTTTAAATTTTGGGTTTCTAAAGACGCAGATTTTTATCCACTGGCATTTTTCAAAATTTTACCTTTGCAAAAATTAGTTTACTATTTTAAATATTTTATTTTGAAAATCCATAATATTTCTGCCACAGCACCGTGTCCAGCGGACTCAACAGCTTGGCCTCCATAACTCTTGAAGACTACGTGAAGTATTTCTACCCCAACATTAATGACCGCAGGGCGACGAATATTTCCAAAATTTCCGCCATCATTTACGGACTATTATCTTTTGGCCTAGTTTTTATTGCTGAAAAATTAGGCGGCATTTTTGACGTTTCTTTCAGCATCTTCGGAATGATTGGAGGCCCGTTATTGGGAGTGTTCAATTTAGGAATGTTTGTTCCTTGGTGTAACTCCAAGGGTGCATTTTGGGGCACCTTTACTTCTCTCGTGGTCATGTTATGGTTGGGGATTGGAACGTCCTTGGCGAATAGTGGGAAACCTTCAGTGTCGAAATTGACATTAAGGTAAGGTAGTATGTAAGTAGTATGTATGTATGTAGTAAGGTATGGATAGTTAAAAATTAAAAAGGAAATGCACAATATGTTGAAGAGCCTAAATTTTTTAAATTCAGCCAACTAAATTTTCTATATGGTAAAGTTGTTAAATTTTCGTACATACATAGGTACGTTAACATCGAGGCGTAACGAAAGTTGAAAATGCAAATTTAAGTGTAGGTTTTACATAAAAACTGCTTTAGCAAAAGTTATACCATAAATTTCTTAAATTTGCGTGGTTACGAATTATGACGTGAATTTCTCCATTATAGTTTTTAAATTTCTATGTTTGTTGATATGGGTATGATATAGGGCGTACTCACCTCAACTTCGTGTTTCGCATCGTTACTTGTTGTGCAAAGTAATCTTGCGACATAAAGCATATCAATCTTTTAGTAAATATGTAATAATTATTTTCGAGCAAAAAGGTTAGCGAAATATCGAAAAACTTCGCAAGTTCTAGATTTGCTACATAGTTAGCTTGATTTGCCACGAGGATTTCCAATGTTAGTGAAAACTAAAGGCTTCTCTTATGAATTAATAATTTATTTAATAAGTAATATCTATCTTCGTCTATTTAATTAACAGTGTCGAAGGATGTTCCAATTTTACCACAGCGCCGTCTAATTTTCTTAATCAGACTGCAAAAAGGTTACTTAAAGATGTTATGAATTACCTACGATTTCTTCTGATTAACTTTGCATTTTTTTTGACGAGGATAGTGACGAGATATCCGAATTTTACAAAATATCCTACTACTGGTACACCCTGATCGGATGCTGTGTCAACATGCTGGTTGGAACAGTGGTCAGTTTCCTCACTGGCAAACAGGATCCTCGAGACCTGAACCCACAGCTTATCAGTCCGCCTTGTGATCAATTTGTCAAGAAATTTGTTCCGTTGCACATACAGCAAAAAATATACTGGGATTTGGGAGCGCACATCGTAAGCAATTCCATAAATACATGTTTCATACATGCATATGTGCTCTGAAATGTGTGACGAGGTTTTGCCAATTTTAAATTACAGAATGGAGATATTTATAAAAATCAGATGCATAATGGGAACCATGAACTTGGTGAAATTAATGGAAAAAGTTAACCAGCAGTAATAAATTGTTAAGCAAAATAAATAACATCGCATTTTAGCGTCGAAAGTAAATCTAACGACAATTTTGTGTGTGCATAGGCTCGTAACCATTTTATGTATAGGTATGCATAATATGCATACCACGTTAACAGATAATATGTTGCATGTTGATTGGTATCATGAATTCAATTGTGGTATGTCCAGCTTGTCATTTTCTCAAAATTGGTGATTTAATGACATCATTGTATTTTAGTGGAGGGTTTGTAAAAAAAATCATGCAATTTGTAATCAATCACCTTATGTATACAAAACTTTTATTAGCCCAGCTTGCCATTACGTCCTTATTATGGGCGACACTTCTTAGGATTAGAACACGTACATATGCATCTATGTATGTATGCATGTACCGGTGATACCGTGGAATAAGATACTACACTATACGATCAGAATTTACACAAAAATCCATAGTTCAGACATAGATAATACTAAGGATGAGTTTCTTTCGCAAAGAGATTCATGCATGTATGTACTTAAATATGATGTATGTATGCCCATATTTAAATACGTATATACATAGATGTACATATAGTGAGAGTCTCATTACATCTACATACAATGCAGCAATTCATGCGTCCAACATGGGCCATCTGGAATCTGCTCATGTGTTACTCATCCGGGTATTATCTTTACCCGTTTTTCTTCACGAGCAAGTTTTTTATGTAGGTAATTGCATACCTATCCAGCTGGTCATTTGGTCACATGCATATATGTACAAACTCGATCAGCATTTCAGGCGACACGCTGACAAATTTTGCTCAAAATCTGAACAATGGATCCAATAACCTTACAAGGATTCCCCAAATTTTTCGATCTTCCACAAAACGTAAGTTTTATGCAATAAAGTAATAGATGCATATTTACAAACGTCATTATTTTTTGTTTGATATTTAGGTTATGGAGAAAATATGTGTTCATTTACCATATTCCATGTTGAAAGTATTGAGACTCGTGTCAATCAATGTGAACAAAAAGATCAATGAAGATGCCAGATTTTTTGACAGATCTATCATCACAATTCCTTACGAAAGGTAAGTTCTAATTTTTGCGTATAGATACGCAAAAATGCAGATCTGCATTTTTAATAAACCAAAAACTATCAAAAATTAGGTGCGTAAGCTGAATTAAGTATGCACTTACTTTACTCTAATTTTATGCATAACCGAGTAAACTGCATAAGCTTTCTAGAATAATTTACATACGCTAAGAAAATATAAAAATAGTATTTACATAATCGTTAGTCTGTTAACTGATTCTTAATTGATTTCTCTTCACGTTGTGCCAACGTTTAGTATTGATGTTGATCATAGGTTTGTTGATTTAATGAAGTTCACTCGGTCACAAGTACCTGACCTGAGTCAATCTCATGCATATTTATGTATATCAAATCAGGAATAGGAAATTTTTAATTTTTAGGAAAAAATACTTTTAGAGAGCGATGATCATGCTCAAACTGACACAAATTTCCCGTCATGCAAACCATTAATTAGATAATTACAATTCTTTCAACTTACAGTTTACAAAGACCTGCCACATTTCAAACTGCAATCCAATTACTAAAGAAATTACGACCCACGAAGAAATTAACGATTTCATTCCCTCCCAAAAAACCTGGGACCGTGTTATTCGTCCTGATTGGAAACATCTTGGCAGCGTTATTTGCAAATGTTATGAACGAAGCTGAAGCCAATTGCGAAATGGGAGAACCAATCATGCAAATTTTGAGTAAAGATTGGAATTTTGAGGATTCCCCGTTACAGATTAGTTTCAACTTTTCTCAACCGAATGATCTGAAAAATTCCTTGATGCTCTCACCGTACAAGATTTGGAACACTATTTGCCTCTCGGACCCTCGTCTGTATGAAGTGATGATTAAGCGGACAATTCTGGAAATGAAGGTGGCACCAAATGAAGAAGCTTTCGAGGATGGAAGCAATGAGTTAAAGTTACTTTGTGTTCACATTTTTTGCCAACAATCCGAAATTATGGTGCCAATATTAGGGGAAAGTTTGGAGAGTAGGAAAGGTTTGTATGACTGGAGGATTTTAGGATGCATTATTTCAGTCTTGGCAGTTGGGGTTGGTATCGTTGCTTGGATTTTATACCAAACTTTTTCGTAGAAATATATGTACATAAATATATATATATACAACGTATACATATATGTATTTGATACGTACAGTATGCATGTATACATGTATACCTGTATGTATAAACTGAACATAAAAATTTACATACATTACTCCAGTGAATAGAAACCATATAATATTTCAGTAATATAAAAAAAACATTACATAAATATGTACATATGCGCATACGTGCGTAAAGGTTGCTTTTGCATCTACATATAAATTTGAATGTGCATGCATGTATAATTATGGCTATGGCTGCTGGTATGTAGTAAGTTCAATGTATGTAATGTGAGTCATCTTGTAGACTCCTCATCTTCAGCTAGATCTGGTTGATTTAGGTAATGATTTTGCATGGTTGAAATGCAAAATCTAGGTATGTATGCATGAAATTTTTAATTGTATTTAGTAAATGTATGTGTGTTTATGTACTTATCCTAAGTTACGAAAACTATTTGCCATACATATGTATGTATAAACATATGTACTAATTGTAAATTTTGTGCCGTTTTTTTATACTTTATGTATGTATGTGTTAATGGTTTAAATCAGCAGACGTACTGCATACTTATTTATTAAGGGGTGAAAGCCCTTTATAAGATCGTTATGTCCGTCTGTCTGTCCGTCCGTCCGTCCGTCCGTCTGTCTGTCCGTAGCTCCGATAACTTTTGAACGAAAAGACATAGACACTTGAAATTTTGAACGTAAACTCCTAACGTCAATGGTCAGGACGAGTTCGAAGATGGACACTGTGACATCGTCACCTGTGACGATGACGTCGTCACAGTGACGAAAAGTGACGAAAAAGTGTCACTTGTCAGTTTTGACATGTGACACATCATTTTTAACTATTTTTCAATGAGGAATTCGAAAATTCATGTCATTTTGTGTTTGGACGTCACCTGTGACGATGACATCGTCACGGTGACGAAAAGTGACGAAAAAGTGTCACTTGTCAGTTTTGGCATGTGACACATCATTTTTAACTATTTTTCAATGTCAAATTCAATGGTGACCTCCATTTTGACCTCAGAGGTCATGTAAAGGTCATAGGACATATCTATTTCAATTTCAACTGAAGTTTAACCCCGAATTCAATGGTGACCTCCATTTTGACCTCAGAGGTCATATAAAGGTCACATAAGGGTTATCAACTGTTAAATTTGACACAAATAAGACACAAAAGTCGAAAACACGTCAGAAGTGTCAATCTTAACAAATTTTCGAACAATTTGATATTCACATTGACGTATGACACTCCTTTCACCCCTTGGTTACATGCGTTGTAACGGTTTATTTATTATGTATCAGCAACAAAGTTTAATTTGCAATCCTTACCAGAAAATATATGCAACTTAAAAACATCGGTAAAAAATCCTCCATAATGGGAATATGCATTACGAGATCGAACAACGCTAGCAAAAAAAATCCCAAGTTAAAAAAAAATAAGCTTGGAAATTAATTTGCGAGCTTACGTATCTCCAGGGATTGTCTTTAGTTGAAATTTTTTTTTCAAAATTATTTTTGCGATCCGAATATGTAAACTCGTAATGAATACCCCCAATATGTCACTCAGAAAGTTTTTCAATCAATACATCCTCCCAAATTTGTTGAGACAAAATTAAAAAACATAGATTACACACATTATCTAAATACAAATACACGTTGTAGGAACCATGCTTACGCATGTTTGACTCTGTAACAAATACTATAAAAAATTATGTCTACCTATGTAAAAACCTGACCCTTCCACACACTCCGCTTGTGCATGCATACATATAAAGCTTATAAGTACGCATACATTATGTAAATAAATACATACGTAATTTATCATCCTGACAATAAAGGAAGTCATCTCTTGCTTTTAAAAAGCAATTCAAAATGTAACGCATAAAAAACTTGTATAGCACTTAAAAAATTTGTCGTACAGTAAGTCCACTTAGCATACCGCAGGCTCGCGTATATGTATAACATTTACATAAATATGCACTCCACTTTTTCACCAAATTGCAAGTAACGTAACACCCCACAAGCAGGAAGCCATCTGACATTAACCCATCAAAAAAAATCTGATCCATTTCATCCCACCATTTCAAATTCATATTACACTCATCATTACACCTGATCAAAAAACCGGTTGCCGATGTGCATTCATACGTCGATCACGCTTACCAATATGCAGACAAGTCTTTAATGGCTTTCTAACCACGCGCAAAAAAAGTATGACACTGCGACTACGGAAGGAAGCAGATGACAACCTGCATTAAAATTTGCGAGTTTGTGTGGCATAATTGCTAATGTAATCGAATTACGTACGTTATCATCACAAACTGCATTTACAAATTGGTCTCAGTCCGTCTTTGTCGTCACGCATGGCAAGTTCTTCGGGACAAAATATAAAGTTTGAACCGAAAATTAACAATTTTTCGAAATGGGGATCGGTCCTGGGGTCGGTTTTGTGGGGAGGTTGAGATACATCGCGTCCCCCGTTCTGTCCATGATTTGGGTGCCCACGCTGTACTACACGATCTCCAGCCTTAGCATAATTCTGGCTCTGTGGGAGGCAGGCGACATGACTTTGGATGCACAAGAAAAACTACCCGAGGGACGAGAAGTGTTCGATTTTATAATCGGTATTTGAATTTTGGATAGAAATTTTTGCATAGGAATTATCGATTTTGAGAAATTCAGTGATTATTGGAAATTTTTAAGGTCGTCTGGCCATGCGTATGTTTGTAACCTAATAAATTGTGCAGCTTTTTTGCAATATTAAGGTACAAATAGGTACAAAATACAACGACACCCTTGATCTTTTTAATTGTGAGTATGTAGGTATGTATGTACATATATGCAAAGTAGTTTTGTGAGTATACTTGTTTCATGTATGTACTTATGTATGTACCTTGCTAATGTTTTGAATCATTTCTATTAAGGTTTTCTGGTTTTACTGACTTACATATGTATGTATGCGTGATTTACCCATTTGCGAATTAGATATCTCAATATTAAAAATAGAAATTTTAAGATCATTCACTAAAAATCGTTCATTAGTTTACGAAAATAAAATATGCTTTTGTCTTCACACCCAATTTTCATGAGCATTTTGAATACTTACATAATTATGTTATTTAAATATTTGTGTAGTTGGTGCTGGTAGTGCCGGGAGTGTGGTGGCGTACCGACTATCCAAGAACTATAAAGTGCTTCTACTTGAAGCTGGTAAGTTACATATTTTGTCTATTTTTAATTACCCTAAAGCTATTGATGAGCCAAGAATGTTGTCATTGAGGGTATTTATTACGAGTGCGCATGTTCGCATCGTAATTTTTAACATAATTTAAAAAAATGGCAAACCAAATATGTAGAAGTCTTGGAGATGCGCAAGTTCGCACATAAATTTTCAAGCAAAATTTTTTTGCGAAGTTTGTTTTCTTTTTGTAAACGTTATGCAAACTCGATACCCTCGTTGTTAATATCCGTCATGCATTAAAATAGCTTTTCACACTGTCATTTATCCCTGCAAAAAGTTAATCAGGTTCCAGATCCACGAAACGTATTCATGTAAATTATATAGCATCCCTCGTTTTTAGGCGGTGAGCCAAATCCACTCCAATATATTCCAGGATTCGCTGTATTTCTAACGTAAAAAAATCTCAAATTATTTATTAACTTACCTAATTAAAATAAACAAGACTAAAATTAGGAATAAAGCGCCCATCGACTGGCAACATAAATCCGTTCCGCAAAAGTTTGGAAGTTTGAATTCCATAAATCAGCAAAGCAGTTGGTCCGCGGGACGAGGTTTGGGAGGGACTGGGAATTTAAACTACATGATCCATTTACGAGGACATACGCAAGACTTTGATAATTGGGGTATGATATGAGCTGTCACGTAAAAATCATGAATTAAATGCTGAAATTAATTAATCCTCGATAGCAAGAATTACCGGAGATCCTAGTTGGAGTTGGGCCGGAGTTTTGCCATATTACAAAAGTATTGAGGATTATGATGAAGGAGGAGATGGTACGGTTAATTATTTAGTTAGATTTTATAAGACCAATTAGTAAATTTTTTTCTTTGATTTAGAAACTTATCACGGAATTGGTGGACCATTGCGCGTCGGACTACCAGATTATGTAGGACTAGGCCCCGAATTTGTGAAGGCTGGACAAGAATTTGGTTATCCGTCGGTCGATTTCAACGCGCCATTTCACGAAGGTTTAAACCAATTGATTAATTTTAACCAGTAATATTTCAACTATAATCCCAGACTTTGACTTCATGAAATATTTAAGGGAGTAAATTAGTCAGAATCTGGGACTTTTTTTTAACATCGCCATCATTTTAAAAATATTCTTGCCCCGTAATCTTCTAGGCTTCGAAGTTCTCAAATATCCGATCCGACATGGAATTCGTGACGCACCGTATCGTGCCTTCCTCCAACCCATTAGGCGTCGGAGTAATCTAGTCATTAGAAAATTCTCACATGCAACAAAAGTATGAAATTCCCATAAAAAATAGCTATTTGAATTTTTTACTCAAAATGTTTTGCGCTAAGGTTCTTCTCAATGAAAGAAACGAAGCAGAAGGTGTCGAATACGACCGTCACGGTGAGCGTCGTGTCGCTTTCGCCAGGAAGGAAGTAATCAGTTCATAAAATATATTTCTATCTTTAAGCATAAATTTCCACGGAATATTAATATTTCAAAAGGTAATCCTATCCGCGGGCGCAATTACCACGCCTAGAATCCTCATGCTTTCTGGGATCGGTCCTGCCGCCCATTTACAACAGTTGGGAATCCCCGTCCGTCGTGATTTACCGGTCGGTCATGGACTCCAAGATCATATCGGGGCCTATTTGGGACCTTTCTTTATTGATAAGCCTAGAACGCTCGCATTAGAAAGGGATCTCACACCAGGAGCGTTTGTAAATTGTAATCTTACCTTGGAGAATTATAAATCCATGACTTTTGTGAAATTTTGAAGCATTTCATTCTGCTTTTATCATAGGGTTTACCTCCGGACGTGGCGTCTTATCTTCTCCAGGTAACCACCTTATCGGAATCGTATTTAGTCCTATCTAAGACATTACCTTCTTCAGGAGCACACGCTGCCGGTATGGTGTCATCCTCGTATGCTGCTGCTCGTGGGGAAGCCACTTGGCCCGATTTGGTCCTCTATCTCTTCGGATTCTCGGTATTTCGAACGTTCGGTGACGAATTTTCGAAAGCATTCTCGCTCAAATTGGACGAGCAACGGAGGTACTACGAGCACGCTGTGGGGAAAGAAAGCTTCCTCATTGCCGTGTCAGGGGCGAGACCGTTTTCCACAGGACAGGTAACTTAACATGTGCGAATTACCTCATCATTAACATAACCCACATGTTTGCATGCTCGCCTATTTTACACCTGGGTGTATATGTATACACGTATTGATATGACTGAATTCCATTGGTTTAAGATCAAACTTGGCGGGTCAAGTCCATACGACGCTCTAGTCATCGATCCCGCCTATCTGACCGACGAGGGTGACGTAGATGTCAAAGTGCTCGTCGATGGGATCAAGAAGACACTCCGTTTGATCGAAAATTCCACAACGCTTGGAAAAGAGATGAACGCGCGATTTACAGACGTATCACTTCCGGGCTGCGAACATTACATTTTTCGTTCAGATGCTTATTGGGAGTGTTTCGCTAGGAGGAGTACGGTCACGTTGCATCACCCGGGTAAATCAAATTCGTTACAGTATTGCTAAGCAGTTGGTTAGGCGTTATATTGAGTATTACTATTAAGCTTGCTAATTGGTCATCAAATTTAAATTTCGCGGTATTACGACAATATTGGCACGACAGTAGCATATTTATCAAAAATGCAAATAATCTGACAGATACCCTTAAAATTATTAAGCGAGTGGGCATTTGCATGAAATTATGTACATATTTTTGACTGCTTTTGATGATCTTTAGACATACTAGATTTCAATTTTAAATCCTGACTCTCCAAATCCATGACTTTGATATTATTACCATCTTTGTAGTTGGAACATGTGGAATGGGTCGTGTCGTGGATACGCAGCTTCGCGTGTACGGAACTCCTCGCCTAAGAATAATCGACAACTCGATCCAGCCCATCATTGTTACGACGAACACACAAGCATCCGCCCTCATGATCGGGGAGAAGGGAGTCGACATGATTTTGAAATATTGGGAAAATGAACACTTGGAAAGAATGGATAACACTAGTTTTCAATATGGGGAAGCAGCAAATATGTCTTCATCTTTATTTAGGATAACCACTGATAAGAAAAGCTTTAGTACAAAATTAATGCAGTGGCATAATTTAATACAGAAATAAACAATATTGTTACTTGTTAGTCAATATTTTAAGAATAAAAATTATGGAAAATTGAGTCCTTTACAAAGGAAAAATACAAGTTATGTTACACAAATAAATTAAGAAAATTATTATTTTTACGTATGTATGTACTTATCTTCAAGCACATCCTCACTCTCGGTGCGATAAAAATTCATATTTTTTACAGTGCACTGTAAGAAATATGAATAGAAATATGAATAGAAATATATTGGTCATTTTGGTATAGGTGTTGACCCTTAACTCATTGGACACCTCGGTATGTTCCCTTGTAAGGTTGAAGGTTGCATAATTATCATGGTTTCGTCAAAATCGGAGCGAGACCGCTGGCGTCATCGCATTTTAGTTATACTCGTAACTCCATAATTGGCATCGTAATACTTACAGTAAATTCAGCATATATAAATGTTCAGTTTTAATGTACAAGCTAAATAAGCAGTTCTCAGATAACATTTACAAAAGTTTTCAAAATTAGAATTTACATATGTACGTAAACAAGAAGGTAACCATAAAAAATGAATGTTACACCCATCACATTCTGTGCATATCTACGCTTGAACAAAACAGCCTAAATATTTCGGATAAAAACGCTAATATTGACCCTGTCAATAGGGCAGCCCATATTATAAAAATTGTGTCAATGCTTCCCCCCAATTTCAGCGCTGTTTTTCTATCAGCTTGCAATCCTTTGTATGATCGGGTTCCCTCATCTTCCGCTATTTTTCTCATCCTTCTTTTTCGAAACTTCATTTCCCTCTCTGTATCACGTGCTCGTTCGTAAAGTCCAGTCTCGACCATACCCTTAAACATTTTAGGGATAATCGAAGCCTTTGTTCCTTCATACGTGTCGAAGCTCCAGCCAACGATTCCACTGTAGATTGTTTGTTTGCTGACATAAAATTTTTCCCATGGGTACCTCGCAGTCAAATATGTTTTCCAACGTGCAATCTCCTCTACGTCCGCTAAAAACACGGATTTTCCGCATTCGATTAATTCTTCCTCAATTGAGTTAACCACGCCCTCAATCGTTGCGTTCACCGGTGTTTTAGCGTACTTTTTTGTGTACAAGAGCTGATCTGGGTGTAGCATGTTGTACAAGAGAAGGTTCATTTGTAAGTTGGAGGTCAAGCTTTTCCTGAAGAGACTCAGGAAAAAGACAATAGCATCGTAATGTATATATGCTCTTTTTTCCGAACGAGAAATATCTTCTGGAGCTGAGAATATTTTAAAACATTCAGTGTCCAATGTGGCCCCCCTAATTTGACGAATCTTATCCTCGAGACGCAGACGAACTGTGGGTAATGTGTCGTTAAAGGTCTTCTGCCTGAAAAAAGTCTCACCTGTAGAATTGGAGCAGGCAATGTCCTGAAGGAAGAAATACAAGCTTTTTGTTAGCAACAAAGTCATTCAGCGTGTCTTCACATATCAACGTTACCTCAAAGCTCGTTGGATAATTTGATATCGCTGGGGAATTCAGCGTGCTGATAATCAAACTCTTATAACTGGTGGTCAAACTGGTCACAGAGATGAGCCAAACTCCAAGAAAAATCCGAAAAAAATTGGTCCCACGGGTTCCAAGTAGCACAGAAGGTATATGGGCGACTCTTTCGAAAATCGTTGCTATAAAGTAAAATGATATTGAAGACGTGCAATTTTGCACTGATTTAAATTTGATTGCAATGACCAACTCTCCCGTAATTATTAACGTAAGTAGACAAATTATAATGCATATCCACACCAATGGTTGGAAGGGTGAGATGTAAAATGCGAAACGCAGTGTCGGAGTGGCGTAGCAGGTAATAAAGTTATACTTTGAAGACCGCGTGACGACAAGACTTCTATGGTGCGTAAGAAAATATATGTCCTGTATTTCTGGTTCCACGATTTCTCTAAAGCATTCTTGATGCACTCGATATTGTGCATAAGATAAACACCCTAAATTTAACTGAACCTGGCGATTTTGGGTAGCATCAAAAATTGTGAGATTCAGCTTGAATGACAAGATTGTGTGAATGATTTGGCTGCTGGCGTGAAAACCGTTGTGGTGGTTTTCTGGTTCATATTTCGAAGCCACCCAGTCCCAAGGAATTTTTGTTGTTTTGTAAAATGAAATATAGTTGGCGTTATTGGGTATTCGTGCACAATCCATATTTTGTATGAAGGGAACACTGTTCTCAAACTTCTTGACACACAAATGATCTATGCCTTTACTAGAAGTGGGGAGAAATAAGACAGCAAAGTTAGCAAGGTTAAACCCATGTCCGAGCAGGAATAGTGGAAAATCAGAACTTTGTTCAAGTAGGATTTTAATATCCCAAGTCCTTAAAAGTAATAGCACGTAAATTTGCCCAATTAAGGTTCTTGGTACAAAATCCGATCTGGATTGACCCGTGTCGAAATATTCGAAGGAATGCTGATGGATTATATCTCCAAAATATCGCGAATCTTCAAGGGTCATGGGAATTTTAAATTTCAACGATATTACAAGGAAGCGACAGAAAGGTGAAAGTGGCCTTGACCTAAATAAACGAAAGAGCTTATTCTTAAGCCAGAGATCGAAAGGGCTGGGAACGGAGGTGGAATTTCTGTGAATTAATGAAATGAGAATTGGTTGAGAAGAATCAGATAAATATAAATTTTTTGAATTTTCTACGTCACGTAACAAGTGCGGGATGCAATTCCGACCCACGTTATTCACAATGTTGCGGAAATTTACACTAGAAGAAGTATCCATTAGGTTTGAATGAACAAAGAGAGGAAAAAGTGTTATGCACGGATTTAAGTGAAAGGATCTCATCGTTATTTATGAACTTTAGTAGATGGGGAGATGAATTGAATCACATACGTAGAAAAACCTTCTGAGGTACTTATGTTTCAATATATGTTTGTACACATGCTGTGACAACTACATATTTGTAACGACTAATTGTACAAGAGAAAACAAGTCCAAGGAAAAAGCAACCCCTGGTTGGTTTCGTAATATAAATTGTTTTCTTTCGTACGTACGTACATATGTATATACTTTTGTAGATATGTATGTACATTGCAATAATATATCTGATCCGAAGTATGACAGCCAGACATATACATATATGTATATGTAAATGATTTACATATGTAAATGCATGAATATTACACATGTTCATACGTATGCAAATGTTTTGAGGAGTTTGAGAATGCATAATTCTAAGAAAAAGTTGAAATTTGCAATTTGTACAGTTTTTATGTTTTTTACGTTATTAAGATTCGATTTTAGGTAGATACGATTATAAATACCATATTCTGATAGGAGAAGTTCGTCATTTGTGACCATGAAGTAAGATACTTAAGCTTATGAGTTTCCTGAATTGGCATCACGGTCATGAAATAATGTATTTACATGGCATGCAAAATGTACAAATTTATATATACTTATTTAAGTATTACATACATATATGTGTACAATACGTATATACGTACTTTCTCATCGTGATCATTATCGCCGTATTCTACCAAGATGCATGAACACATATGTATTTCGCTTTCACAATAATAAAATTACATGCAAAGTTTTCACTTTGATAATTTTAAGGTTTGGTGCGCAAGAAAATATGTAATTCTGTGAAAATTATGAACGCTTTATGTAAGTATGTATGTGTGCATATGTGTACTAATCTTTAGTTTCGTGACAAATCCGAGTTCTTTGAGTAAATATTTTCACCTATTCTTGCATCATGAGTAGATTACCTTTCACTAGTTTAAGTAACGAGTTTGAAGTTATATTTAATTCTTTCATAAACAAAACAAATAAGTAGGTACAAGTTGCAAAATAATTTGAATTATTGTTCTGCTTTAACAAACATATACTATTTATCCAGGATTCTTCATGCACATAGATATACATATGGATGAATTTTACTTAAGATCAACAAATGCATGTAAATATATTGATATTTAAAAATGATACATACCTATCTTAATTTTATAAGTTTCACCATTTTATAAATTCGATTAAAATCGTGATTGGGTAAATCTGTTTGGTTATTACAAACAAATAAATAAATAATGTCTAGCATAAATGCTAGAAATTATTAGTAAATGTCGAAGGAGTTAGTATCAGCCAACCTAACAATTTATGCGGCAAGTATATGTTTTGCAATATAAATTATGCTACCCATATGATTATTATCTATATTAGCATTCAAAATTCAATTGCAAAATTTCAACGTATTAAAATTTGCCATTCTGAAAACACTAATTCCTGAAAAAATTGCGACTTCTATTTTAATCAATGATGCATGTTTGTTCTTGTTATGATCTACATATGAATTCAATTTAAACTGCTATCATAATATGACACGAGATGTATACATATATACATATAATATAAGTATACTGTTGTAAATTGTGGCGTATGTATAAATACATCTGGGATGGAATGGTTCCATTATCTAACTTATCATTATCGTTATCGCATCCTGTATATAACACAATTTATCACCATCATCCCTTCTTCAATTTATTATTACAATAAATACGACAATAATTTAAATTACTGATCAACACAAATTTATTTCCCAATTCGTATATAATCCTCTGCAGGCTTATGTATGTTACGTGTAAAAATTGCAGCTCAAATAAACTAAGATATACATTTCTTAAGACACTACAAATGTCCAAAGTCTGCCCCAGAGTTCATGTCATCACAATCTTCATCAAATCCGATTTCTTATTAATTAGATAATTTACGCACTAAATAAATTCTAATGAAGATTCACTGATCAAATATGGAAGCAACTGCAGTAGGAAATATGCATGTCAAGTTTAAGGCGTTGGTAAGAAAAATGCCACCATGCAGGCTGCCTGACAAGAACCAAAGGCCCCGTTGCACGCAAGAATTGCCGCCGGTGTTCCAACGCCAGCAGTGACCGTACCGAACGTGGCGCCAGCCGCGGCGTAACACGCCACAACGACGGTCGCACACCCAGCGTAGCAAATCCCGGATGCTGTCGGTCCACTTTGTACTGTCGTTGACATTAATAAGATTAGAATGGCGGAACCAAGTTTGGATACCATTTTGGACGTATGTAGAAAACTGCAAGATTGTGTAGACGACTTATGAATAAATAAATATGTATAACTCAAAGGTTTAGGTTTGACAAAAAAATTGTCAACGCACGTATGTATGAACCTTTTTGAGAACTTACTCAACTTCAGAATAGCAGGGATATGTGTGTATAAATCAAGTTTGCAACAATTATTGTGATGGAGATTTGTTGCTCAGTGAGTTTAAAATTCGGACTGACAATGATTAAGATCGTCGTGTTAATTTATCTACTAATTAATCTTTGGATGTGTGAGATCATTGTGTGTGACTGTAGTTAATATCTATGTTGATGCATTCCTGACGGGATTTGTATGGTATAATGGAATTAAATGGAATACACTTGTCGAATTTACATCCTGAAAAATACGATACAATATTATCTCGGTATTAGTATGTCCATCTTTATTAGGTGCATATCTGACTGAGGACATGCTATAGGCCGACTGATGGGAGAGTCCAAATTGCATGGGTTAATTTTTACGTAGAATGCCGATGCAAATTATCACATTGTATATTTTGTCCATTAGTATTTGCATTGTGTGACAACAAAAAAATAGTTCCGTTTGTGCATATTCTCATGAAATTGGCTTTACCCGTTAACAAATACCGATATTATTGTACATAATTATATGCAGATTTGAATATAAATCAATCAATTCAGTAAATCAGTCATTCATTAGGTTATAGCAACTAGCAAGATGAGTTTCGATGAACCTGTCAAAGTCATGCTGTTTATGGACAACAGACGGACAAAATCTTCACATAAAGTATTCCGAAGTTATATATGTACATATATGTACATATATTTAAATTGATACTTTTAGTACTTCATTCTATCCATTCCAGCAATCGTAACACGCTGCGCAATTGTCACAATTTTTTTCTGAGCTTGTTTGTTAAGACACCTTCTTACATGTTTAAATGCAAGGTTGACAAACAGGCAAATTAATACATATACAGGCAAACTAGTTTCCTCTGGCCTATTACCTTTGAATAATATATGTATGTACATCGGATGTACTACATCAATTTTACCAAAAATAGGATCAATATTTCTCATTCCTTTGTATCATTTCCGCTCTCGTGTGGTATTTCTACGTATATTTTTTTTAAATTCTTATCGCATTTCCAGAAAAGTTGGACCCTTGAACAATGACTGAATCAAATTACCTTTTAATTGTGGCTTTGCTCGTGTCGTATTACACTGCAAATTCAAATTTCGTCGAACCTACGATAGCACCATCTACTATAAATTTGCCTTCCGTTCTAACACATTACTCCCCTTGCCGATATCACCTCATCTTCAACAATATTTCTACCCCAGATTTACCAACTACCCGCAATGTTCCCCTTACAATGACGAAATGTCCCCTATGGAACAATTTCACAGATATTTCATAGCTTTGCGAAATTGTTATTCTATTTGTCACCATAAATTCGCACAAGTTTACCAAATCTCATTCTGAGGCGTTAGGATACTGGATTACTACTCAGAGCGATTATTATTTCAGACTAAATAATAAAATCAGTTTGACCATTTATCCCGATAATTTTTACTTTATCTTAATTCCTGATAGCTCAAACTTATTGTTGTCCGATATCAATTTACCCCTGTACTCACAACCTGGCACATTTGAGTACCAATTAGCTATCAAATTTTCAATTTTACTATTTATCACCGGAAATAGGGTGCGGTTATGTCATCAACGTTTACCGAGTGTCCCAATTTTACAAAATTTTGCCTGCACTACTAGAACTTCAAGTGAAGATATATTAAATAATTTAGACTACCCGCCACCTACGGAAAGGCATCGGATTTAGGGGCCACCAGAAAAGGCTTCATTTCCCATTTAAATGGATTAAATTTACCATTGGATACTTTTGCCATCAACTATGCTTAGATTTCCATTTAAATAACCCATGTTGGCCATTTAAATGGTTCGCCATATAATTAATGTATAATTTTTGTATCCAAATTTACTTCGATAATTTTGCATCGTTACATGATTAACAAAGCCTTTGTAGCTTTTCTAGGCCGGCCAGGGCCAAGCCCGTGCCTGTTGGAACATTCTTTGCAACGAGTTACATCAAAAAATCGAGCCAAAAATTAGGAACCACATGACGCTACGATGACGTAACCCGTGGACGATACACTGTTAGAAATCTGGTGATGTCACGCAGCCTGCGTGACGCAGATATTGATTTCTTGGTATTAAAGTTGCTACCCGTTGGTATTAAAATTATTATAATCCGTAAAAATTTAATACCGAAATGGTAAAACGTTAATAACGAGTTATTACTACACGGTATTATGTACTTATCAAATCAACACCACCTTGGTAGAGTGACTCTACTAGAGTCATATATGAATACCACCCGGTATTATTTTAATTGTGGATTTCTAGGAGTGTAAAGAAGAGAAAATTTACTAAAAATTTGAACTTGGTCCACAGTATTTTGCTTCAAAACGGCGTTATGTGATTCCTAATTTTTGGCTCGATTTTTCTTAGGTGAGGCATAATAGTAACCATGAACACATGAAAAAATGCATGGTTACGGCGAAGCCTAAGTATGCAAACAGACCCCCCCCCCTCCCAAAATTCCACTCAAGATTGTGGCAAAACGGCTAATCATATCAAAATGGTGTAAAAGGCAATCGTGCAGACCTTGCTGGGTAGATGATGCCCGTCAGGTCTAGAAACATGACAATCTTATTTTAACCCATTTTAAATCGATTTTAAACTTTCAAACGACTTGCAAATTCACTTTTGCAATGCAAAGGTTGTGACTCGTCTATGTTTTAATGTGCGGAAATCTATAACGCGTCATTTAAAACAAACCCGAGCGAAATCGGATAAGAAATGAAAAAGTTTTCTTGGTAGCATGTGCAGCCAGTTACGTTACTTGTAATGTTTCTTCATTACTTATAATAAATACTCGTTTCTATTAGCAACCAGCACAATAGAAACATGTAAGCTCTGCACTTACATATGCAAATATCTAAACATGTAAATATGTATGTACATGTATGCACTTTTAGAAATCCAGTATTAAAATAGTACCAAGTGGTATTCAGAAATGACTACAAAAATGGTATTCATAACTAATGCTCTGACGTAATCATGTTTCGTTTTCTCCCATGTGAGTAAAATTTCACGGTGAAAATGCAAATTCTCTTTCACGTTTTCCATCATAACTTTGTTTAATTAAACTGAGCATTATGAAAAATCCTGAAACACGTGTTTAATCATTTATCTAAGAATACATGATTATCATTTTTTCGTCAAAATATAAACAGGTATGAATGTATGCATGTATGAGCAACTGACAATAAAACCTTTTTCAGGCTACACCGGGATTGTCTACCGATCAATATATTAAAATCCTGCCAGCCAATAATTAGCAATTACATGATACTTATCCTTTGAATGTGTTTTTAATCGTAAGTAAATTCCTAAGAGGTGCGTGAGTTGTAAATTCACGTTAGTTAAATGTGAGTGTGTGTATGTTAGAGTGTAGCGAAACTTGAATTACTGTGCACCAAATTCTAGCATAAGGCTCTATGTTGTGTAAATGATTCGTAGACAACTTCAATTGGTTAATTTTAAATTAATAGTAACTGGTTTATTTCTGGTTTAATTCATAAGTACATACAGACTTGCATGATACTATTTCTATTATTAATGGTTAATATGGGGTATTGTGATACAACTATTTCTTATGGGTAACCTGATACAATTCCTATGGGTAATTTGATACAAATAATTTTGCAATCTCAATTTCTCATTTGAGGCAATTTGAGACTTGCGATTCACTCTTGTGCAGAACAACCCTGTGTTACAAAAATATTAAATGGGCGTTACGCAGGCTCTGGTCCGTGGCTACCTTTATACTGCAGAGCGGACGGAGAAGCACCCGTGTATGCTAACTAATACATTCCATTTTCCACTAAAAATAAATCTATTTGCAAGTTATGCAAGTTATGTAAGTTACATAAATACCGTTGTTTGTTCAACATTGGAACAATACATGCATACATAGCTTACTACCATTTTACCTGTTTAGCAAACTGCAAAACTGGACAAAACTGGACAACTCAATCTACATAAGATGAGTTTGCAAGATGTGAAAGCGATGCAGCGTAACATACCTGCCATCACTTCCGCATATACATTGATTTGCATGTTTCTACTAAAATGCCTATGTAAATTGCGCTCAATCTGCATCTTTAAATGCAGACTGACAAAAATGCAATCTACACATTCCAACTCAAAAATACATACATATTCCTACATATTAGGAATCTGAACAGAATGTATGTGCCTCGCTGGGGCAGACGTGCTCAAAAATTTAAAAAATGTACTTTCTTGTTTGGTTATCATGCTTTTATAAAGGTGTTTCTACTATAAATTTGAATATCTTATTAAGTGGCCATATAGAAATTTAGATGGGTCCGAAAATATTTGTTAATGGCCAAAAGTAGCTTCAGGAATTTTATCCATTTAAATCGGAAAAAAATCCTTTTTAGATGGCCTCAAAATATAGTTCCCCTACGGAAACTGGAGCGATAACTCGTATAGTACGAATAATCCAGAATTATCCGAAATTGTAATTACTGCGGCACTAAATAAACTTAATGCCACCAGACATCTTGGGATTATTGGGTGTCATTCTGTTCGTAACGATCGTTGCCACTACCCGACGTTCCGTCTCGAAAATCTTGTCAGTTATGGAATTCGTACCCAAATTATTATTACATCGTTTCCAGGCTTGTCCTTCTTCTCTTGCTACCTGGAGTCAAATGGGGTGTCATTTTCCCTGTATTTAGCACCGTACGACCCTTTCGTGTGGATTGGCACAGTTATCATGCTTCTCTTATCATTGGGAGTTTTCTTTTGGAACAATCAATTCTACCTGTTTAACCTGTTCTTATACTTTTTCGGTTGTCTCATCGACGAAGTGAGCTGCCTCCCGAAAATATTGAGGGATTTCCTTCCCTTCCGACTCTTAAGTGTTATCTGGCTCCTTGTAGGCATGCTGATAAGCAATTGTTACTTGTGTCTTTTCATCACCAATTTAAACTCACCCCTCCCAGGGGAACGGGTCGATACGTATGAAAAAATTTCATGCTACGAGAAACCCAAGACAATTTTAAGCGGGATGATCGAAGATAGATTCTACGCACGGGAGAACTTATCTGTAGAAGCCGGTAAAGCCGCAAATTTGAATATTCCCCCAATAGTAAAATATTTGGAGGGATCTTGTTACGCAATTTTGTCTCAATTCGTACTAAATGTTGGGAGAAAATATCGTTTTATAAATTACAATTTTGCGGCATACTTCTTTAATAATGTGTTCTATCAGACGGAAGAATTTCCACCGCATTTACAACGTTTAGTTTATTCAATGATGAATCCAAAGATTCGTTGGTATCCGGAGAAAGTGAAATTTTTAGAGGACACAACAACTGCCAACAGAGTAAATCAGGTTATCGAGGAGGAAATTTTACGGTGTGAGAAGTCAGCTTATATCGGGCCATCGAGTGAGATCGAGACCTATTATGATTACTTTATAAGAAATTACCCCACCAAAAAATGGTATCGGGGAGAGAAAACCATTCTTGAAAGGTCGTTCGGGTTTACCTTCCATGTCGGACGGGAATCACGGATGGTTCGATATTTTAGAATGTTTTTGGATGCCGGGATTTACAATCGAGTCCTTAACCTGGTTACTCTCAATGCAACGTTATTTCGAGAAAGGGAGGCAAAAGATAAGAAATTTCGCTATTCCACCTCCGTCCAGGCGGTCAGACTTGTCGACAGTGTGCAAACTATTTTTATTCTGCTCGCCACATGTCTTGTGGTATGCTTTTGTTTAGCGATTTTCGAATATGTGAAATATAATGGGGCAATTATCAGGAAGAGGGTGACATTAATTTTGGCAAAAAGTATAGAAACTCTTAAATTTAGGCGTCATAAGAAAATACGTGGCCAAATCAAAGGCATGCAACAAAATGAAGGCCAGAGGCATGGAACTTAAATATACGCTCAATTTAGTGTTTGATATAAATATGTAAGTTAAATGCTGTCTGTTTTTCAGTTTAAAATATGAAGTTATTTAGTGTCAATGCATACAAATAAATCAAACGGCACAACGTACCCCAACCAATAACAAGTTACCTGACTGCCTAGGCGGCTTGCACCCGTGAGCACAACGGACAGATGACCGGGCATTAATTTTTTGTCAATCATTTTACAAGACTGATTCGCACTGGAATAAATACTTGTGGAAATATATGTACTTAAGGTAATTAATTACAATTACTTATTACGAAAATCTAAGCCCATCAGTTAATATGTACTGTCATTCATTAAGAACCTGTGACTTTGCGTATTAGATGTGGTGCCCAATTAAGAAAAATATTTATTTCATATTTTAGCTAACACAAGTTTAAGGTAAGGTTTCTAGTCTATTGGGCTTAAGTTTAAATTAGACAATTTTTATATTTCATATTTTGCAGGCAAAACTTGGATCCCTGTAATCTTCCGAAGCAAAAACGCAATCTAAATATCTAAACAAGTTGAACGAAATGTAAGTTTTAGTCTATCAGCAGCATGCATAAATTTAAATTACCATTCCAATCAACAAGCCCACTTTGCGGATTTAGCAGAACTTAGTTTTAATATTTTTGTGTTTGTTACATTTTTGTAGATTTTTAAGATGGACGATAATATTATCAAACATTTTTTCCAATTGGCCCTGAAAGGAGGTGGTGAGGCGACATTGGCAGTAAAATCCCAATGGACTAACAAGGCTAACCTCTTAGCACATCAGGAATACTTTATCCAGTTGGAAAATGAATATGCTGCTAATTCAGAACAGCTCTTCCACTCCACAGTCACACCCACGCATCGTGGAGGTAGCAACAAGGGAATAAAATTGCTGGAGAAACATCGTGTCAACATTGCCACCTTGTTGGATCATGTCAACAACGTGATTGACGGCAAGTTCTTTCTCTGTCGTACAATCTCTCCCACGTCAAAGATGACAGGAATCATGCTAATTGTTGAGGATCCTGAAGGCGAAAAAGCTCTTCGACTCGCCCTATACAATTATTCTGAATTGACGGGTGACAATTTGAATCTTCTCTTCCCCGTGGGATTAATCATGGCTGTGAAAAGTCCATTCCTCAAGGTGGGCATGGACGGCGGTCTCCTTCTCCGTTGCGATAATCCTGCCAACCTTATCATCATTTCGGAATCAAATTTTACCACCATGTTTCCAAATCTCGGCTGGAAGGGGACCATCGAGGCGAAATATCTGCTCAAAACGAAGAAATCAGCAAATGAGGAGAAGGTCGTGCAAGCGAAAAACTCTGGAAACAAGGCATTCATCGAGAAGAAATATTTTGACGCGATTCGGTTCTACACGGATGGACTGGAGCTTTGTAAAGATGTGGAGGTGAAAATCGAACTCTTATCAAATCGAGCCGCTGCTTATATCAGTCTTGGTTGTTATCGGGTCGCACTTATCGATGCTACCGCCGTTCTGCAGCGAGATCCCGGCCACATCAAAGGAATCTATCGAAATGTGCGGGCTCTCTGGGGACTCGGTCGGTACGAGGAAGGATTGACCTTTCTAAAAAGAAAATTTAAGAAAATCCCAGCTCTCAAGAAGGAAACGGTCCTATCCGATCTGCAAAATTTGGGGGAGCAGTTTGTCATCCAACATGAAACTGGGATCTACGACATGGCAAACATTATCAAGACAAGTGATCATGATAATAAGAATCCTGACTTGGCCGAATTTATGGGGGCCTTGGAAATTGCAGAGATTCCGGGAAAGGGTCGCGGCCTCGTGGCGAAGAAAGACTTCAAGGCTGGCGATCTTCTCATGTGCTGCAAAGCTTTCGTTAACTACAAACCCGACCAAGAACCCAACGGGGATATTCATTTATCAGTGGACACGTTGGCGAAAAAGATATCAGATCACGACTTTGTCATTGCGGGCAAAGTCGCGCAGAAAATTTCACTTGATGCTGAATTGGGGACGGAATTTTATGAACTTTTCGCTGGCCGAGACTTTGACACAACTCAAGAAGAAGATGACGACAATAGGATCCACCGGATCGTGGCGATCAACAGTTTCTCTCCTCGAAATACCGATTCGACCATAAAAATCAGCGGGGTTTGGATTACTCCTTCATACTTTAACCATTCTTGCATCGACGCCAATGCTTTGTGGACGGTTTACGGGGATTTCATGTTCGTTCGTGCCGTGGTGCCGATTCGTGAAGGGGAAGAGGTCACCATTTCGTATACGAATACAGAGAGGGATTTTTCAGCGAGGAAGGCTAATTTTAAAGATTTGGACTTTACATGCTCCTGCCTCCTCTGTGAGATTCAAGAAGGTGAAGAGGCATCAACCAGGGAACGTAGGAAGCAGGTCATGAAATCTATTAAGTTTGCCGCGCTGGGGGACTTGTGTCCAAAAAATGTGAGGAAGATACTCAAGAATATTTCAGAGTTGGAGTCACTGCAAAAAATCTACCCAAAGTTGCACGTTTTTTTCAACGATGAAATATTTACCTACTTGGGATCCAAACTCGCAGAGGCAGGCATGTTCCGAGATTTTTTGTTTATCATGGAAAAGGTGATTTGAAATATTTTATAAAATCAGTATGATGCAAGTAAATAATTGCGTTTTGTATTTTTTTTGCCAGATTCACTTCGTCACTGAAGATTCGGTAATGTGTATGAGTGCTGTGGCAGCATCTTCGAATATTTTGGGGGCTCATTTACTCAGTGAGGCGGCGAACGTGTCAGTTATTAAGAAGTGGATCAAGATTGTGAAGCATGATTTGATTGTGGCGTATGGATGTCTCGAACCGATGCGGATTCAGGCGCCTAATATTTTGAAGAGATTGAAAACCATGGGGTTTAAGTGGTAAGCATTTCAAATATAAATATATGTACGATTTCGATATTTTTTTTATAAGTTTATTAAGTTAGTGTTTGTTTTCAGGTAATAATATCACCGTGATTTTGATTGATGACTCCTTCTGGATAACTGCTTTCATTTTTTGGTTTAAAATTTTCCGTATAACTCCATTTTTATGAGTTAAATATTTGATACACATGTTGAATTACTTATTCATTTTGATTATACATAAAAATAATATAGAGTAGTGACCTGATTTATAGATGTAGTAGTAATGTATGACACTGTCTAAATAATGTGACCGCCTGACGAGGTCAGAAATAAATATGTGCGAAAATGGTTTTCATAATCAATATTTATGAACGCTTTACATTTATTGAAGGGTGACACCTTTTACATCTTGCATGGAAACGTGTATAAATAACTTCAAATTAATTTAATATTGAAGGTGCACGTGCACTGCACAATCTCGAGCCGTTATTTACATTTACAGTAATTAAATTCCAATACTATGTACAACTCTGTTAAATTCTCATTGACTCTTGGAAATTTTGAAGTCACGTTACAATTGTCTTTTTTATTTCTGATTACAAAAATGATCAAAATGTGCCCGAGTAAGAGAAAGTAGGTGCTACGTAACCCGTTCAATTGTCAATGTGTCCTTCCATTTTTATGCAATGTTGAATCAATCATTCCAAATCGATTAATTGTTATCAAGGTGTCGGACGAGTAGGTGCATATAATGTCACTGTTCTGTATCATAAATTCGTCACCAATTAGCCTATATATAACCTTAGTTTTAATCCTGGTCCTAATTTCCCAAACGTTATTACTTCCTGCATGTGGGAAGCCGCACGACGCCGATTTCGACTGGGAACAAGGCCTCAACTCTGTCGATAGTGGTGATAACCTGGACGGTAAATTGCGCAAAATTTTATAATCCTTTGATAGTTATATATAAGTTATGCTAAATGCTAGAGTTGCACAATGGTCAGGGCACTCAAATTTGTGGCATGGCATATATGTCAGATATACATATTTACATGCATTTACTTACCACCCATCCAAAATAGGTAGAAAACGCCGAAAATGGAAAACATAAGAAATTCATCTTTCTCCATTTTTCCATTATAAAAATGTAAAGATTAGTAATAATTAGTAAAAATACGTGCGAAACTGGTTTCTTTTTCCTATCGCCACCCCACCGTTTTCCAATTTTTGCCAATTTGGGCGATAAATACCACTTTGTCCCATGTTCCCCGATTTTTCTCACCTGTCTTAGGAAAAATGTTTTTACATGGAAAAACGAACCCTGAATGTCATACTCTTAAACGTTGACCCCTCCCATTTTTGTACAGGTTTCGACGAGGAAGATCTGTCCGAATTTTGCACGATTAATAAGAAACCTTACGGGAGAAGCTTATCTAAACCGCAAGATGTCGAATTAATCCACTTGCTCACGAATGATTTTGTCGCTACCGGAACAAGAGGCGGGGCAAAAACTAAAGAGGATAAAATCGTCGACGATGCATTAGCCGGATGCCCAACGACCGAAAAAACTACACCTTTCATAGATATGGATCCCGGTTTCAGAAGCGTTTCTAGAAAAATCGTTAACGCATTGGCGGGTAGAGTTGAGAATAAATTTAAACTTCGCGCCAGAAATTACTTATTAAGAATTTTACCTTGCAGCCCAAAAAACTAGGAAGGACGTGGAAAAGTTGGCCGCCGCTTTCAAAGCTGATCCTCGCGTGAATTATCACCTCTTTTGGAACAGTTTTATGAAAGCGATACAAGTTCGAGACGACTTTAGAGGGGCTGAGTTGCCATTGGGAGTGGAGTTTCAACCGGAAATGTTCATCCCCTCGGAAGTTATGACGCAAATAACGTCCACCAAAGATGACAGTGATAAGGCAGATAAATACATACTAAATTCATATTTAACTCCCGAAATTCAAAGAGCAAAAGCTTAAAATTATCAAAATTTCAGGAAGTATTTCTTATCGACGAATCCCTCGGGAAACGAAATGGCAAAGAAAATCTGTTGTTCTATTTCCGCGAAGATATCGGATTGAACTCACATCATCAATATTGGCACTTATCCCACGCGTTCGACTCGAAACGAAAATGTACCCCGAAGGACAAGAACGTGTACAATTGTCATGAGGACAGACGGGGAGAGTTGTTTTGGCTTATGCATAAAACAATACTGTCAAGGTTTGTGTGACCTGACCTTGAATTCAAAACGTTCACAATGCGATATTTTTCTTTAGCGTTTATATAAACAGCACCATGTCCATGATACCCTTACTGAATTTTGCAAATTGTTTGCCATTACAATCAGTAACAGATACAAGAATGTAGCGGAAGCGAAGTGCTGAAAATGCTGTATTTAATAAATATGCAATAGAGTATCGATAGGAATTGTTATGCTACGCAACCCATAATTTTGATATTTTTGATTTGTCAACGTTTCTTGACCTTTGACCTCGCTTACCCAGCTATCAGGTCGGCGAACGTAGAAATGATAGCAATTTCTGAAATCACCGTTCTTAATAAAGCCTAAAAGTGTAAGCTAAAATTTCGACTCTTTTGACCTCACCATCCTGGTGCCGTAACCTTTTATGCCTAGAAGGTCAGTTAAAGAACTTTCTCTTACCAAAATTACGTAGCTGTCGATATCCTAAAACAGAACTCAAAAAAATTTATGGATGCGAGACTTATCGTGCTAAGATACAGATGGACGGACGGACGAATAGATCTCAATAAGTTTATTGAGATCTACATAGTCGACTCCCTCTGCTTCTTAATAATTTGATGCAACACATTAATTGCAGGTACCACATGGACCGCTTAGCTGTTTGCCTCCCTGATTTGGAAGAATATCGATTAACACTTGGCGGCGTTATTAATACCGCATATTATCCTGTCGTGAAGTTGAAACCGGACGGAACCACGGTGTGGGGCGAGAGACCGGAAGGGATGCAATGGCCGGTATGGTCTACATTTATAAGAATTGTCAGAAATGCTAAATTTTAGCTGGTAAATTATATAGGAGGCAATTGTGCTTACAAACGACGACGCCAAGCCTGGCGTTTGTAACACAACTACTCTCAAGACGGAAGACCTCGTACGAAATTTGTACCATATTTACGGTGCCATCAATGAAGGCAGATATGTCGATACGGTTGGTTTTAAAAAAAATTATTTATTAAACTATTTGAAATATGAAAAAGAAAAAAACTGTAATCGCAGAAGAAAAAATCTTTTGCTTTAACCCTCGACGTGTTAGGAAACATGCACGAAGGGTCGGATCTAACCCCGAATTTCGACGTTTATGGGACCGTGCATAATATGGGACATTTGTTCATTGCACAACTAACTAATAGCAAAGATACCGTGAGTCAAGTCAATCAATTCTTGCATAAATTATCAATAATAAAACAACTAATTTTTTGCAGACTGGAGTTATGGGGGTAAATTTTAAATTTACTTGGGAGGAATTTTAATTTTATTTAAGCTCTGGCACGTTTTAAAAAATAGGATACGTCAACCGCGATGAGAGACCCAATGTTTTATCGGTGGCATTATTTTGTGTCAAACAACATCGACGAATTTCTCCGCACGCTGCCACCGCATGAGGCTGACAAGGTATTGATTTCTAAATTTAAAAAAGGTTCAGAATTTATGTAACGCTTGACACCCTATCGTACACTTAAATGTTCTATCCACAGTGTTCATTATGGGTAGTTATCAAGCCTTTGCGTACATAACTTCTCAACGTTTCCTCCTCCATAAATAAGTTAATTCATTGCCGTGAAAACAACACAACACCTGCAAGAAATTACTGCAAAATTTTTTTGCAGCAATAAATTCTTGCAGGGTACAAGAAATGCATGAAATAAGCCCTCTAACGGACGGTCCCAATCATTTAGTGTTGGACAGGTGAGGCCTATTCCTTGTATTTCTTGTACCTTTCACTTGCACTTCTTCCAATTTCTTGCGGTGCAGTGTAAGAATTTCTTGGCAAGAAATATGGAAAAGGGGCAAGGAGTAAACCCTGCTTTTCTTTATATAGGGAGAATTTCCCTTTCTCTGGAAGGACGTTATGGTGGAATCCGTCGCCATAGAGGAAGTTAAGAGTTGCCTGACAACATCAAATTCGCTCAACACCTTTTTTAAAAAACAACAAGTAAAGATAACCATTCCGAGGTTGAACACGACGAAACGGCTCCTCTTCAAGTCTCTGGATCACAGAGATTTTAACTACGTCATCAAAGTCGTAAGGAAAAATAGACTGGTTTCCTACGCATTTCTTAAAGTCCTTGACAAAAAATTCTAAATGTGTTGCTAGCAAAACAAAGGGAAACAGAAAGTTAAGGGAACAGTGCGAATATTTATTGCACCCGTTCACCGAATCGGTACCACAGAGTCGAGCCGGATGTCATTGTTAGAGCAGAGAAAACATATCTTTCCCCTCGATATTTATAACGTTGATAGTAAGTTTTTTGAAAATTATTTATCATAATTTTAATCTACACTCTTAGAAATTCAATATTCAAATATACCAGCGGTATTCATATTTATATATGCGACTCTCCCAAAGTTATATCGATAAGTAATATCATGTAGTAATAGCTCGATATGAAAATTTTACCATATTGATAGTAAATTTTTACGGTCCGGATAATGTTTTAATACCAAGCGGTAGCAACTATAATAACTACCAAAAAATCAACACTTGAGCGACTACGCAAGATTTCTAATAGTGTCTGCATTGCCAATTTTACAAATAGACAATCTACTCTTCAAGTTCATGGAATACTTAATTGAGCAAAATGTACACCATTTTTTCGGGTTATGTACAAACATCTGAGGATAAGCAAAAAAATGGCCATAAAGCTTCTTGAATTTTACAGTAAAACCTGGCAAGCAAACTATTACGCGATCGTCACTCGATTCGACGGTTACGACGGCACGAACAATCGGTGGCTCCCTCGATGGCGCGTCCATCTTTAACTGTAAGGACAACCGATGTGGGTGTGGCGTTCCGCACAATCTTCTCATCCCCAGAGGCCGGGAGGGGTCCGGGATGCAATTTGAGGTCATCGTGCTCATCACGGACGGGAAAAAGTACGTATGGGATTTTGACAAGGAGAAAGATGAGAAAATCAGTGGGTGCAAATTGGCACCCGTTCTTTGCAGCCTGCCCGGTTTTGGGGGGAGAAAGTACCCGGATTTGACTCTTCCGATGGGATATCCGTTTGACCGATTGCCTTTCAAAGCGCCAGCGGATGTTCAGCTCAGCCATCAACGGCGTGTCGAGACGATGGAGGACTATGTCAAGGCGGTGGCAAATATGGGCTTGGCGAGGGTAAGAGGAACCTTTCATGAATTATGGAACACATAGACTTAGGGCAAGAATTGTTATGTTTTAAGTCGGGGTCCTTTGTGTCACATAATTTATGAATGGCCTTTAGTGTTTCTAGTGACATTTGATTGTATATTTCATACAATTATTAAATATTTAGAAATTTTGGTATCAGTTAAGAACTTCCTTGTTTTGGAATAGATAACAATCACCCATCATAACTTATTTGTCAAACGACAAGACTGGAACAGCAGAGAAAATGCGCAAGACATCAAACAAAGGCACCGAACACACATGTGTCCCAATTGGGTCAAAAATTTGTGAGAATTCTCGAAATGGGATTATCAAAAATGCAGGGATTCTATTTAGTCGTTATCTTTGTAACAAATTGTCAAATATTTCTAAATATGTACATTAATTTAGTATTACTTATCCGCGTACTTCATTTTCATAATGCTAGGTTACCTATAATTTTTAAATTAAATAAATGGACATGTAGGAGGTTTGAATAAATTGTTTTGCATACAAATGCTTCATCCGCAAATTTAATTGGTACATCAATGCATCATATTCAAAAACCGTAAGTCTGTATTTTTAATCATTGGAAACTTACATTTATTTATTTTTGTGCAGACATATTTTTTTAACTCGTAACTTTTATTGTTTAAGTAAATATTTATTAAAATATCACAATTCATCATTTCTCCGATAATCGAATATTATTTCAGAAAAATTGGAAACTAAAATTTACAGCGAATAACAATAGTTGTCCATTTTCTTCAACTCCAAATGCATAATAATAGACTTACTTATTTTATACCTGCTAATTAAATAAATCTTAACATCTGCCTAAATGTTGCTCGTTGTCAATCTACTCGTATAAAATTTAAATTGTTCAATTTTAAAAATACATCTGTATCTTTCTATTTGTATCTTCTTCGCTCAGCAAGCACGCACACAACCAATGAAATCAATATCCACCCAAATGCCGGTGTAAATCCAACCGCGACAACGGGATGCGTAATGTCCCAGCCCCTCGTACAAAGTGATCTCATCGCGTCGACCATTAAGGTCAGAGGAGAAAGCTGGTACAACTGGCGGAGAGGCCATATCGCCATTTCCATGGGCCACATAACACCTAAAAAACATATGAGAACCTATGTAGAATTGCTTTAATTCTTTACTTATTAACATATTTACATATCTAAATGCATAAATAATCCTCACCATTCGCATACATCTCAACGTATGTGACCATTATGATCATGAACAATGTTTCAATTGCGCTATCCAGCAGCAAACTGATCATGAAACCTATGAAGTTTTTTAAAATACTGATTGGTTGTTTGAGATTAATTAGTGTTGAAAGAAACACGTATTATTTTATGAAATCTGCTGATTATGGGCAGTGGCTTCGGAAAGCGTGGGGACATTTGAGGACATTAACATTATAGGATAGGGGATGGAGGGGTTTATGTATATAACATGAGCAGATTATGGGGACATTGTCCCTCTGTCCCAACGCTTCCGCGGATACTGATTATGACATACCCATCAGTACTGAACAAATTGACGCCATGTACAGCAAGGCCACCGTGACGAGCCACGAACCATGTATCACCATTCCATACCACCCGCACAATAAGGCCAAAAAAATTCCAATCTGCATTAATATAATGATACTTTGGGTAGCACTGTCGGCCACGAGTCGATGCCATAGCAGCACGCCGGCCACGTGGTCTCTCTGCTCAAGCCCGGCCCCGCGGTCCTGCACCCACACAACGCCGACCGATATTGACATGATCGTCATCATCCTACAAATTTACATACATTCAAAATCTGTCTCATACAATTTTAGCACCACCACCACGCAGTCAAATTTCTGAGATAAGCACTCACATAATGATGAGACCCGGCTGCATGTACTCAATGTAGTCAAACACTCGGGCAGAACCATAAGTTGTGTGAAACTATGGAAGAAAAAATTATTACTAATTGTATCAAGTATTCATAAAAATAGATAATAATGAAATATGTATGTATTTGAGTTTCGTATGTACGTGAAGTGGTGGTCGAAAAGCGTCCCCATAATAATCACAGGCAGACAAGATGGCTTCCATATAGACTAGATATTTGTCTAAAATGTTCTTTTTCGCCCAAAATGTTAACAACATGTCTAGCAAGTGTAGAGGCAAATTAATTGGTCAATATGTCTTAAAATGTAGATATTTAATTAAGTATATGATCTACATATGTAGCACTTACTTGCCTCGTCCATCCGGACAGATATCGTTGAGCCAAGAATTGTCTCGTTATCCGCAAAATTCCCCTGCGACAATCGACTCTTTAGATTTGCCGTATAATCAGGAGGAAAGTATACGAGTCCCATAGTTCGACCTTGCTTAATTTGGTCAAGGCCATCATTGTATGAGTTTGTCGGAATCTGTGAAAATTTCGTAAATATTTTACATGATTAATGAGAAAATAGCACGTGGGATTAATTAGATATGTACCCAAATGAACTCGTTTTCGCCAAATAAGGAGATAAAATGGCAAATCCCGATATTAGAGAAGCACGCCGGTGCAGATTGAAATGTGCTGTTCCTCCCACAATATTCTCGTAGGGCGAAAGTGTCGGTGAAATTGAAATCATCGTGATGTGCAAGTCCGAATTTTATTCGCTTCGGTTCTGGGCCCATTACGTTTTGAAAATTAAAGACGCACATTACTGGAAGAAGAAGTTCCCACATGTGGAGTCTGGTGTGGAAAAATTATTTAATCAATTATGGGCTATGAAACTATTGATGATTGAAATAATTCACGCGGATGTTTATAAACCCTTAAATCATGTTGTTTTGTAAAATCAGTCGTTTATAAATATATGTATGGATGCATGTTATGATACCAAGCGATATCATGTAACCTATGTGTGCAAGCAAAGTTGTAAATATCAAGAATAAATATTAATATGCACATACATATAATGTGATTATCGTAATATTTAAATATAAAATATTTAGGCAATTCACGTTGTCAATTGTAACTTGAAAAATCCGTAAGTTTTGTAAAGTAATTTTACAAACTTGTACAAAATAAGAAGACGCCCTTGATCTGAGTAAGGTTACAAAAGTGTGTATGCTGATTTTCCTCCGAAATATTTGTAATTTTTTTTTTAATTTACAGAATTTACGAATTTTATAATGTTGCCAAGGCCTGTGTGAATTGCCTCGTTATCTTTGACCAAACTTAGATAAGGCAATCTCTTAAAGAAATTAAAACCCAAACTTTTTCGAAAGTTACACAAATTTTTCAGTTACAAATATCAGAGTGAAATGTGAAGCGACAAGCGAAAAAATATAAACATATGCACATATAAAAAATTGCTAAAAATAAAACCTGAAATCTCTCCGGTGTCGATGTATCCATTTATAAATAAGCGCCCAGATAATGGATAAGTTGTTACGTTGTACATTTAACGAAGGCGATGAATTCCTTGAAGGGACGATGAACTGCTTCGACTCGAAAAAAGCTTCTTCCTTCAATATTTTATATTTTGGCGAATTAAAATTCGCATTCCTCGTCACTTCATTATTTTTGCACAGCTCTAGGACCACATCATTTAATGAGGTAGAGTTGTGAGAAGCGAGTAACGTATTAGGGTTCTCCTCAGCTATAAGTTGACCATTACGCATTACGCCGATCTGTAATTTAAATTTTGGTGGTAAGATAAAATGAATAAAATTTCAGTATTTTCTCGACAAACCTTATCACAGGATTTTATTTCTTCCAGATAGTGCGTGGAAATTATTATAGTTGTCCCACAATCTCTGGATATTTCGAGCAGATAATTCCAAATTCTAAATTATTTAGTACAAAATTTGAATTCATAGCCATAGTGTAGAAAACATTAGGCGTACTCGAAACAACATCCTCACAGCGTCACAACTCACGTAACAAATTAATTTTGAAAGCTCAGAGAATTTGGGTGTAAGTGGATTTCGATAAGTTATAAAAAGAGATTAATGGGTTATTGATAACTTCTAAAATTCCGTAGCTTTCCAGCCAAAGTTTTAGGAAATTTTGCCAATTCAGTCTGGTTCAAGTGCCGGGGGCTTGGAACTTAGGACAGGGGAAACGTCACCCAAAAGTTCCGATCCCCTGGACATTTTAGTTATGCAAGTTACAGGGAAACGGAACCCACTGGTCGCAGGATTTAGCGGGTTTCGATTCCCCGGTACCCGAGATTTTTCTTAGATTTTTCATAAATTGGATATATTTTAGGAAAAAAATTTTATTGTCTTAAATGAACCTCCCACAAATGAGGAACATTGGATAAAAAAATTAGAATTTTTTATAGTCGCGCAGGTTCCTAAAATCACAAATTTCTGACAAATTTGAGGAGCGGCAAGCTCAAAAAGGTACGGGGAATCGTCACCCAAAAATTATTTTCTGGGAAAAATACGATTATTTTGAGGGAAAGATAATTGTAACACGATAATAACGTAATAATTGTAACAATAACTGAAAAATAATCGTATTTTTCCCAGAAAATAATTTTTGGGTGACGATTTCCCGTACCTTTTTGAGCTTGCCGCTCCTCAAATTTGTCAGAAATTTGTGATTTTAGGAACCTGCCTGGGACTATAAAAAATTCTAAGTTTCTTATCCAATGTTCCTCATTTGTGGGAGGTTAATTTGAGACAATAAAATTTTTTTCCTAAAATATATCCAATTTATGAAACATCTAAGAAAAATCTTGGGTTCCGGGGAATGGTAACTTTTATCTAATAGGGTACCGGGGAATCGAAACCCGCTAAATCCTGCGACCAGTGGGTTCCGTTTCCCTGTAACTTGCATAACTAAAATGTCCAGGGGATCGGAACTTTTGGGTGACGTTTCCCCTGTCCTAAGTTTCAAGCCCCCGGCACTTGAACCAGCCTGCAATTTTGAAAGCTATATTATTATTTAGGAGATACATAGATACATGTGCGAAAGTTGTTGTGAGTAGGCCTATATATTGGTACAGTAAAAAATGTAGGAAAATGCACTACTTTTGTCTTAAAAGTGGATCCAATCCAACAATTGGTTCATCAAGCACGAGCAGTCTTGGATTATGAATCATCGCCGCGGCCAAGGACACCCTCCTCTTTTGCCCACCGCTATAAATAAATAAATTTATTTATTCACTACATTTACATTTTTATAACTCTAAAATTCGATCCAACGCATCCAACGCATTCAAGTATCCAACGCCACAAGCATGTCAACAATTCTTCGGAATTTCCAGCAATAACAAATACTTTTTCAAATTTTTTTACGCAATTCTTGCTAACAAAATACAACATTTTAAAAATAAAAAGATGCCCCCGATCTGAATAAAGTTCCAAGAATTTGTAAGGTAATTTTGAATAGATATATTTGTAAAATTTTGGTAAAAGTTTGTAAGTTTACAGAATTGACGGATTTTACAATGTTACCAAGGACTGCGTGAATTGCCTCTTGACAAATAAAATCAGCTTTTCCTCATTTTCCACTAAAACTTCCGTGTAACCGTATTGATTTAGTTAATGTGACGATATGACACGGTAAAAATTTTATGTACCTTAATTCAATAATTGGAGTATGGAGCTCTTTAATGTCGAGGAAATTGGTAAGAAAATTTAGTCTTGACTTAAACTCGTTTGCATCCATGCCGAACAAAATTCCAAAATATTTCAGCACTTCTGCCACCGATAGGATTTCCAAGAGGGCCATGTCCTAAGAATTTGAATACGTATTTTTAAATTACTGTGTGGTGGGTGTGATAAAATTGTGCATGTTACTTACCTGCGGCATGAATCCGCAGATTCGGCCGAGATTACTGGGACGAGGTTGGTTAAAAATGGTGACCTGACCAGAGTCAAGTTGGCGCAATCCGACCAAGCACGATAGAAGCGTCGTTTTTCTGAATAATTGTCATACAAATTGTTGAGTTAGGTTAGGATTCAAGTCAATCCACGTACACGATTGTACCATTCATGCATATTTTGCAAAGTTTGCAAAATTACATAGGGCGTATGCACTCTTGATTACGTCTTATTTAGCGTCGCAACTTTGTATTTTGCAAATTTGCGAAACTCATGTGTCGTGTAAGGGATTCACAAAATATGATTTCGCAAATCTGCATAAACACTTCTGCTATCCTCCTTTTCAAATTTAATTTCTGTTGATTATTTGAAATTTCTAAAGCATTTGATACAGAGGGTGAGTTTGCAAAATAATCTATCAAGATAAAAACATGACCAAATATAAAAACATGGTGGGTAAATTTACGAAAAAAATCTCATGGTTTTCCAGCGATGTGAGCATGTATGTCTTTACATACGTTCTTACGAAACTTGTTTACGTTGCAATACAAATCAAAATATTTATCGCACGGCTTGGATGCCTGGTTGACCTAGAACTTCATCGTTTATTATTGCCCACACGCCAGGATTTTGACCTGCCTTCCCACAATAAACTAAACACGCGTTTTTCATTAACCCTCAATTCTTTGGTTTTTAATTATAAATTCAAATATAGCTGTTATTCTTCCAACTCTCGTATGTAGCTATCTTCATAATCAGTAATTTGACCAGGAAACTGCAACCATTGCACGCTAAAATTTGCAGTACAAACGGTAAATATGTGGAGTAAGGAAAATTCTCGCGTCCAAAAAAGTGCAACTCATTCAATATCGTGAGAGTGTTATACGTACAAATTCATTCACAATTTAATTGTGAAAATATTTAGTTGAATATGTCCTGCGCTTCTAACATTGACTCAATTTTATAACTTATCTGTAACCAGGGTAAGGAAAACCCCGGGGTTTTGCTATTGAAAACCCATACCCCGGGGTTTTACCTGGGTTTTGCGGGTAGTCGGGGTAGTCGGGGTAGTCGGGGTAGTCGGGGTTTTGGGGGCAAACTGAGTCAGTGTATTAAGACATTAACATCTCACGTATTAAGTTTAGAAATTAATAAAAAAAATCAGTTTTTCAGTAATTTCGCAAGAAAACTGCTTATTAATTATATTTTAATAACTAAATAATTTGTTGAATTGCTAGTAATGCCCTGTTATCATATTTTGTAAAATTTGAAAACCCCGACTACCCCGACTACCCCGACTACCCGTGGGTATTGCTCAAATTTGCTACCCCAAAACCCACCAAAACCCGCAATACCCCAATACCCCCAAAACCCGGGGTAGCATACTCTATGTCTGTAACTGTAAAGCCTGCTGCTCCAGATTTCATGTCATCATGATTCGTACTAAATACTTATATACCAGCGTGAAGGATCAATCTGATTAATGAAAAAAATCAGATCGGTCACATCGCTTGATTAAAAAAAACATGAAATCTAGAGCCGGCGTATTTTATAAAAGGTCAATAGTAAATACATACGTACCCGCACCCACTGGCACCCAGTAGACCATAACTGTAAATCGAGAATCACAATTTATTTTATTCTCAAAATATGTACATATTTCCAAATTTAATCTTATTTTTTTCTCACATTTCTCCCACGCCGACGTTCATGTCCAAATTGTTAAGGACGAAGTCTCCATCACCATACCGTTTATAACCACCTTTCACTGCGACAGCCATTTTACACAATTTTTAAATCTTAAGAAGTCTAATGTATTTTCATTAATAGAAATATTTGTTTTTTAACCGCAACATGTTGTACCATACACGAGCAGAAGACCTAATGAAATAGTTTTAATTAGTTGACTACACATGAGGCTGATTAGTTAGTACTTATTTTATAATCACATTCTCTTGGATTTTCGTAATCTTTTCGTAGATATTGAATTTAATAGTAAGTTTTCCTGTAAACGGAGAATAAAAAATTCGCCACAAATCAAGGATACCGTGCTGTGGGCATTGCGTGTGAAATAAGAATACTGGACACATGGTTATACGTATGTACATATGTACATCTGCATGCATATAAGTGGGCAGCTTCACATGTAAATACTTAAGCATATGTATAAATGCTGGACAGGCTAGACAGAGATCTTTGTGAGTACACAAAAAACAAGTTTTCCATGAAAGTAAGAAGTCAATCTGATCGCATAACTAATTGTAAAATGAAATCCCCTGCAATTTATGCAGGGGATTTCATATTTTTAGGAAATTTTATATTTTCCTAACATAAAATAAGGGTAAGATTTAGTTATCTAAACTTCTACACTGATTATTTAGAGCCTTTAGAACACCATATTTGGAATATTAAAAGTTTTGAATGAAAACTGGTTAAAATTATTATTAAACTGGCATATCATCACTATAATTTGTATCATTTCCATAACCTACATAGGTCGACGAATCTCGTAATAAATTAAATAGGTCTCATACATAGTTAGTATGTTTTGGTGATGTTAAATTATACAAGAGAAAATCCGGCCCTAACAATATTACCGTTGTACTAGATTTCTTAGGATAAACTGGCTTATGCTCTGGGGTTTTATTGTGATTACTTGGTATTAAGGGCATCACGAGAAAATCTTTTAATCAATAACTAATAAGTTATATAAGCTGAATAATTTCAAGATAAAGAGATCCTCCTTGGCTTCCAACCGTGCACGACGTGTCTCTCTCTCGCTCTGCAACTGGATTCTCTCTCTTCCATCTGGGTCGCGGGTGTGCCAGGGCAAGTGAAGTGTGTCCCAGGCTTTTCGCCATGTGAGCCTCGTCCACTCACACCCCCCACCTGCGTGCCTGGTGACACCCCCTGCCACACCCGTCCCAGCAACGACAAGCTGAGCCATCAGGCGAAGATGGATTCGCCGGACCCAGTGCACGGGAGGATCTACGCCATGGAGGACTCCCCCAGGTAGGTCATTGTTTGGTATGTCGGGGTGGTGACTGTGGGGGTGGTTGGTGGAAGAGTGAGGACGGGGTCGTGCATGGCGGTGGGCAGCGTAGTCGGGCCTACGGGGGTCCCATGACCCGGTTGTGCTGTGAGGGGTGAAGGGGCAAGTGGGTAGTGTCACTCGGCCCTGGTCACACTGTGTGACCGTGAAGGGGACACGTAGCCCGTGCCCGAGAGGGTGCTAAGGTAGTTCGTGGTCCGTGGACGCCCCGCCCAACAACCTTCACTCATCATGCTTCCGCCGTCACGACGCCGTCCTCATTTGGATATCACCACTATCTCATGGAATCTACCTATGATCTCTATCATTCATTGTCCTATCTGGTGTCCAGGTAGTCAGAGCCGAATGGACCTCTGGGCCACATTCCCAGAGGTGATGGAGGTTTTCCTAACTCTCCACCATAGTTAGGTTTTTCCTCCATTCCTCTGACTACCTACCTATTTGGTTATCTACATTTGCACATATGTACAACTCTGTAATTTGTAATGATGAGGGCCTCGGCCATATAAGATGAGAAATAAATAAATCTATCTATCTATCTATCTAATTTCAAGATAAACATCCAATTATCTGAGATGGACTTCAATGATATTTATGTATAACAGGAAAATATATTTAAAGGGACTGGTTACTTAATAACAATAGTAAAATAATTAGGATGTATTTATTTATTAACATTAACGTTGTATTTATTAACGAAAATTCGAAAGTTTACAATTTTCTACTGGACCTCATCCTCAAGTCTCTCACCCTTCAGCCATATACCGGGCTTTGCTAGGTTTAATGCTAGCAGCAGGGAAGGAATACACATTAAGATTTCTAAATAAATTATCACAAATATTTTTGAGTGTGCAGATTTAGGCTATTTCGGTTATATTTTTGACGATTTTCAAAAAATTCCTGCGGCCAAACCAGGCGTGACGTCATCAAATCTCTTGCTGGAGGTGACACCCCTACATGGATTTCATGGATAGCGTCGTTTGAGATATCTACGAAACCATAAATCAGGTCGCGCACTGCGCCACAGGGTCGCAAACTGGGCGCAGAATGCAAAATTTCGGTGTTTGGAGGCCGATAACTTTGCTCTCGAGCGTCGTACGTTGGTGTAACTTATATGAATTTGGGTTAGCTTTCAAAGATCTATCGAATGCAATCGTTTTCAAAGCCACACCCCCTCAAATGGAGATAACTCCTCCCACAGGGGGTGTAGAGGTGAAATGGATTACCAAAACGAAAAATCCATCCAATCCAAAATCCATTTGGATTTATCCAATCCATCCAATCCATTTTAAGCTTCGGATTAAAAAAATCCATCCAATCCATAATCCATTTGGATTTATCCAATCCATCCAATCCATTTTAAGTTTCGGATTAAAAATATCCAATCCAATCCATAATTTTCAATTCATTAAAAACGCAAACCAATAACAAAAAAATCTATATTACCGCACACTATTTGAAATTAAACCAATAAAATCAAGTTCAAAAACGTTTATTAAGTATTTAGAAAATCAGCAAATCATGTATATTAAAAAAAATACGACCGTGATATATACACCTATTGTTAAATTTCGATATATTTTTGGTATAACAGAACTAGTTGATACGCATATGCACAACCGTCAATCAACAGGCAAAAACTAAACGAAAGCATTAGTGAATTTGGCTCTCCTTTCATACGCCAAATTCACAACTATGTTAATGTTACCGACAAACCAGCAATGCACTCGCCTGATTTAAGTTAAGTAGATAAATAGATTTTAAAATATTAAGAATGACATAACGTCCTGGTTATAATTTCTATGCATAAATTCACACAGTGACGATTCAGAATTTTTTCACAACCAAAAATCCATCCAATCCAGATTTCCGATTATCCAATCCAATCCAATCCTTAACTTTTTCATAACCAAAAATCCATCCAATCCAATCCAGATCCCCGACAATCCAATCCATCCATAATCCATGGATTGGATTGGATTCCAAATGGATTGGATAATATGGATATCCATTTCACCTCTAAGGGGGTGTGGTTGCACTACAGTCATATAATTTGTGTCATCCGTCCCCAAACTACCTCATATGCATAAATAGCTCAAAAAAAGTCATAAAATAATTTATGCCAATTCCTACCATAAGGCGGCCCCATTGTGGGTGGGATTGCCGTCCTCGGATTTGTATTTAGATTAGTTCCAGGTATGCAAATTTATTAACCTAAAAGGAACTCATGTATATTCATACTTTAATCTACTTAATTACAATCCTTCCTGAATTTTAGTCCTCCGTTTAGAAAAGAAATACTTATAGCTACAGAGCCCTCTTATATATATGTATGTACATATGAATGCATGTAGCTAACGAGTTACGTATATATATGTAGGCATGTATGTACGTATGTATGTATGAAGGAATATTTCTATATGTACACAATCGTTCATTCGCATTTAATTACGTATCAGGGTTATGCGGAGGAATATATAAGTATTTTCGGTGGATTTATGTAAATACATATAAGTATGTATGTATACGTATGAAAGTCATATACATATATTAAAATCACACCAGCAGCTATATACTTTAAATAAGGTTTAACTTTTAAACTATTGTGATAAAAATATATGACGTAAATACGTCAGCTGAAGTTAAATTATTGTCCGTCTTTCATAATACAAGAATAAACGTAGCGTATCAGCACCTACCTGTCTTTCACATTACGTTTTCTCTATAGTACACCCAGTTTTATGGGATAAGGACTAAAAATGATTGTCACTCCGTTAATGTGGTCTTCGCTTGATTTATGTTCGAAATACTACGCTCACTTCTGGCTTCACCCGTTCGAGTGGGATCCCTCAAGAAAGAAATTTGTTGCAAATCCAAAATCGAAAAAGTTAATTTTTTATTTTTTATCCATGGCGATCATGAGTTGCGGACCTATCGTCTCTGTTACACTATTGGCTGCTAACTCGTTTGGTTTCAGCAATCTGGCCTTCTTCGAAGTACTCGAAGCCATCTATTTTCTATTCCTGGTAACGCTAACATTGGTCACGGAATTGTCGTTTTCAGCCTTTGCCGATGATTTAGAACTTTTCAGCAATTACTTGAAACGATTTGATGCCCAAGTCCAACTACGTAAGTTCACAACTAGACGCATACATACATATATGCAGTGACGTAATATATTTCAGGTAATGTTTTCTGAATGCAAGTATGTATGTGAACATGGTGATAATGTCGAGCTTAACAGTTAGCTTGCAAAATTTATTGCCAACTTTCAGACACCTTGGGTGTCATTTATTCAGTAAAACTTTGTAGAGTGCTGTACATAATGCGTCAAAAAGATTTGAATACATTTCTAAATATTTTAAATTATCTAAAAATATGCAACTTTTTTGTTTCAGGTAACCGTTCTTCTACTCATTCTACGACAAATTGGGATCGCTTGGGGATATTTGTACACATTTTATTAATCGCCTACACAGCAACTCCTTGGTTAGGAATGGCATTCGTCCTTGTTCTCGACATTAGGTTGGATCCCGTATTTTTAATGATAAAACATTGCATACCCCAGTCTTGGAATGCATTCTTGATGCAAGTCTACTATATTTTTCGGCCCGGATTTATCATCCCATTGACGCAAATATGCCGCACGTTGTGTTTCATGATCCTCTCAGGCATAATAATTGGTCATTTATGCCTAAACTGTTTTAACCATGTGAACAGTACAGCATTTCGAGTGGCAAGCCATTTTCGCCGGCGAATTGAAATATATTTTCGGGATTACAATGCCTTGAGAATTTGCATTACTGCAATAGCCAAAGCATTCGGCGGAATAATATTCCTCTCATTGACAACGGTTTTCATACTGACCGTAATCGCCAACTACATCTCGATCCGACTGAGGGACGAAATTCCGATGTCGATCTTTATATTTTTCCCCGTGACGGGAATACTTACCCCGATAACGATCCAATTCATATTGTCATTTCTTGTCGCCATTAATGACACAACGAAGGAGATTTTGGCAAAGTGTAAATTCCATATGAATAGAAGTAACGATAAAAAATATATGTGGCGCAAGATACATTCGATGAAATCGATTTGTATTCATGGTGAATTAATGGGGCTGAAATTGTTCAAATGTTGTAGGTCGAACAGGTCAGAGTATTTTTATGTCATGTTAAATTATACTGTGACTGCTCTTATTACATGGAAGAAAGCTTAAAAAGTAACACATTTGCTTTACATAATTCACTACATAATTGTCTTGCATATTTACATATGCACATGAAATAAATAATTTGCTCGTATTAATCACGCTAAAATTTTCATTTGTACTTTAATGCGATAAATGACAGTATATTGAACTATCCAATGTTCCGGCGAAATCAAGGTTCTCATTTTCTAACTTAAAATGTGTAGTGTATAAGATTATGAATATTTTATATTATGTAACACCCGTCAACCCAGCCATGAACCCGTCTGCTTTATTCTCATGTGAGACATGCAATGACCTTGAGACACACCCAGTAATTTGTGCAATTGTTACAATTGTGACTTTTACTTAAACACACATGATTCGACATTGGCTGTTAAGTTCATAACTAAACTACCTTGATTTAATTAAATGTTTCACTTCATACAAAAACATCATGCTTTTCACAAGAATTTGATTATAATGTGTTCTTCATTTTCTCAGAAAATCAAGATGAGCATGCAGCAGGTGTAATGACTGGAAATATGGAGCATACCTCTATGGCTCAACGTCAACATAATAGCGACAAAGCTGATGATCTTATTATGCCAAAAATTGAAATCTAAGCTATAACATGGCTCTAAAATTTCGCAGAATCATATGAACCCTATATAGACGTCTGGGGGTAATACCTATTTATGTCGCGATTGCTGTGCATTACGTGAGAATTTATGCACAAAATACATAATCAACGAAGCGATAGCATCGACACATTCCCTTTCTCATAATAATTACCATTGTACTTGATTGTACCTTCATCACTCTCGGTCCATGAGGTTTACGACCACGGTGAACTTTCCTCGTCATAAATACTGCTTATTTCGATAAATGCGTTATTCCATTGTTTTGCATAACTCTAGCAACATTTACCACATCTATTCGTATGCAAACTATATTGCATAATAGTCTAACAAAATTATTATTATTACTTTGGTATATAAATCGCTAATAAAGGCACAAACTACAAAAATGAAATGGGAAATCCCCACTTCATTTTTACAAGCACGAAATAAATATTTACTTGGACCATGCAAACATATGTACGATACATACATCATACCCATGATCATTGTATAAAATAAAATGCTGCCATAATATTACGAGGATGAAATTAAGTCCTTCAAATTTTCTTAAACGACTCTTTGTTGATTTCTCGTTTCAATTCATGGCTTAAATTATTTCAAAGTTGCACCACCCTAAAATAATAAATGTGCACTCTTATACAATTGGTATTGAATCATTATTGGCCGGAGTGCATCTGCATATATGACTCTGGCAGAGTAATAACGAGCATTAAGATTTAGTAATGATGTGGTAATGAAAATTCTGCCAATTGAAATCAAACTATCAATTCGGTAGCATCTAAAAAATAATCAATACCAGTGTGGAGTATCTTTACCTATGTATGCATATGTGATCCTATTAATTTTTTTCACATTTTTAATCATGTATTCAACATATGTACATATATCGTGATTAGATGCACATTGTACATAAATACGTGTTCTATAACCAGAGCATGTATTTATGTACATGTGTATTTAAACAAGATATAGATAAAAATAGGTATAAATAAATTCTTATTTCTCTTGAAATTTGTTATGCATGGTTTCCATTGTTTCTACCATAAACAGATACGTTGCACACAACATATTCATGTACATAGGCACATAAGTGTATACGTATGTACCTACTCCAGCCCTTAAATTCCACAATGCATACTCATTTCGAGAAATATATAAATAACTTTTCATATCTACAACCCTTTCTTACGAATTCCCTAACTTTTATCCAGGCAAAGTGCATACAAGTGTCGACTACACAAAATGTGCGTTCACCATTAATTTGAAAACAGTCATCCAAAGACATTTAGATAGTAAACTTGCAAAGAAATATTTTCACGAAAATATTAATAAAGTAAAGTCACGGGTCTCGAACAATTTGGAGATGTCTCCGAAAATGAAGTATTTGGGCAAGATTAAGCTCACCGTTCTCCAAGTAAGTGATTTTACATATGTATAAAACATACACATTAATTTAGCCATAGCTAAAATCAGATTTTGCTGCATGCGTGGTACCAATTTTAGTGATTTCTCGGTGGCACAATGTGCGAGTTTGTAATATCCGTTGCTGGTTGATTTATGAAAAAATGAATCATTTTGTTGGCAGATATTTCTCACAACGTTCGTGCTTTGCATCACCTTTGGAATCGTGACCCTATTCGTAGCTGAATTCTGGATTTGCATGTTGCACGAATTTGGTGGGTATTACACAACTGCATGGTGGAACGGCGCTTTATCGATACTTGGGGTTTCGGTCGTGCTTGGACTAGTGGCCTTACTGGGGGCGTATCTGGTCATAAAATTAGTTCCGGTAAGGTGTAAATTTTAAGAAACAGTGTAAATACAATGATTTATTTTTGTGCATGTATGTATCTAAATATGTACATTATTGTACATTCATGCATATGCTGTCACTATCCAATTATGTATGTATTTATAAATTGGAAATTTATTTATTTAATTTTCAGGACGAAGAAATACACGAAGCTGTGAACACTGTTAATTCGAAACGGGATGCGGTCGTATCGAATCGTGACCTCAGCGCATCGGGATAATTGTTGAAATTTTACTTTGCTAAGTATCTACATATGCATTTATTTAGCTGCTCACAAGTAAATATATAATTATTAACCTATATAAATACATCACTACAATTTGAGTGCAAATGTTAATGTATGTACATCATTCAGAAATCTAATAATGCGATTTTTTTTATAAATTTGTACTATCCATGGCAATTAACTGTTATTTAAGTATGTTGGTCTGTCCATTTTGTCTGGATTCCGCATTGTATAATAAATTTGCTCAAAATCAGAATAAAATTACTACCTTTAGTCGAACTTTAGTAGAATTTAATTACTTTTACGTGTTTGTATTCTTATGTATTTACTTGCATCGAGTTTTTGAGTAGCATATAACCAATATCACCACAAGTTAATAAAGTAACGTTGTTTTGGAGATTCCATTAACCACCCTAAATAAATAAGACACGGTTGAGTGACGTGACATATCAGGGACGGTTAGATATGTATGTACAAACTGGGTACCAAGTAATTATGTATGTATTTATATCGATTTGTAATACTACAAATGTGTATATACATAAGTGATGAATCACTATATGTGTGATGATTCATACATATGTATTCAGCTTATTAAATGACTACATTAAGAATAAGTACCATAAATCAGGCTCCATAAAATTCGAGTAGAAATCTATATTGAAACCGAGTATAAATGTATAAAACAAATGTACAGTTTTTTTCATGGCCCTTAAATGCAAAAAGTGCTTTCTGAGTTCTGCATAAAAACAAAGATTTTTGATCAATGTTTGATATTGTATTTATAAATTTTCACAGTTCTAAATAGTAAAGAGACTATTTAGTTAATAGCTTTTGCACAATGTTACAATTACATATTATATATTGATACTCAGGACCTTCATAAATATGTACATATGTTTACACACACACAGATAGACAACATTGTATTTCATTTAATTTGGCTAAAATTATTAAAGCACTACGTATTTAATTATGTTGTAAGAGATATTATTCGTATTTGACGGTGTCTCGTGAATACTTAAATACATATAGATCAAATCTTAAACAAACGAAATTGGTATTTGGTTGTCCTGAATGAAGGACTCCATCCATGGCCATATTTCCTTTTGAACAACAAATATGTATCAATTTAAACACGTGATAAATAAATTTTAACATACATAAATTCATAATTTTTCCATCACTCACTCCCATTCCCATGATAGTAACTTTCTCCAATTCCTTCATTTGTAGGAGCCACTTCTTCATGTGGTCTTCACCACCACGGACCCACTTCAAGTCATAGTGCAGCCAGAACAGCAATCTTATTTCCAAAGTTTTGAGGCCTGAAAATTTCATTACAAAAACTTAATTAAGAATCGAATGAAATTCATATACAATTACTTATAGATTTACTCACATGACCATAATTCCTCGCAATTTGAAAATCCGTTAATAAATTCTGATAATTTTGTATTTTGACTTGAAATGTCCAACTTCAAATGTTTCAATCCAAGTGCAGCACACGCTTGCAAGTGATCTCCAACTTCGATAAGCCGCGATCCATGCCACCTACCGAATCGTTGAATCGTTAAACTTTCCAAGTTTGGGAATGGCGTCCTTAATCCTATCAGAGATTCGGGGTCATTGACATTTGCTACGTGCAAGTTTTTTACTCCACTAAATAAGTCCTTCTTCTGCCCAATATTTCGTAATATATCGTCCAAATTGCTGTTGAATTTAATAATACGTAAATTTCGCAAGTTTGGCATGTTTTCTGTTGCAATATTCTGGAGCCGGTCGCCACAGCTAAACCAGTCGAGCATATCGTTCCTAAATTTTTTCAGGTTTTGGATTTTGGGGATCTGGAAATCGATTCTGCTCTCTTCAATATTTGGAGGAAAGTCATTTCCATAATTTCTAGGATTAGCTAAGGCAATATTGTTCTTCAGGTGCAAAAATTGTAGGTGATCGCATACGTGGGCTAGCATCTTGTTGAGTCCGTAAACACCACTGCAACTTGGGACACTGGTTGCTCTCACATAGCAACACATGTCCACTGTAATCCATTTAATTGACTTATTCCGACTGAAATCTGGATACTTTGAGCCACGGTAGGTGAAGTGGGTCAATTTTGGGGCCGAGTTAACAATCAATTGTGTCATCTCTAGGAAGTCAGAATGTTCTGTAGAATCATATATTTTGACAGAGGTCAACTTGGGCCGGATAAGTAATGGTGTGGTACATTCATGATTAGCATCTTTAATTGAGAGTTTTGGAGTTCGGAAATAAATTGTCAGTGTTTTCAAGTTCCCACAACAGTATTGCAGGATTGCATTGATTGCTTTTATGGCTGGGTTGAAATCCTCATCGATAAAAGTTATTGTCAAATGTTGTATGAACCCACTGAACTTGTTGCCAAAGTAGAGGAAGGATTTAGAACCACAAATTCTTTGAGTAGATGACCATATATAGTGACCATTCCAATCGCATTCATCTACACGTGCACATTTCGCCAGTCTTGGTTCCATTTTTGCGCAAAATGATTGGAATTCTGTGGCATGGCAGCAATTTTCTGAGGAGGAGTCTACAGACGGCTTCAGTGGTAAAGTCAACTTTGGTCGGGGAAGTGAAAGTAAAATTTCGTTCCAAAAATGGGAAACGAGTCGTGCTGTTTTTCCAGAAACAGATTCGTTGTTTAATATTTGTTGCAGAATCTGTAAAAAGGTTGAGAAATGAGGTTTTTATGTATTTGGTAGATATGTATAATAGACAATACATACATATAATTCCACTCCAAAATTGAGAACTTACGACATGATTTTCCAGAGCTTGTCTCATTTAATTATTTTGTGGGTAATCCATATTTTGGAGTGAATTTTAAAATAATAAATTTTGAAAATGCAATAATGCACGATGTCCTTACACAAAATGCAAAATATAACTTATCACGCACGTTGAAGATTGATGATCATTATCCTATATTTGGAACGGCTCAAACACAGAATCACAAGTTAAATATATTAATGTACGAATGTACATTGAAAAATGCTATATGAATTAGTCGAATGTAATTACAAATTAAATTAGGTACGTGAAGAAAAGTTGTAACGATTTGCATTGAAACAGAATTCTCCGCGCCGGGTGATATGTACATATGATGAACCGGAGCATGGTTTGATATGAAGTCGCACGAACAGCGTTCCGGGTAAGAATATCACGGTAGAAATTACCACTGCGAATAACTGGTACTTACCACAATATCCAACTGGGATAAGGTTTTGCAAATAAAGCGAAAATGCTTCTAATATGTCTATGTAAAAAACTGAAACATATTTTGCGATCAATTTATTAAGCTTAATTTGAATAGTAAGCATCACATTACGGGATCTTGACGTTAGGCACATTTAATGAGTACCATACTTATGGATTGCGATAAATTTATGGATAATCAACAAGTTATTAAGGAACACCTATGTCTATTCTGGCCAAACCTAGTTGTTCACAATTATTCTCAGTGTGATGGGATAAATCGACCGAAGGTAACATTTCCGAAACCCTTTGCCTAGAACTCTCCAGCTTAATAGTGAGCGGATTTTCATGCATGCAATTTTTACACCGAATAAATCTCTTTAGGCCACATTTTGATTTGATATATGTGGGTTGCATTTTGGGCGAATGTGCATAGGTAATTAACTAATCGGCACTATTTTATTTGGTAAATATGACGACCGTGCAATCCAGAAAATTACACACGAAGAAGATGTTACGAGCCATTCACACAGCATTGATACAGTATATTATGTACATATGTATATGTAAACTTTTAAGTGCATATTCACATTTATTAGTACATAGGTATTGTTACAAGCCGGGTTACGTTATGTTAAAAATATACCATCAATGTGCAACATACCCGATTCTGAACTTTCAACCCAAAAAGTTAAAGATAGAAACGAAATTTGCATGCGACAGAAAGAGAAATGAAGCACATACTTAGGATTAGATACAGGTTTTGTGTGTGGAGCATGTGCATATGTATGTATTATGTACGTACAATGTAAATTTCTACATTGACGAAGAGTATGGTAACATGCAACTAATATTGTAGAATTTGCGTAGAGCTCGAAAGAAAAAATAAAGCACTGAACTTATAAAAAAAATTAAAAACTGAATATTTATGACTTTAACTACAATGGGTTTTAACTTTAACAGAAAGGGGTTAAACTAAGGTTAAGAATGAATCATGAATATCCTCATGTATAGTTTATTTTGGAGAAATGGGGTGTTACATAACGACAGAGTGACTAAAAATCTTGCATAACATTCCCAGCTTGTGTTAGACAAGATGTATTTTTTCGATATATCTGGAAACACACTTTAGATAGCTATAACTACAATGTAGTTACTACATATTATGTATTTATAGTTACTTATTAAGTAACTCCATTGTCCATCAATCTAGACCCATGTTAGGCTACGCCCATTACCTCGTAAACTTCTCATTTAAGCTTATCTGGCACCTGATAAGGGAGGAATGCTAACAATTATATAATAAATATTACATAATGTAGACTTGTAGTGACCAGTCGAACGAATTTGATCTCACAACTCTTTATCCAGCAATTAATAATTTGGAAACGTTAAATTATAATTTCGTGAAAAAATGCCTTTCGTCCAAATTTTACTAATTGCTACCTTATCCAATTTCCTAATCGGTACGATTGTCGCTACAACTCAGGCCGGAGTCAAACTGGACAGCTATAAGGTCGACACCTCAACAATTACCATCTCAGGATTGTCCAGCGGTGCGATAATGGCGATGCAGTACCACGTGGCCTTCTCCGAGCAGATTCGTGGGGCTGGAATCCTTGCTGGAGGTCGATTTTTATTACAACAAATATCTACAATATGCAACTTATTTAATGTTACGATTTTTTATCTCACAGCACCGGTTGTTTCGTAGCATTAATTATGTGACGTACCAATTATTAGCAATATTTTGTAACTAAAATATTTGTGGAATCAACAATTTTATCTCTCAATTCCTTCAAAAAATTGCCACTATGAAGTAGTCCGATATTCTAAATACGTGAATGGTATAAAAATAATTTTGAAACAGATGTCTACCTATTCTTGAGAACTTTGAATGAGATAAAAAAAATCATAGCATTAAATACATTCCGTATTGTATTCCAATTCCATACTATTTAATGAATCTTATAGTCCCCTATGCCTGCACACGCGACGGGGCATATGCCATTGTTCCATGTCTCGACTTTCCGGAGGAAACTGACATCCCAGCCATCCTGGATTTCATTTCGCAACAAGCAACCATCAATAACATCGATCATCCCTCCAACATAAGCGGGGACACGGTCTTCATCTTTCATGGACTGTTGGACCACAGAATCAAACCTCGTATGTATCAGAGACAAAATCAGGCTAGTCTTCAAGATTTCTGAAACCTTAAAATAATTAATTACAGACAACGCTGTACTTGTCAAAGATATTTACGCACATTTCAACGCCAGTATCAAGACTGAACTAACATTAGAAGCTGCCCACGGTTTTGTAAGTACATATTGCTGGCAAAATATTTTACCAATTATTGGAGCATTTCACGTCAGTCTTCGTAAGCCCGTAACCAGGTAAGTTTACGAAGATCGGCTTACGACCCAAAAATATGGCTCTTATTTTTGCAATTTTTTGTAAAAATTACCTGAGAAATATTCGTAAGTTTACGAACTTACAAAGGCTGACGTGACATGTCTCATAATTAATTAATTTGACGTATCCTTTCGCATCCTCAGCCAACAAATGACTACGGCGGGGCATGTGACCAGTATTCTCCGGAAACCCAGTTTATCAATAACTGTTCATATCATTCAGTCTTTGAAACTTTGAACCACCTGTACAACCAGACTTTGCAATATCCAACCGGCTCCGAACTTCTCACACCACTGATTTCCTACGACCAAGTCGAATTTGGTAGTGTTGCAGCAATGATGGACTCAATTGGATATGTTTATGTCCCAACGGTTTGCGGCTTAGAAAGTGAGGACAAGCAGCCTTGTAAGTTCCACGTGGTTTTCCACGGTTGCCAGCAGTACCGTGGGAACATTGGAGAGATCTATGTTACAAAAACGGGCTATTTGGAGGTTGCAGAAAAGAATGGGATTGTCCTCATTTTTCCGCAAGTTATAAATTCCACGGATAACCCGAATGGTGAGTGACATTGGGTGGAAGTGGGAAAGGGTCGAAACTTTTGAGGTGGAAATTCAGAGTTGTACACATTTTCTGATCCATCCGAACCGAATCCAACCGAATAGTATGCTGAAAAATATTCATTAGAACCGAATTCCAATTTTTCGGTTAAACAAATATCCATCCAGACTGAATCCGAATTTTTTGGGTGGAAAAATATTCATTAGAACCGAATCCGAATTTTTGGGCTGAAAAATATCTAAACCTAACCGAATGATTCGGATTCTTTCACTTTTCATTGGATCCTTTATCCGAATTCAAACACTTTTCACTAACTAAATTCTCCGTATGCCGGCATATGCATTTCCATCTCAAATGATGCCTCCACTTTCCTATTTCCAAGATCCTGATCTTTTATCTAAATATAAATAAGCTTGTACTTCACATAATCGCATTTAATGATAACATTAATTTTATCATTCACAAGGTTGCTGGGACTGGTAAGTTATGTTTTACTACAGTCAATTTACGTTCAGTTAACTCATTTTTGAGCTGAGTTACGGGACATTTTTTGTAGGTGGGGGTTTAACGATGAAAATTTCCGTAAGTCAATATAATTTTATAAAATTTAGGGATTTATAAAATAAGATATGTAAGTGTGAGACAGCCAATTCGTTTTCAGTAATTAAAACTGGTCGACAAATGAAAGCCGTGAATGAAATGGTGCAAAGGGTGGCATTCTGGTAAGACTGTTTTAGCATCATTTTAAATTTAATTGACGCTCATTTGATAAAAATATTCATGATTTTCAGCGAAGACAATTGCTCAATGACTGGAACTAGAACGCAATTTAGTATTGTTACAATCATAATCTTAACATTACTTTCGGCATCTGTTATTCTGTTTGTATGCTAAACTATGCATGTGGAAAGTTACAAATAAAAATTACAACGTTTATCACGGAAAATGAAATTATTTTACAAAGTTCAACAATGGAGTATAAACTGACTGGCTAAGTGCTCCCCCTCCCCCAATGGACGGATACCTCTGTACTGATAAAAAATGTATTAATCTAGATATTTACATTTTGATTTGATTTATTCACATCAAGCTTGATTTACAAAAATCTTGTTACGCTTGATATGTATTCATTACACTAATGGTAATGGTTTAATATTTACTTCTACTAGGTATTAATTTTTGCATACAAAAATCTATTGAATTTCATGGAAATATATAATTTCACTAAAATTTAGGAGTTTAGAACCTCCGAATGAATTAATCAGTTTAAACAGTTTACGAATTTCAATTTTGAAAAAGCAATTCTTTAATAAATTTCAAAAAATTACACATGAAAATAATATATGTACCAATTTCACGGATCTATTCATGATCTCTGAGCTGGGATAACTAATATTTTATGTAACTTGCCCATAATATGAAGGATATGGGATTATAATTGAATTTTACACTTAATTTTGTTCACAATTAATAAATTTTATTCAAGCATGCAAAATCATGACAGAAATTGCACTCATGAACAATTCTCCCATATCAGAAACCCATCCAAGGTTGCTCATCCCCATGAAATACCAATCTCTCTAACTGGAAGGGGAAACAAAACTCTATGGGGAGACAATCCTCATGCTTTTTAAGTTGCCGGTCGTACGACCGACGAGAAACTTGCTTATGTAAGTAGCCATCTATATAAGCGTAGCTTCTTCAGTCATCCATGGCTCATCCCAGATAAAGCACTGAATGAGAATTTGATGCATGGAGAACTTTTCGCGTATTAAGCTAACTTATGTCCAGATCATGAATAAAAATATTTGGCAAATCGTATTTACTTAATTCACATGCAAATTAGAGGCGAATTAAGAAATGAGTAAGAACTGGAAAGAAAGGAAAGGAAAGCCACGACTGCACATATCTTAGCCCGGCTAGCTCAGTCGGTAGAGCACGAGACTCTTAATCTCGGGGTCGTGGGTTCGAGCCCCACGTTGGGCGCAAATTTTTTGCATGTTTTAAAATTAATTTGTGCACTAAATTATTAACTGCGAAGGCAAAGTTTGGTAATTTTTGTAAATTTAACCTCCCTGTTGCTAAATTCACAATAATACGACGATGGATGCGATGCATATATTTGGCCAAAAAATTTCGATCAATGACATCTTTACTCATGTTTGTGTCATTCTCGGGAATATATGCATTGAAAAACTGTTGTTTAATTACATTTATTCACATTTATGCGTAAGTTAACATGCAAATTTGCCGTCTCCTCCCAATCGTAAGCAACGACCTGAATGTTCCCTTTGTTACAGCCATGGTAAAATTGAGAACGGACAGCTTCTTAATCGTGAAGACTCCACGCTTACCTATAATTAATGTATGGCAACTTTTTGCATATTTCTGGAAATACGTTTTCTCCGTTTTTGTCAAAAATTTGAGATTTTTCCAACTGCTCAAAGTATTTTTAGAGATGTGGTTATAACTCCCGATCACTTCCAACCATGCCGTCCATCCAACGTGAAATAGAGCGGCCCAAGCGAGGAGTTGGGCCTGAAATTTATTAGACCTTATGGATTTCACGCAAAATTATTGATGGTAACAAAATTATCAAATTATCACCGATTATAAATAGACGCGTTGGTAAAATTTAACAATTAAATGTATCAGAGAAAATTAAGTGTGTGACACAAAAACTGGTGAACATTTGTGTAAGAAAATATTGTGGAAAAATGTTACCAATGGTGTAAAGCCTCATATCATGTCTAAATACACTCGGACACAATTTTGTTACCATTTATACAGCTGTACATACATAGTCTTGCCATAAGAAGTGATAGTAGAGTGTAGTTTTTGAACCGGTCTACATAAAATTAAAAGGTCAGTTGCGGTTTGTACATACATTCAGTGCCTACCCTTGGTGTTGACCGTTTTTACTTGACGTCACTAGGTCAAAGGTAGGAAAAGCTTAGCTACACGCGCGCGGCAATAATTTTTCACTTTTTGCATAAGAAAAAAATGCACGATGTTTGATGTAGTGTAGCAGTCCAAGTACAACTACGATCTGGTTGCCCAAACTATTAAAGTAATCCTAGAGACAGTGTCTATCTTTGGTATAAAGGTTTCGGTGGTCCAAGGTCAGGGAGGACTACAGTGATGTCCGAAGCTTTGAACGCCAGAATAGCACAAAATCTCCGTCTGACACCGAAGAGTTTGGCCATAGAAATGACCTTTCAACTTTAGAGATCAGATTAGCACTGAAAAGTGACCCTAAGATGAAGGTCTTTTAGATTAGAAAGCGTCACATGCTACAGATTTCCCAAGCCTAAGCAATTGTCAAAAAATCGACCTCTCTCCCCAAACGGTACGGTGAAAAAACCAAAAAAACTATCCCATTTACCGATGATAATTTCTTTACGACAGGAACATATTTCAACAAAAAAACTAACACGTTTTATGTCAAATATTCTAAGGGTTAGCTGATTACAAAATAAAGGTCAAAATGTTATCTTATCAGGCTCCATTCATGGTTTTGGCGGGAATCGGCGAAATTGAGCAAAAACAGCCCAATGTCCTTGATTAAGGAGAGGAGATAGTTTTAAAAAATATTTGATAAATGTCCTGGTGAAGAAGGAACACCCTCTCAACTAGTCCATATTGGGTGAAAAGCCACCGACCTTTTTGTAGGCGTTCACAGTAGAATTTACAGCGAAATTTGTGAAAAACTGGATTAAAATCCATATTTCTGACTTCATTTGCACTTTAGGTTTAACGTTGAAATTTTCGAACCGCCGACAACTTCACCACCAAATATTGATTAAAATTGAGGAAAAGGTCTGTTCTGAGCCCCATATAAGTGTCAGGGTCACAAAAAAATTTCTGACCCGGGAATGACACAGTTTGTCAATTAATTTCGTGCGTATTTTTGATGGAGCTTTCTCTTTCGTGACCAATTTTTCATGGTCACAGGAGGAATATATTTTCAAGTCTAATACATGTTTTCTACTCGAAATTTAACTGGCTTTTCAATGGAATAAGAATAAATTTGAAATTCCTTAAAACTAACCTAATATAGTCGTCTATTCTACTATCACTTTTTAAGTTGAGACTATGTATATATTTGGTAATTTGGTTCGATTTCTCGAACTAATTAAAATAAATGAATACTAACCGTTTCAAAGATGTCTAAAGAATTCCAACTTTGCAGAAGGATGTAGTTGCATGAAACAATGACCTGGATTATGACGGATTGTAAAATTGCAAAAAACATTTTGATAGTTTCGTTCGCTTCGTTATGCAAGAGTTGTAGGCAGTTGTACTCCTTTGGAAGGTATGCAGCAGTCCGTAAAAGCCAAAGTGTGTTCCACCCTTGGAGTGAATTGCCGATACGAAATTCAGTCGCAAGCAAGGGTAGGATGGAACCTGATGGAAATTTTAAAAAGGGCATTTTTGGGTGGATAATAAGATATCTGTGGTGTAAATATGACCAGTGATCGGCACATCGACGACCATTAATTATCTACCAAACCCATGCTTTTTTTGGTAACATTTGTCACAAAATTTACCAAAAATGGTTGTCCATCGCCCATTTTTTAACCTCACTAAAGGTGGCGAGCGGTCATGCCGATCACTGTGCGACTAAAACTGGCATAGCTTTTAGGTGAGTTTGCCTTAAAATTACGTAAAATAAACAAAATACTTACACACAAAAATGCAGCCAAGCATTGTACACGTAAGTACAACATGGGCCGACCAGATAGTAATGTAAATCATGAGAGAGCCAAATGCCAAATTAATCCAGTTATTCCGTTTTATTTCAAAGTTCCACATTTCGGCCTCCTCCGCTTGGGGGAGTAACGTGGGGAGGAAAATTGGCAAGTGGGGATTACCAAAGTACACCAAAATATTTAGAAACGCTATGACGGAGAGGAAATGAAGGATTAGGATCACTGTGTCGAGAAATCTTCCAGGAATGCAGGTCAATTCGTTCGGATTGTACGACTTGATCATCCACCTTCCTAAAAGTTGGATTGTTTTAAAGTTCAAAAATAAATTTTGCAGTTTTAGGCCTTTTAAGATGGCCTTATAGATTCGTCAAGATGTCTGTCCGTCCGTCCGTCTGTGCGTCCGTCTGTGCGATCGATAACTCTCTTTAAACACAAGCTATCGACTTGAAATTTTGTATACTTGATCTTCGGGTCAAAAGTAAGGATGAGTTTGAAGATGAGCCTGATCGGGCAAGAGGTTGACCGGTGGGGGTCATTTAGGTGGATCGGATGGACCGCACACAAATATAAATGTCATAGAAACGTTCTAAATTTGCCGTAAGAGGCTGAAATTTGGCATGAAGTTAATAATGCACCGCAAAATTATATGCAAATCATTTATTAGGAGTCCGACTTTCAGTAATAATGCCATCTTAAAAGGCCCCGCAAAGTTGCTTGGAGTAGGTTTTTCTTTTTTAGTTGGGAAACTTACGTTGAAACAGGAGGCAATATTTAATGATCTGATTCGCCAATATGCAACACTCATTTTGCATCGAGCTCATGAAGATGGCAAAAACGTTGATGAGAAAGTACCCGATTGAGATGACGTAGCAAAGGTTGAAATCTGGGTGATTGTATCCTTTGTAATAGAGAATTTCGAGCGTTCTCAGGACGACGAAGATGTTCAGGGCAACCATGATGAAGGTTAAGATTGGGAAAATTCTTCTGGATGCAGTCGTGATGTAAAATGTCCTGGTTTTTACATTTATGTGCAGGCTACATGCACCAATTCGGGTAGGAAGAATGTAAGAGTAGTGTAGAATTTTGAAGAAATTGTTTGAATACATTTTGCAAAAATTTGGCTTATGCAAATTGATGCCAAGTTCACACTGGGAAGTGTTTTGCTATTGTGTATAGGAAAATGGAGTATGTATGTACATAGATATTTCACCCTAGTCGGATAAAATTAGTATAGAATTTGGAGCAATTTTTTAAAATTGGGTCAATTGGAGGTTCATAGAATATTGGTTCATCGAGCATTACTTACATATAGTTATTATTAATTGGAGCACCCGCAATATGAGTTATTATTAACTGTGATACAGTTTTAAATAAAAATAATGAATAAATTTAATTAGGGCAAAGTAATATAGGGATTAAGTTCTGACAGAGTTGATAATTTGCAATAATTTGCAATACAAAAATATTGCAATACAAAGTTTGAAATACAATTACACACAGTGCAAATTTTGCATTTGGCAGGTACATATTTTGTATATTTTTGAACGCATTCTTCGTAAACATGTACATACAAACATTAATCACACTATTTATTAAAGTTAAACTTTGAAGAGGACCAATTTACAGTTATTTATTTCAGATTCACACTTTTAACTATTCATAATTTAACAATATTTGAACTCTTGTATTCCTTCGATTTATTTATAAAGCAAAGAAACTCTCTTGCACCCCTTTAAAGCTATTATCCCGTGGATTTAGAATTCTGAACAATTTTCCGGCATCGGGTTCCCCTTGAACGGTGGTCAAGTCCAAATTTATTGACGTTGTGGTCACATACATCGAGTCATAGTTAGGTCCACCAAAGCAGAGAGAGGTCACGTTCGTCGTCGGCAGAGTAATTGTGTCCAGCAGGGTACCTTAACGAAATTAGAATGCATATGTACATACGTACTAACTAAGAAGCCTAAATTTTTAATTTTGCTCCGAGATAATTATTATTACCCGTTTCTCCATCAACTTTAACCACACTTTTCCCTTTCCAATTAGCAATCCAGACATTTCCATTGACATCGGTGCACAATCCGTCGGGAAAAGAACCCTCAAGTTGAGGGTTGTTTTTGTAGTCCAGCAAAATTTTCCTATTTGCTACCACATACATTTGCTTTAAAAATATAAAAAACAAAATAGCTACCAATTTAAAAATGTAATTTTAGAGCCTAAATTAATTAAACACTGGCCGTATTTATTCTTTGTATCATAACTAAATATTTGTATCAACTCATCCAAATATGTACATACTTACACAATTGTCCTGACTGCACATCAAAATCAAACACGTTTGTCACCCTTCGAGTCAAATCATTCCAAAAGAGCTTTGTCCCCTCTTTGTTCCATCCGAGACCATTTGGAACAGTGTAGTTTTCTTCTGCTAATTTATAACCAAGGTTCCCAGAGAGACTGAAAATGGATCCTTTTACCATCAAATTTTTTTAGATAGTAAGATTTCATAGGAAAAAAATGCATATTTCCTTAATTATGTAGATAAATTACCTTTCCCCTCATCCAGCTCCGCCATCCTCATATCCACAAATTTCGCAATCCCAGTCCAATATCTGCCTTGCGAGTCGCATTTTCCATCCTCCAAAAATGACAAGTTGTCATTATTCTCACAACTGTACAATATTTTGGTCACACCTAAATCCCAGTCAAATTCAACCAGTTTGCCGGTTGACAATGCGACTAAAAATTTCGTAGTTGACGACGAATACGGCATAGATACTACAATCCAAGGAAATTCTTCATTCTCTATTTTGACTTCTTTTGACGCAATTTCTTCAGAAAGTGGATCAAATATTGAGACAGATTTGCCGAAAGCATTTGTGAAAACTAATTGTTGTCGACGATTATCCCAGAGCGGAGATTCTCCGAACAAGACGGGTTTTGAAACCGGTTGGATTTTGTATGACATTTTTTTGAACGATAATTCAAATAGTCTTATGGAGAGACTGAACTAAAGAAGATTAAACACATCATCTGCACGTGTGATGCTTTTTTAGCATACAAGAACTTGTCGTGCAAGGTCTTTTTAATAAAACGTGATTTGGATTGGCTTATATTTATTGTTAGTTGAAACCAATGGATATATGTACGTATGTATACTTGGCTTGCTGTACTCACTTGTGGCACATTTATACATTTAACAATAACACATACATAAATGCATAAATGTAATATCCAGAATACTAGAACCATGCAATTTGTTTGCAGTAATGTTTATTGAAGTCTATGGACTACATGTGGAATATCTTTCTAAATTGTTTATGGTATTTAGAAAGATTGGCTGGTCACAGTACACTTGCGAGATTTTTTTTGTATTGAACAATCATTTTTCGAATAGCATCAGTAAAATGGTTATTTTAGCATTCATAGAAACACTGAGAATTTATTTCATGCAATAAGTATTGTTGCGTGCTCATATCTGTAGCTAAGCTTGGGGTTATGTGTATTTGATAACCTGTACATTCGTAGATATTCAGCACTGTGTTGTATCGTTATAATAATTGTTTATTTCATTGTCTAATCTAGTAGTCCATATAAAAATACTTGGTGATATTTAAAAAATCCCTCAAATTCCTAGCACCCATAATCCGTACACCGACACGAGCTTGAGGTGCACTGATAGCATCGGTAGCCCAGCCAGTAGCAGGCGTTGCTGCATTGGGGTGCCGTGTAGCCCCCACACCACGCAAGACTTCCGTCGTTCGCAATTTTGAGGAAAATATTTTCGGCGGATGATTTGGGGGGCTGATCGACAGATGAGATCGAATTGCTTACGGCCTTCCCAGCATTTACCAGAGGTTCAGGTGCAGCACATGCCTGTGATAAAAATAGAAATCTGAATAAGTCAGGTAATTAATTTCATGGTAATTAGATAATTTAGAGATTTGACTTACCATGGCGACAATGGCTCCGATCAAAATGACGATCTTCATGGTTTGCATGATTTTCTAAAAAGTTTTGTGGAAAAAAGTTTCCAATATGAAGCAGTTGAATAGTAGTTTGGTTGTTGGTGAATTGAATGCTTGTGATACCAAAATGATCCCAAACAGACTTTTTATACCCAATCCACCGGATACATATGTGTTAACAGTGTAAACATTTCTGGATAAATTGATGTGATGCATGAAGATCACCACGTACTTAATTCTGTTGTTGTTATCCTTTGCACGAAAGATAACAACGCAATCCACGTTGTTGGCTGAGGTGACTGGATCACAGCGATCAAACACTAATCAGCATAACAATTGACCCATTGCCTGCATAAAAGGTTAACATTTGCGCTGCGAGTAGTAATGATATTTACAGACTTCTGGAATAACAATGGACCTATGCATACATACATTTCTCATCCTCAGTGTACCATACTTCGAGACGTGCGAATTTCCTGTTACACGAATTTCAGACGCCAAAACAGATTAAATAAACCTATTATGACGAAAAACTTAAGGTTTTCGCACAAACATTGACAATTTTTAATAAATGGATGACCGATACAATTAAATCAATGTGTTGCCCGAAGAAATATGGATATGAAAGTTAAATAAAGCACAACGGCCGGACCTGGACAACTTATGTACAGTGGAGATCTCGCAGCGTATATATGATATCAGATTTTGATCAAACTAGAGACAGTACATAGATCCCAAATTTAATTAATATGATTCTTATATCAGTAAATTTGGAAAGCGTCAAATTCGGCAACTTTATGACTCTAGGACTCTAGGAGTTTAGGATATTTTCTCTTCTTTTGTTGGAACGAAATAGATATCTTTCCCAAACAATATGTAGAATCAGCAGATGGTCCATGTTCCAAGTTTCATATTAAATAAATTGATGACCGATTGATGCTAGTTTAATCAAAATTTGAGAGTATACGCTGGAAAACCCCGATTGTAAGTTCGAGAGTCAAAATCTGCCAAGTGGTTGTGGAGTGGGGGTCATATATGTAAATAAGTTGGATGACTTCGTTGGTGCAGAATATTGCAAAATATGTAACATTCGCTTGTCAACCAAATGCATAACAAAATTACACGCAATTCGCTAATTTCAATTCCTCAATTTTCTTTTCTTTTCATCGTTGTATTACTTGTTTCACTCCGACAAGAGAAACGACGAACAGGGATTAAATTTCAACGACAAGTGCTAATGAGTAAAAGCAACAAGGAGCAAGTTCACGGTTAACACCCATTCTTAAGGGCACTTCTCAGCGAATGTTTACTTTCAAATTTTAGAGTATAGCGTGAAAAATTGAAACGATTTAGTAAATTTAGTGTAGTCAATATGTATACAAATATGTCCGTTTGAGTTTCAGTTTGGTCTAAATTTTTATTGTTAAATTTCGGTTACAACCAGGTTTAAAAAAACAATTATTAGTTCCATAAAACAAGAGTGAGAGATAACCAGTTACTAACTGGCAGTTAGTAGTATCAAATTAATTATTTAGCACCCAGATTGTGAGCATTCGCAAAAGCTGGATGTGCAGCGATAGCATCTGTAGCCCAGCCAGTAGCAGGCGTTGCTGCATTCGGGCGCCGTGTAGCCCCCACACCACGCAAGATTGTCCCCACTCACCATGTTCAGGAAGGCATTCTGGGCGGATGATGTGGGGGGTTGGTCGGCGGATGAGATCGAGTTACTTATGGCCTTCCCATATTGAAAATTACCTCCGTGGAGAGATTCGGGTGCTGCGTATGCCTTAAATACAAATCCAGTTTAGCATCCGATCGATAATTTGCAATTAATTTTTATTCTCTTACCATGGCGACAATGGCTCCGAGGAAAATGATGATCTTCATGGCTTGCATGATTATTCGATTTGAAGTTGGGGCGATGATTTGGTTATGAACTGGACTTGTTGGCTTATTGCTGCTTGAAATGCTTATGATGCTTTTGAGGGGGAATCGAAATTCTTTTATACACCGTCCACCGGATATTCGCAATAGCGTTTCGAAAACATTTCTGGATAAATTGGTGATGCATGCTTAACAACACGTGCGTATGTATGTAATACCAGTGTTATCAGTTTGAATGATGTTTTGGTGTTATGACTGGATGATAATGTGATCTGAATAATAAAAGGTTAATTCATGCAAAATGTGTCGATTGCGCAGCCCTGTACAAACTACAATGTATGTACTTCGGCAATGTATGTACTAAAGAGGAGAGATTTTGAACTTCTATATACTTATGAAACTTATATAGACTACTTTTAATTTAACTCTAAGTTTTAACTATAAGTTTTAATTTAACTCTTGTAAGTTAACTCTACTTTTGATTTGCTAAAAATCTTCGCCATAATATTTCTCGCGAATTGAGGTATTATCTCAATATGTATTTAAAATACATACATAATTATAAATAGTTACATATGTTGCATATCGCATATACTTTCAAATGCATACATACTATTCGCATGAGAACAATTTGCTTATTCAGGACAAAAATACATTTAGAACTCCCGAAAAACTCAAATTGAAACGAATTAGACATGCATGTGCATGATGTACATAAGTAAATATGTATATGCATATTGTACTAATGTGCAAGAAGTTTACAATAAGGTCGATGGAAGAATGCAAGTTATTCGTGAAACTTTTACAAATATTTTGACCCACTACACCAATTGCTTTGTTATTTATCCTGTCATATCATAAATCGCTGCTTTCACTTCACCGCAAAACTGGAGAATTGCATAAGAACGCGAAAATGTCCCGCAGACAAGTAACTTTCTTCCAGCGGAGTTCAACCAAGCCGAGTCCTCGATAGTATAGTGGTAAGTATCCCCGCCTGTCACGCGGGAGACCGGGGTTCGATTCCCCGTCGGGGAGGCGCTCTAACTTTTTTGCAGTTTTTTTTTGCTAAAATTAAAGCTTTATTTCTCTAGAACCGATTGGAGGGCGATTTTATTCCTCTCGTGATCTTAATCCACGAAGTAAAACTTTCCTAACTGTTGTTTCCAACTTAATATTTAAATTCGAAGTGTTTAATGGCGTTATTATATGCACATACATAAAAACTTCAAGGTTCTATGTAGAACCTTGAACAATTTGTCCAAGGTTTCTATACATAATTCGTGGTTGCATATATTTGAAATCAACGAGTATAGAATACGCAAATTTTCTCCGTTATGAATTCCATCCTCAAAATGAAATAATTGGGGTTTTCTCATTCCTCATGATAATCCTCATCATGCGCTAAGAACGAAAAAAATAGATAATTAAAACCTTTACACAAAACCCAGATTAATCTATAAATTAATTTATAAATTTGAGTGAATCGTATACGATTCACTCAAATAATACAAGCATGTAATGCAAAATATGTATGCATATCAGCGTTAAAACATGCAAAAAATGTTACGTGTAGATGTTTTGAAGGAAAAATAAGGGGCGTAGTGCCTGTGAGGAGCAAAATATGAATGCAGATGGTTCTAAAGCCTTAATTTTAGCAAAAAACTGCAAAAAGTTAGATCGCCTCCCCGACGGGGAATCGAACCCCGGTCTCCCGCGTGACAGGCGGGGATACTTACCACTATACTATCGAGGACTCGGCTTGGTTGAACTCCGCTGGAAGAAAGTTACTTGTCTGCGGGACATTTTCGCGTTCTTATGCAATTCTCCAGTTTTGCGGTGAAGTGAAAGCAGCGATTTATGATATGAAAGGAAAAATAATAAAACAATTGATGTACAATTGGGTCAAAATATTTTTAGAAAAATGTATTGGTCTAACTCAAACTTATTTCAGTCTTAGAGTTTTAGTTTATTTCTAGATACATACGTAAATGCAAATTTACGTCCCGAACTATACATGGTCTCGAACGAACGATTTTTGTTCATTTGGTATGTATGTCAAGGGGTGAAATGATGTGAAACAATCCAATAAAATAGAGCTTGCACGATTAGGACATAAATTATCTACATTTCACGTGTCTTTAATACAGTAAAAATTCCAATATTTTAATGACAAATTAAAGTTAGCTATTGATAGGAAACAAAAATAATTTACACATATATAATTCAAAAATTTGCATACATGTGTATGTATGTAAATAATCATCATGCGATAAATGTGATATTTATCGTATGATGCATATTTGTGTGAGACATATTTCCCATTTACCAATCCTCATCTATGTCAACAATCCAAAAACTGGACTTTTGAGCTTTTATTCATGAGTAAAATTGAATCAAGGGTTGGAACTTTGAAGAAACACTGAATGAGAATGATTGCGTAGGAATATGCATAGAACAAGTTTCTTTATGTAATCCGGTATACATAGATAATATTACTTGAAGTTGATGGTCAGTGGAAGATTGAATTACTCTTATTCCTAGCAGTTTATACAGTCAGATATGAAAACTAAAGGGAATTGGGATAAAAATGTAAACCTACATATGCATGGCATGTATAGGGTATTTTGAGTGTCAAAGTTTTGACTGGATGAAAATCTTGTAAATGTCGTATGATCTGTTTGTGGTTGTTTCACTCTGTGTCCAAGATCTTCATGTGAAAAAATGCTAGTAAATATTATTAAAACGCTCCCACGGGATTGCAGGTGAGAAATGTGATTAACAATTACATATTTCATACATCGAGGATGATTACATGATTTTTTTTACAGGATAATCACACGGCACATAAAATCCTTACTAGAATTGAGGACGTTAGAAAAGAATGGAGCCTCTGTCGGAAAAGTGTTTGACGAGCGTGCAAAAAAGAACCCTGGTAAACCTGCAATTCTTTTCAAGGATGAAGTTTGGACATTTCAGCAGGTCCATCAATTATCACATAATTGCAAAATCCATTAACTCTTCATTTCTCATTTAAAAGATTATCAAAGTCCTACTTTTATTGTTTAAAGGTACTTGAAACGAGCAATAAAATCGGGAATATGATGGCAGATCTTGGGATGAAAAAAGGAGACAAAGTATCATTATTCATGGAGAATGATCCTCGTTACATATGCACATGGCTTGGCTTATGCAAGGTATGCAATAATGATAAATCGATGTCACACATCTTAATACGCAATGCTTACTTTGATTTAAAAAATTGCACAATTTTATGGGTTTATTGTTCTGCATATAAATTTTGATCAGATCGGAGTTGTAACTGCCTTGGTCAACTTTAACCTGCGTTCAATGCCTTTGAAATATTCATTTGAGCTGGCGGATGCAAAGGCAATAATTTGTGGTTATGAGCTGACAGAAGGTATGCATAATTAAATACGCGAACATTTGCAATATAAACAAAATGATGCATATCAATTTTATGTTAATTCCGGCAGCATTAACGGAGGCGTATAAGGACAAGCTTCCAAATGTCCCTATTTTTGTATCTGGAAGTAATATAGAGCAAAATGTTCTAAAATCTGGAATTTATCTTGACAAGGAAATCCTCACTCATGCCTCTTCAACTCCAAAAGAACAAGAAAATACTGGTTTTCTTGACGAATTGTTTTATTTATTCACATCGGGCACAAGCGGTTTAAACAAGGTTGGATGAATTTATGTACTGTAATCATAAAACCGTTAATTACAAATTTTTATAAAAATTTTAATTTAAGGCAGCTGTCATAAAACATTGCAGGTAAGTGGGTAATATTCGTGGTTCTAAAAAAAGCAATTTAACAACTGTTCTTCCAAAAAAATACAGATTTCTGATGGCTGGCGTGGCTGGCAGAATTGCAAACAAGATGCAACCAGATGACATCGTTTACGCAACATTACCTCTTTATCATACAAATTCGGGAATTGTAGGCGTATCACAGACATTTGTAAACGGCTATACGCTCGCTCTAAGGGACAAATTTTCAGCCAAAAATTTCTGGAAAGATTGTATAAAATACAATGTCACAGTGAGTAACACATTTCTATTTTAGCTCTTTCTATGTATGCATGCATGCAAATTTAAAACAACAATAATAATAAGTATTCAAACAATAATGGTTTCTGCTGTAGATAGCACAGTATATGGGTGAAACAGCTAGGTAAATAGATATTATTTTTTCGCATGCATTACAAGTGTACATATAACGTGTCATTAGGCAATTAACGAAGTTATTGGTAATTCGTAAAATCCGTAAGTTTTGTAAAATAGTTTTACAAATTTTGACAAAATAAAAACATCCCTTGACCTGAGTAAGTTTACAAAAATTGTAAGCTAATTTTTCTTAGAAATATTTGTAAATTTTTGTAAAATTTCTACTTATACATATGTAAGTTTACAGAATTTGCGGATTTTACAATGTTACCTAGGACTGCGTGAATTGTCTCAATATCTTAAAAATGATTCTTCAGATATCTTTTGCGGCAGCCTGTCACGCCGGAAGAAAAACAACACAAAGTCCGCTTAATGTTGGGCAATGGGTTGAGGCGAGAAATATGGGAGGAATTTGTGGAACGATTCGGTATCAAAGACATCTCAGAGCTGTATGGCTCAACAGAAGGCAACGTGAGTACAGGTAAATAAGTATATGCAAAAAATTAAGATTCTTGCATTTTTGTGTTATCATTGCAAATAACCACAAAAGCATATTCACATTCGCAACAGTGAACTATGAACATAAGGTCGGTGCCTGCGGATTCATCCCAATCTTATTCAAGAATCTATTCCCAATGACCATTGTCAAGTTGGATAGTAATTATGAACCAATACGAGATCCAAAGACTGGATTTCTAGTACAGTGTGGACCCTATGAGATGGGAGAACTGGTCGGCAAAATCCAGAAAGATCATGCATTCCGAGATTTTAAGGGGTATGCACGACACGAATTACACAGTACCATCAAAGTTGAAAAAGTATTTTCCAAATTTAATGAGCTGTAATTACCGGTTCCGACAATATAAATGTGTACATAATTCCGAATCAATTATGAAAACACATATTTATTACCATATTTTTGTTGTTTTATATTTATTACATATTTAGATATGCCTCTGATAAAGCAGCAAATTCAAAGAAAATTCTATCCGACGTATTTAAGAAAGGCGACTCGGTATTCAGAACAGGTGTGTTTTGTGAGAGAATCGAGTCATTGTTCTCATGTAAAAAAAACAATTAAAAAATTATGCAATTATTCATATATGTAAATACTTTTTCATAGGCGACTTGTTCATGAAGGATGAACTTGGATATCTCTACTTCAAGGTAAGTTTACTTTATTTTTCTTTCGGCTTAATCCATGTCCGAGTTCAGAAATTAAAAGTTCGGGAATGCACCAAAGATTTTCATGTACCTGCATATATGTAACTACAATATTTTTAATTTCCGAACTCGAACCGGATTAAAAAATCCAGGAAAAATAAAGTAAACTTACTCTCTGCCTCCTCTTTCAGGACAGATTAGGCGATTCCTTCCGATGGAAAGGTAAATTTCAGATACACTAATCCATCTAATTTTCTGGTCACATTCGAATTGTTTTATTTTTAGGAGAAAACGTGTCCACAACTGAGGTGGAATATATTATTAGCAATCTCACAGACAAGCTGGATGTGGTAGTCTTCCCTGTTGAAGTTCCCAATGCGGATGGAAAATGTGGCATGGCTGCGATAGCAGATGAAAACAATAACTTGAATTTGGATGAATTAAGTTCAAAAATTAAAAAGACGCTGCCATCTTATGCGATCCCACTTTTCTTGAGAATTGTGCCCAGCATTGAAATAACTGGTGAGATTATTTGTATGGAATATTTCTTTTGTCGAAAATGAGACAAAGTGAAGCAATCATCTCTTTAATTAGGCACACATAAAATGAAGAAAACCGAGCTACAAAAGGAAGGATTTGGTGTCAAAAGTGACAAAAATGTTTACTTCTGGTCGAATGAAGAAGGGAAATATGTTCCCTTTACGAACGACTTGTATGAAAAAATTGTAGCGGGTAATATCAAACTCTGACGTTTCAGCCAATTTATGCATGTACAACATATTTATTGCAATAAAATAAAAACAGTTAATGTGAAAGGTGAATGGCATGATGTACAAGGTTTTGACTCTCATTTTTCATGAAGTGTTTCATTTTGTATATTTTTGCATGAAAGTTTAGTCACTAAAGTAATACCAATAATGGATCAATAATACCAATATAGCCAGTTAATCGGTTAAATTAACCTCAATAATTATACAAAAGTTGTAAGACTTCTCATTTAGTAAATTTCACTTCATAATTATTTCGCACCAAGAATTAAAATGTCAAAATCCTGAACAACAAGCTTTTGATTAACTATGTATTCCCATTATACTATGAAATATGGTTTCACGGAATTTCTAACTGCGACTTAATGAGATGCAAATAATTATGATTATGTATAATTCATATAAAAAACGTCATATGTATTTTGTGAATGAACGTTCTTTCATTGTAGTTTTGCGTAGCTCAATCAACAAATTTTGCATGGATTAGCCTGTTATTGTGACATTATGATCCAGTCATACATACATTTGTAACACCAAAACATCACTCAAACTGATAACACCGGTGTTACATAGGTATGCACATAGATACGCACGTGTTGTTGTTCATGCATCAACAAATTTATCGGTAAATGTTTTCGAAATTATTACGAATATCCGGTGGACTGTGGTATAAAAGAATTTCGATTCCTCCTCAAAAGTATCATAAGCATTTCAAGCAGCAATAGGCCAACAATTCCAGTTCATCACAAATCCATCACCCAAACCTCAAATCGAAAAATCATGCAAGCTACGAAGATTATCATTTTCCTCGGAGCAATTGTCGCCATGGTAAGAGATTATAATTTAATTACAAATTATCGATCGGATTCTAAACTTTATTTGTATTTTTGAAGGCACACGCAGTACCCGTATCTCTTCACGGAGGTAATTTCCAGTATGGGAAGGCTGTAAGCAACTCGATCTCATCCGCCGACCAACCCCCCACATCATCCGCCCAGAATGCCTTCCTGAACGTCGTCAGTGGGGACAGTCTTGCCTGGTGCGGAGGCTACACGGCGCCCGAATGCAGCAACGCCTGCTACTGGCTCGGCTACCGATGCTATCGATGCACATCCAGCTTTTGCGAATGCTCACAATCTGGGTGCTAAGTAATTAATTTGGTATTAACCTGGTTACCTCGCAACTTTTTTTGTGCAGCTAATAATTACTTTTTAAACCTATTTGTGATAATAAATTTTAACCGAAATTGAACAATAAAAATTTATATGAAAATGAAACTGACACACGGATTATAAATATTTACTACATTTACCAAATCGTTTCAACTTTTCTTACTAATTATTATTCTCTAATTTTGAAGTAAATATTCGTGGAGCAGTATTCTTAAGACGGATATTAACCATGAGTTTGCTCCCTTTTCCTTGACTCATTAGCACTTGTCGATCTGTCCGTGGTTTCTCTTAACGGAGTGGCACCAGGATGAAAAATGAATTACAGAAATTAAAATTCGGAGATAGCATGCAATCCTGTTATGAAGCAAAATGTTGGGAAGAACATGTTGTTGTAATAACAGTATTCTGCACTAACGACGTTATCTAGGCTATTAACCCCCACTGGGAATCACTTAGCCAATTTTGACTACTCTCGAACTTTCAATGGGGGTCTCCCAAATGCATGCTCTCAGATTTTGATGGAACTTGCATCAGTCACAAATTTATTTAATATTTAATCTGTAAAATGGATTACATATTTGCCGAGGCTATAATGTTTTGCGGATAGAAACTCCAAAAGAAAATTGAAAAATTTGTTGAAAAAATTTGATTCACAAAAATCAGCTCTACAAATTGTGCACATCTTAACAAAATCAAATTTTTGTGTCCTCGAACTTCCGGTTTTGATTATTGTTAATCATCATTTAAGTTTGTAATTTATTATCACTAATTTGGTCAAAATAGTGTAGCATATATACAGAGATACGTTGCGAGATCTGCATTATTAGTTTTCCATCTTGAAATGAAATTCGCGATTTCACTATCATATTTCTTTGGGCAAATAGTTCGGTTAATCCCTAAAGGCATCGTCCTAATAAAAATCGGAAATGTTTGCGAAAAAGCATTTTCGTCATAACAGATATAACACAGACACATACGTAGGTTTATGTAATCTGTTATGGCGTCTGAAATTATTCGCGTACCAGGAAATTCGCACGCCTCAAATTATGGTAAACTAAGGATGAGATACATAGGTGCATTGTTATTCCAGAAGTCTGTAAATATCATTACTACTCGCAGCGCAAATGTTAACCTTTTAAGCAGGCAATGGGTCAATTGTTATGCTGATTAGTGTTTGATCGCTGTGATCCAGTCACCTCAGCCAACAACGTGGATTGCGTTGTTATCTTTCGTGCAAAGGATAACAACAACAGAATTAAGTACGTGGTGATCTTCATGCATCACATCAATTTATCCAGAAATGTTTACACTGTTAACACATATGTATCCGGTGGATTGGGTATAAAAAGTCTGTTTAGGATCATTTTGGCATCACAAACATTCAAATCACTAACAACCAAACAACTATTCAACTGCTTCATATTGGAAACTTTTTTCCACAAAACTTTCTAGAAAATCATGCAAACCATGAAGATCGTCATTATTATCGGAGCCATTGTCGCCATGGTAAGTCAAATCTCTTAATCAATTACCATAAAATTAATAACCGGACTTATTCAGGTTTTAATTTTTATGACAGGCATGTGCTGCACCTGAACCTCTGGTAAATGCTGGAAAGGCCGTAAGCAATTCGATCTCTTCCGCTAACCAACCCCCCAAATCATCCGCCGAGAATATTTTCCTCAAGATTGCGAATGACGGAAGTCTTGCGTGGTGTGGAGGCTACACGGCGCCCGAATGCAGTAACGCCTGCTACTGGCTGGGATACCGATGCTATCAGTGCACTTCAAGCTCGTGTCGGTGTACGGATTATGGGTGTTAGGAATTTGATGGATGTTTTAATATAGCTAAGCATTTTTTATATGGATTACTAGATTTTTCAATGAAATAAACAATTATTATAACGATACAGAGTTGATTGTTATAACTGATTAAGTAGCTTCAGCTACCGGCATTTATAAAGCTTTATCCTTTTCATCCGCTTAATAAAATAGAAAAATCGTGTTTTTAACTATTACAACAAGTAATTGCGTGTTTATTGTTACTTATAAAAAATCATTACTAAAAAATCATTAAACAGGTTAACTATGCATAAGAAGGAAGATAAATGGATCGAATACGAATTAACATATCGGAAATGTCCTTATCATTTTCAAGTAATTCATTGGCTCGGACTAGGAAATCTCGCAAACCTGGAAATATATTATTCATTTTATGATTAATCGTCGAATTACAGCAGCCTTAATTAAAATTTAGGCTGTAATTTACCATCGTTATTCCTAGGAAATCCAAATTTACCCACAGCTTCTACTTGAATGTCCACAACAAGTGGAAATACCAATTTCATAACTTCAATCATATCGTTGCCTGCTTCCTCTTTTGCTCCATTTATTTTATCCAAATTATCTAATAAATCAAATAATTATTTTAATTGTTCAGTTATGGACTCAGAATAAAATATTTACCTGGCTCATTTATTCGGCTCCACATCAATTCCAATGCATCTGTAAAATAACATTTAAATTAAATTAAGTTGAATAGCAATTTCGCTTTAAAGTGATTCCTTTAATAACGTTAAGACATATAAATTTAATTACCTTTTACTGCTTGTGGTTTCAGCTCCTTTTTGACATTTTCATAGACATTCTCCATTCTTGTCGATTATAATTCAACTTAATTTCTTGTTTACAATTTTCAACAAAGATTTTTTTAAAGAGAAAGCAAACACACTGATGATTATCCTTTTAAAATCTCACGCAAAGAGAATCTCTGGAGCAGCACAACAAAGGGGGCGATCGAGCACGCGAGTCTTATGTAAATATTCATTCATGCAGATATTGTAGATTTCGATATGAATGTGCTTCCTCTCGCACAGTGAGTTTTTTGGAAAAAAACGATCAATTATTTTAAGGTCTAAAATGGACCCATGTGGGTGGGGGAGCATAAAAATATGGTTATTGTAGTTTTTGGAAGGGGGTGTGGTGTCTGGGGGGGGGTTTAATAAAGAATTGTTTATTCCAAGAATTCTCGTAAGCATACAGTACTACTTATGTACAGTGCACAGTTCCAAGCCAAATGCATAGAAAATCTTCTTGAACATTATTCCGTATAGTCAATAGTATTCAGAAATATTTTCCCTTTCTATAAATAGTCTATGCATTATGCATGGAAACCCCAGTAAGCCCCTTGATATCAAATTTATTTGTGTGTTTGTAAATTGATACATATGTACATATTTTCTATGGTATGTATGAATTCGCCATGTACTAAAAATTAAAAAAAAGTACAGTGGCAGCAAGATAACCTTACCCCGCCGAATCTCAAGGCCATGCGCGCACAACGACAGGCTCGATCCCGCACAAATCGCCTAAAAAACAGGGTCTCGTTTTTACTCTAGTGACCTTAATATTTGACCTTTTGAGGTCAAACTTGGCACACACATTGCCAATCATATTTCCCAGGGTGGTTTTCAAGGATTTTGACCTAGGTCACTTCAGTCACCTTCCAGAAATCACCAAACTTGTTGCATAATATTTCGTTTTTACACTCTAGTGACCGTAATACTTGACCTCTTGAGGTCAAACTTGGCACACACACTCACAACCATATTCCCCAAGGTGGTTTTCAAGGATTTTGACCTAGGTCACCTACGTGACCTTCCAGAAATTACCAAACTTTTTGCATAATATCTGGTTTTTACACTCTAGTGACCGTAGTACTTGACCTCTTGAGGTCAAACTTGGCACACACATTGCCAATCATATTCCCCAGGGTGGTTCTCAAGGATTTTGACCTAGGTCACTTCAGTCACCTTCCAGAAATTACCAAACTTTTTGCATAATATTTGGTTTTTACACTCTAGTGACCTTAATATTTGACCTCTTGAAATCAAACTTGGCACACACATTGCCAATCATATTCCCCAGGGTGGTTTTCAAGGATTTTGACCTAGGTCACTTCAGTGACCTTCCAGAAATTACCAAACTTGTTACATGATATTTGGTTTTTACACTCTAGTGACCTTAATATTTGACACACACATTGCCAATCATATTCCCCAGGGTGGTTTTCAAGGATTTTGACCTAGGTCACCTACGTGACCTTCCAGAAATTACCAAACTTTTTGCATAATATTTGGTTTTTACACTCTAGTGACCGTAATAGTTGACCTTTTGAGGTCAAACTTGGCAGACACATTGCCAATCATATTCCCCAGGGTGGTTTTCAAGGTCACGTAGGTGACCTAGGTCAAAATCCTTGAGAACCACCCTGGGTAATATGGTTGTGAGTGTGTGTGCCAAGTTTGACCTCAAAAGGTCAAGTATTACGGTCACTAGAGTGTAAAAACCAAATATTATGCAACAAGTTTGGTGATTTCTGGAAGGTGACTGAAGTGACCTAGGTCAAAATCCTTGAAAACCACCCTGGGAAATATGATTGGCAATGTGTGTGCAAAGTTTGACCTCAAAAGGTCAAATATTAAGGTCACTAGAGTGTAAAAAAATAAAAACGAGACCCCGTTTTTTAGGCGATTTGTGCGGGATCGAGCCTGTCGTTGTGCGCGCATGGCCTTGAGATTCGGCGGGGTAAGGTTATCTTGCTGCCACTGTACTAGTGACTACAAAAAGTCAACTATAAATACATTTATGTATGCATGCACTTGTCACGTATCTGCCTCTGTCATGATGACATTGTCATTTGTTACAATGTTTAATATTCAGTACTATAGGTACTCAACTGGCAATATATGTAAATAAATCCATATCAGGTTTAATTAAAAAAGACCTTGATTCAAGTGCTTGTTCGTTCAAAAGCACCACACGTGCAGATGATATGCTCAATCTTCTTTAAATACTTCAGCCTCTCTACTGCACTATTTGAATTATTCTCCTCACATTTAACAAAAATGTCATACAAAATCCAACCCGTTTCAAAACCCGTCTTATTCGGAGAATCTCCGCTCTGGGATAATCGCCGACAACAATTAATTTTCACGAATTGCTTCGGCAAATCCGTCTCAATATTTGATCCACTTTCTGGAGAAACTGCATCAAAAGAAGTCAAACTAGAGAATGGAGAAATTGCTTGGATTGGGGTATCCATGCCGTATTCATCGTCCACTACGAAATTTTTAGTCTCCTTATCAACCGGAAGTATGGTCGAATTTGATTGGGACTTGGGCCAAGTGACCAAAATACTGTACACGTTGGACGAGGGAGACATAAAGGCAACTTTGGAGGATGGCAAATGCGACTCGCAGGGCAGATATTGGACAGGAATTGCGAAATTTGAGGATATGGGTTCATTACAAGTGAATGAAGGAAATGGTAAATTTTAGGACAATCTGTGTTTAATGGACTAATCTAATATTTGAGTCGTGAATAGGGAACATTTTTAGCCTCTCCGCAAAGCATGACGGGTTCCTGGACAATAAATTAGCCGCAGGGAACTACGATGTTCCAAATGGTCTGGGATGGAACAAAGAGGGGACAAAGCTCTTTTGGAATGATTTGACTCGAAGGGTGACAAACGTGTTCGATTTTGATGTCCAGTCAGGACAATTGTGTAAGTATTTAAGATCTGATTTATATATGTATGTATAGTATTGTTTTGGTTCATAGGTATCTATGAAAATGCGATTGTGTTTTTGTATTTTTTAGTAATTATTTAATTTGGGTTCGAAAATTGTGTACCCATTTAAACTTACAGTTGTCTTAATATTTTACCGATATTTTCCAATAGCAAATAGGAAGGTATTGCTGGATTATAAAAACTACCCTCAACTTGAGGGTTCTTTTCCCGACGGATTGTGCACCGATGTCAATGGAAATGTCTGGATTGCTAATTGGAAAGGAAAAAGCGTGATCAAAGTTGATGGAGAAACGGGTAATAATTATTTAGAAATTTAGTCTTGGTAGTGAGTGCGTATATTTATATTAATATGATCTAATTTGATTAAGGTATACTTGTGGACACAATTACTATTCCGACGACGAACGTAACCTCCCTCTGCTTTGGTGGACCTAACTATGATTCAATGTATGTAACCACGACGTCAATAAATTTGGACTTGACCACCGTTCAAGGGGAACCCGATGCGGGAAAATTGATTAGAATTCAAAATCCACGGGACAATTGCTTTAAAGGGGTGCAAGAGAGTTTTTTTGCTTTATGAAGGATACCAGCGATCTAATAAATATTTCAAAACAATGGTAAAGGTTAGCTAAAAGATGTGCATTTCGAAAAGTTGAATATATGTAAATTGACATGCAATATGAAATTAATTTCATGTAATAATTAATTTCCTTACAACGTAGCTATAATACATAAATATGTAGTTAGATTGATTTTAAGTACGTGGATGCACGTCATTTATGTATATAAAGTAAGTATGCAAAATACCTACAGTGTGAAAATTTTAAGTTGTTTTAAGTTACATCATTTTTTGCATCTTGCATGTTTACGTACATAGATAAAAAATAAATGAAACAATCAAATTTATTATGTATCAAAATTTTATTATTCGACATGAATTAGAATTATTGTAACAGACCAGATTAAGAAAGTAATTTGTTTAATAAAACAATAGACGGTGTAACGGCTATGTAAACAAACCAATATAATTAATTATTTATTTAGCACCCAGATTGTGAGCATTCACAAAAGCTGGAAGTGCAGCGATAGCATCGGTAGCCCAGCCAGTAGCAGGCGTTGCTGCATTCGGGCGCCGTGTAGCCGCCGCACCACGCAAGACTGTCCCCACTGACAATGTTCAGGAAGGCATTCTGGGCGGAGGATGTGGGGGGTTGGTCGGCGGATGAGATCGAGTTGCTCACGGCCTTCCCATATTGAAAATTACCCCCGTGGAGAGATTCAGGTGCTGCGTGTGCCTTCATAAATACAAATAAAGTTTAGCATCTGATCGATAGTTTGCAATTAATTTTTGTTCTGTTACCATGGCGACAACGGCTCCGAGCAAAATGATAATCTTCATGGCTTGCATGATTTTTCGGTTTGAAGTTTAAACGAGGATTGGGTGATGAACTGGACTTGTTGGCTTATTGCTGGTTGAAATGCTTATGATACTTTTGAAATTGTTTTATACACCGTCCACCGGATATTCGTAATAGCGTTTCGAAAACATTTATCGATAAATTTTTGATGCATAAACAACAACACGTGCAAACGTATGCATATAATACCGGTGTTATCAGTTTTGGTAACAAAGCAAATGTTGTGGTGTTTGCTGTAATGCTGTTATGATTTAATCAGAGGATGATCAGCATAACAATTGATGTCGACTACGTTATGATAATAAATAAATATTTTAATCCCAGAAGGACTACTGTCGAAACATCATGCAATTTGTTTAACTGAATTTTAAATTAAACTAAATTCATACTTAGGTTAATTAAAATAAAATAAAAATCAACTTAAGATAAAATAAATATTTTTGACAAGCATCGATGCAGATTTATTGCATATTCTGTTCCTACGTATGATAACCACAAAGTGTTTCCAAAAATGACGGATATGCAAAGTCACAAAATTGACATGCTAGTTTCCCATGTCATGCGAGATTTGACTTTCACCTTTCTTCGGACAATAAATTTGTTTGTTAAAATTAATATATTTTGCAGGCAGGCTTCTGTGTTAGACCAAATCGACACAAGATGTGTTGCGAAACAATACACTTTTGTGCAACGCAAATATCCACAATCAACTTCAGATAACGTTTCGATTTTAACTTGCGACTCGCAAATTGCGAGGAAGACAGGGTTATTGCGTATGAAATTCGCGTACCAGGAAATTTGCACGCCTCAAAGTATTTTATACTGAGGATGAGATAGATGCATTGTTACTCCAGATTGTACCTGTAAATATCCGTAGTCACAGCGCAAATATCAACTTTTTATGCAGGCAATGGGTTAATTCTTATGCTGATTAAAGTTTGATTTAACTGATCCAGTCACCTCAGCCAACAACACGGATTGCGCTGTTATCTTCGTGCAAATGATAACAACAACAGCATTACGTGGTGATCTTCATGCATCATATAAATTTATCCAGAAATGTTTACAACTTTGAAACACATGTATCCGGTGGACTGGGTATAAAAAGTCAGTTTTGGATCATTTTGGTATTACAAACATTCAAATCACCAACAGCCAAACAACTACTTTTCAACTACTTCATTTGGAAACTTTTTCCACCAAACTTTGTAAAAAATCATGCAGACCATGAAGGTTATCATTTTGCTCGGAGCCGTTGTTGCCATGGTAAGAGAACAAAAATTAACTAGAAACTCTCGAATTCTGAACTTTATTTGTATTTATGAAGGCCCACGCAGCACCAGAATCTCTTCACGGAGGTAATTCTCAATATGGGAAGGCTGTAAGCAACTCGATCTCATCTGCCGACCAACCCCCCACATCATCCGCCCAGAATGCCTTCCTGAACATTGTGAGTGGGGACAGTCTTGCGTGGTGCGGGGGCTACACGGCGCCCGAATGCAGCAACGCCTGCTACTGGCTCGGCTACCGATGCTATCGATGCACATCCAGCTTTTGTGAATGCTCCCAATCTGGGTGTTAAATAATTAATTTATATTAACATATGGTTATTGCACACCACATTTTTCACATTTTTATTTTGTGCAGCTAAGGAAATATGATCCTAAATATGAAATAAAAATATACAATAGGGAGTTTGCATGAATGTTTCCGTGGACCCTGAACGTGGCGTAGAACCGTAGATTTTCATACTACGTCGACGTTGCGTTGTGACAGTTTGCAAATTCACGTCCGTGCGTAAACCGTAACGTAAAAACGCATCTTTTTTGTACGTTGCACGGTTACGGAATTATAGTTTGCAATTCCACAATTAAATAAATACGTAATTATGTTTTCTTCTCATTTTTACTCCTGGTTGTGAATTATTTTTGAATTATCAACAAAAATTTTTGTTGATGCAAATTTTAAAATTAAATATGTATCACCTTACTCGAAAGAACTTGAGAGCGTTATTTCTTCGAGGAGTTATTTCATTCCCAGATTATGTGAGATTTACGAAATTGAGAAACTACCACGTCCGACGAAGTTTCAAAACCCTTCCCAGCATTAACTTAGATAGTGGCGGAGATAAGCGACCTGGACTGTGAAATAAACTTCAGATTCAAGTGCCACGAGATCCGACGCCTCCTGGTAGCATTACGCATACCAAAAATATGTATTTTACCATGTGGTCATAAATTCGCCGGTATTACTCTCGAAGTTGAACATTAATCTTGGCTTCATATTTTATATAATATTTCTAATTTTCAAGGGCTTGAAGGACTATTGATACTGTTGAGAAGATTATGCTACCCTAATAGATTGCACGATTTAGAAATTACTTTCAACAGGGACTACAGCCTTCTCTCAAGGATATCAAACTGGATGACTGAATATATACACGGGCAATTTTCACATCTTCTGAGGTCACTGAATAGTCACGAATGGCTAACTCCGATGAAGCTGCAGGAATTTGCTGATGTAATTATGAGTATTTCTCCCACACATTTTGATGTAATTTTATAATTCTATTTTTTCACTTTTCAGACACTTGTCAATTCTGGGTGTGCCTATCCAAATGTAGTAGGTTTTATTGATGGTACCGCACGCCCAATTTGCCGGCCAAGTATCAATCAAAGACAAGTTTACAGTGGTTATTACAAAACACACACACTGAAGTACCAATCAATAATGCTGCCAAATGGAATCATTGGAAGGTTGGATGGGCCCTTTAACGGACGAAGGCATGACTCCGCTATTCTCGGACTTAGTGGTCTAATTGAAGAATTAGAACGCAAATTTGTACAGAACGACGGTTCCTGGTACACTCTGTACGGAGACCCCGGGTATGCAAATCAAAAATTTATAAAAATTGGATACAAGAACAATTCCCGAAATCCATTGACGATTCAGCAAAAAAATTTCAATCGAGACATGTCAGCACTGAGAGTTCACGTTGAGTATGGTTTTGGCAAAGTTATTCAGTTGTTCGTCTTCTTGGACTATAAGAAAAACCAGAAACTTCTACTTCAATGTCTGAGGAAGCAGTACGATGTTGCCGTAATTCTATCAAACTGTCATACGTGTTTAAGAGGAAGTCAAGTAACGAAGTACTTTGGATGTGCACCACCGGAACTAGAGGAATATCTTCACTAAAATTGTTTTTTTATTTTGGAACTAAAGTGTACAAGAATTGGTTAACTATGAATATACACAATTGTGTACTTTAAATTTAATTTTAGTGTTTAACAATTTAAATCGTAACACGATTTTGTAGCAAAATAAATATTTCAGAATTAAAATTAAAATATGAAAAATAGCTTAGTTTTTGTTGTTTTGTAATGCGTCCGTGAGTACTTTCAACGTTTGCTGAAAAGTTTCAAACATTAGTTGGCGTTGTTCAGTTTCCTGCTGCAATCTCTTTTCACGTATAAGTTCCAACTCTAATCGCTTCGTATCGTTTGCAATTTCCGCCCGCTTGGTCTCCTCTTCAAGACGAAATCGCTTCTGTTCAATTTCCAAGTCATGGTTCACTTTCTTCGTCAGCAAGTCCTCCTCGTACCTTAATTTGGACCTCTTTGCCCGATTTTTATTTGGGGGCGGCGGAACGTCTTCATCTGAGATTAAGAGGAAGATAAGAATTAAAGATGGATAAGGGAGGTAAGTATGAAAAATGTGAATCTAAATATTTAACTGTGCTATGTGCTTACAATTTCGCTTGAGCACTTCATCTCGATCTATATCTGCCAAGATTTTTTCGGCCTTTCTATCGCTTTTGCTCGTTGGTACAGGGTCACCAGAATCAGCGCCATGAAAAATATTTACTGGAGCGGCCTCCTCCTCTATGAGCTTAACAATTTCTTCCATGCATTTTCCTATTTCGGACTGCTCCTCCTCAGTCCCAGTTCTAAATTTATCGAATTACTGCATGAAAAATAGCCATATCATTGTAGAGTAACAGGAAATGATCTTACTTGTAAATTAACTGTTCCTGTTTGTATTTGTTCGAAAGGTTTTCAACTCTTTCGCGAGCAGTCCGAGCTGAAACTTGATATCCAAACACTTGCAGTAAACTTGCAGAAACATCGTTCCACTTTTGTCTGCCTAGCTGGAAGGGATTTACATTTATTGCGGTAGTAAGTAAGTTTCTATCACTTTCCAGAGTGAATCGAAATTTCGCCGGCACTTTTTTCGGTTCCAAAACCTGCAATCAGGACCCATTTTAGTAAATTGCGTAAGATTAAATATACAAGTGAAATGCAGTAATGATGTGTTTACTAAATTTACCTTCGCTGGTGGTTTTTTTCCAACCATTTCCGGTTTGTTTCGTAGAAATGCTCGAGTCCATAGAACGTCCGTGAAAAATGGTTTTTCACGTTGATTTTTATACGTAGTGACAGAGAAAACACCGTAAATACGTGAAAAATTACGGATGTCTCACTACGGGTCACGTTGAGTGTTTTTATGCAAACTGTCGCCCTCCGCAACGTGATGACCTGAAAAATTTCCGTGAAAAGCTACGGAATCACGTTGCTACGTCACGGAAATTGTTTACGGAAGTATACATGCAAACTCCCTAATATACATTTATAAATGCATAGTTTTATTTTATCCGTACTCGTGTGTCTAGGAAAGATGTGAATAATCAATTTTTTCCGATAGATAAATGTTTGCGGTTTTTCTTTAGTTTAGAATTTAGGACTTTAGATTGTCACTTAAATTAATTACTTAAGAACTATCCATAGCTTGGAATTGGACAATAACGACCATGTATGTCGCTATAGCTGCCAGAATCTATGTAGGGGAAAAACGGAAAGTACACAAGCTAAATCTTTGACATAGTTATCCATGTGTAATTAAAGTAATTTGTTTACTTACTGATATTAGTAACCTCAGGTCCAGCGTTAACAGAGTGTTATCAAGTTTAATAGGATCCAAGGCAGGTAATCTTTCTACGTTTTCCATCTTTCGAAATATTTAAGCATTTAGAAACATTTTCATACAAAAAAAGTTGTAATCTATTGAGTTTAATGCAAGTCTTACCACCAGTCCTGCTCCACCCACTGCCCGAGACTTTTTCGAAATTTCAAAACTTTCAAATTTCACACGTTTGCAAAACTGCCTACTTCCCCGTTCCACCCCACTCGCGCAGCTCGTCAACCAATATAAACTTGCCACCCCGATCACCATTTGCGTTACGGACAAGCCAAACAAAACATATTCTTTAATCCTAATCAAGCTGTACGAGGAGTATGCGACATACAGCAAGTAAATGAATAAATACATGATATTAATATTCAAATATTTTGCAAACAAGTCAAGAAATTCGGTAACATTGCGATCAAGCGCGATGTAAACTTCGACCAATTCCTGTACCCTTAAAGCCTTATCATTCCTCAAATTCGATAAACTTTGCAGTAACAAAGTTACAATTAATTCATAACTCGCTACGAAATAGATCAACCCATGCAAAGCGAAACAGCTAAGGACTGAATTCAACGAAAAAATCCAGACATTCCAAAATTTCAGGATGTCTCCGTCGTCAAACTTGGATAAGACACCCTGTTTCATATAAAGTATGGACTGGAGAATGGAATTTATCCAATGTAGGGTGCCATGTAAGACAAATTTCGTCCAACAATTACGACTCCACTTGATCTGGATCGACCTATCAAAATTGTCCGTTTGGAATTTCTCTACCAAGAGGCAGAAAGATTGCCAAAACGTGGCAAATTTTTTGCGACTCAAAAATAAAATCAGCCTAGACAATATGGGACAAAAGATGGAAGCAACCCCGTAAAAAACGTTGATCATGAGGAACGTGTTACGGCCTTGCATGACAAATTCTGGGATTTCGTCACGCTCTTGGGTGTAAGTGAGTGATACAAGGAATAAGGGAAAAAGGGTTATGCAGATTAATGTGATAAGCCATATGGCGGGAAGTGATAAGTAGAACGGGGTGGGGAGTGGGGAGATAGAATTTGAAGAGGATTTTATCGATGTGGGGAAGAAGCCGGAGAGTTGTAGGATTCTGAAGGGCAGATTGGCACAGAAGGTGATGAGGGATTTTTGAGGGTGCGATGGGGATTTGACAGGATTATTTTGAAGGTGCAAGTTTTTCTGCATTTTAGAAATGGTTTTATGTGGCAAGTGATCGATTAGTGGGTAGATTCTATTATGAGGTGGTGTTTTCGCAATTGAGTTTTTCAGATGATAATTCACTATTTGTCTTTGGGGTTGAGGAAAAATGGTTCATTAGCGAAATAACTTATTACTTATAGTGTACATACTTACATAAATGCATTTCTATTTATAAGTATTTTGCTACGTTTGTTTATCCTGCATGTGGATAAGTAATTAGTAGTACATGAATCTATTTATTTGTTTGTACAGATGCCCAGTTTATGAGGAGCAGGAATAACTATAATAAGAGATATACATAAGTAATTTTAGCAACCAGGATTTTAGAAAATTCAGCATGTAATTTTGAATTTAAGTATCTTGTTTTTGAAATGAATGTTGTTCGTCAGCAGTCCGGATAAGATGACTCTCCATTAAATATTTATCTATGTAGTTACAACCTAAATTGTATATGTACGCATAAATATAGGTATGTATATGCATACATATGTACGTGCATGCATATGCTATTATAAAATTTGCATGATAATAGACCTGCACAATTTTGGAAGGTCGTTTTTCATAATTTCGTAAGTCAACAAATACAAAAATTCAAATTGTGTTGCCTCGTGCAAGCAATTTTTCATAACTTGTGGCAGGTACATACATACATTCCCAAATTTTTAGCAGGCATATTGCATACATACATAAATATGTATATATGTAGGTATCTGAAAGGGCATATCCTGTGCTATTAACTTATGCTAGGAAATTCCTCAAATTACAGCACTTTAGAATTTTAGACCGAAAAGTGGTAGATGCATGTATGAAACATGGTTTACTAAATGACAGCAACCTATCAATTTCCAGAGGTAGATTATCACTAATTTCTTTTAAAAAAATTGTTCACAAGCTAATCATTTTTTATGGCTTGAATTTGACCTTTACTATGACGGCAAACCATTTTTATTTGTATTAGCGTTTTAATATTCAACCAACTTGTCAAACGTTTTTAATCTCCCAAAACATTTCCAATAAGAATCCATTTCCTAAAATGTATACAGAAAATCTTCCAAAAATTTTGCATTCATCTCTTCTAGTCGCATCATCCATTGGTGCATCGGGCATTAAATTCAGCAAGAAAACCAAAAATTTTTACATTTCCCCTATTTCCCGTTCAATGCTGCGTGGATTCCCTTTAATTTCCGTTGCGATGAACATATTTGCGGTTGTAAGAACACTCGAACTGTTCTATTTTAAAGGAGGCCACGAGAATCCGTATTTTTATATGTGCTACATTGGTTCATTCGCCTTGGTCATGGTGAATAGTGCCGCAATATTCGCCAATTGGAGCCAGAATAAAATTTGCCGGTTAATGAATCACCTGTATGGCTTTGGATTGCAATTTCGAAGTAAGTAAGATTTCTATATATATCGACGTCACGAATCTTTTTCACACTGAATGTTCACGTTATGGGGACAATTTTGCAATTAATCACGGGCGAGCTTAAAATATAAAGTCCAGACATGCACTAAAAGGGGAAAGTGAATGGGAAACACATTCAAATTAAGTGTGCAGTGACCGCCAATGCCATGGGGACATCAATATTGCAGAATAGGGAAGAGAGGGGTTTATATAACAGGGGCCGACGATAGGGACATCGAATAACCTTGTGGACATTGTCCCCTTATCCCCACGCTTCCCCGGCTACTGGACGTGTCCAGTAGCTACGGTGTCGTTCCGACCAATAAGGAGGAATTTCGCATCAAATTCAAATGTTTTTTGAAACTGCTAGCTTAAAAATGTTAATTTATGCTATTTTTATTTTTCTTTACAGAAAAATGGATGACAAAGTCATACAACCCAAACAAACTGTCCTGCATTCCTGGCAGGATTTTGGATATCTTCCTACTTTCCTTGTGCGTCATGTCGGTTTTTCCCTTATTCTGTGTTCCGATCTATCTCAACAATATGAATCTTCCAATTTTACTCCCTTCGATCCTCCCTCAAGCAGAGGAACACGAACTTTGGGACTTTGCCCTAAAACAAAATTATTTAGTAAATTTTGTCTTCGGCTCGGTCATAATTGTTGGATCGCTGTGGGTTGGACAGCTTTTCTTGGCCCTTAGCATATTTTGTTTTCTGTATACACGTAAGTCCGACAGAAGGAAATGGATTGTAGAAAATTTGAATTTGGCGGAAATTTGTTTTTACCCAGTTAATTTTTCGCACAGTTTCGGTGCTATCTTTGATCAATGACGAGTTTCGGGTCCCACTTATTGCAACTTCGAAACCCTCAAGTAACACAATCAGCTTACTTCGGACTGTTCGACACCTCCCGAAGGAGTACAACTGCGTCCAACTGCTGCATAAAGATGCAAATGGAATTATCAGATATATGATTCCCATTTTACAGAGCGAATTTCTCCAATTTATTCTATCATGTAATGTAATTCTGATAAGAAATTGGACTTCGATGGACATCTATGCCAAGGTAATGTCAAACATATTTATGCAGCGCAAAGGTTTGAATGGGTTTAATCTTAAGTACTCTGAAAAAGTTACTGGCTTCTGAATTAAAGTTGGACAATGCCTAGAGCAAGAAAAAAAATGGCCGACATTTTAGGCAACAGTTGGAATTAATTTAAATTTCGAGCAAATAGGGCATGCCATACATAAATTTCGTAATTATCGTAGTTACAAGATATATGCAAAGTGGGAAACTCCATTAAAATATTTTGAAGTTCGGCTTTGATATTAATTGTTGGTTGTAATTTCCGAATTTGGTTTCCTTTTAAGCATTTCACTTTATTTATTTAATTGTTTCTTGGTATAGGCGCAACTGTTGACTTGGTCCTTCACATTCCAGTTCGGGTGGACCATGGGGCTCGAAGTTGTGGGGCGGTATGCTAAAATGTCAAAAACTACGCTAATGTCGTGGAAGAATTTGCACTCTGTTTCAAAGCATGAGAAAAAATGTTTCACGAAATACGCAAAAACTTGTCAACCACTAGCGTTTGGGGCTGGCGGAGTCTTTACGGTAAATAGACGGACGGTACTCAAGTTTATAAGGTCCACGGTTAAAGGGACGTTTAAAGCTTTGCTCGCGATTGGTCGGAGATGAATCTTCTCAAGGATATTATCACAATCCAATGGGTTTTATTGAGAAGAGATAAGTCAGGTTGGGTGGTTTTTCGAAATATAATTACTGGTTTATCAAATTACATGTGAGCATAAAATTTTAATCCGTTGTAGGTTTCGGAAAGAAGATAGGACATAAATACATAAGTTGATAAACCTGTTTAGCAAATTATTTTTGAATACACACACAAACATAAATTTACAAACTTCTTGTTTGTAATTACCTATGTACAGACTAGATTGTAAATAGATCTGATGTTTTATAATAATAAAAAACATATTTTGGGGTATATATACTAATTCATAAGTGAACACATAAGTATATATTTACATATATGCATATGTACATAGCATAGGGCGTACAACCAAATGCATACATAAATATGCAATTTTGGGTGTATATATTAAATAATTAGGTATGATCCCAAAATTAGTCACCACTTCCCAGTGACAAATTCAATGTAAATATGACAATCAATTTGTTATTCCGATTAGCTTCAAATCAAGCATTCACAACAAATTTACATGCACACATTGCCCAACGAAAATGCAATCAGTTGGTACCCCTAGCACCTAACACAACAATTGACAATTGATCAGACGCTGGACATATGGTTTTGAGTGGGCGACGGAAAATTACTTTATTTTATCAGATTACAAAGAAAATTCCGTGGAAGTGTGTAATTGCTTGTTGGTCAAAAACAGCGTAAATGAGATAAGCACATTAAAGCAGATACCTCATTTACAGAGATTAAGCACCTCAACAGACTTCTTTTTCCATTGTTCCACATTCCACAAAGGTGACAACATACGCATTGATTTGATACATACATTGTTCTCTCGTTGGGTTTACAATTACACTTGTCAGTCCATTCCTTGAGCTACTCTTGTTTAGTAATCTTATTAAAACGCTGTACATAAAGCAAAATGCCAGAAAATTTGCAATACATGAAACACGCTTCTGGCAAGTTGAAGCTGATCTCAATTTTGCTCACACTTCCGACCCTGGTTCTTGCCTACTGCAGTCATTTTTTGTCAAACTATACCAGCAATAGAGACAAGTATCGAGAGGATTTTACCAATAATGAAGTCCGGTCTTTGTGGAGAGAATGGGTATTTCTTGCCGTCACTGGAATTACTATGGTGGCATCGACAGCCAATTTTATTGGGCATCTTTATAGCCAGAAATTGTACTTGAATCGGAAGACGGCTTACGTTGTAAGAATCAATTAAGCAAAAAATTGTCAGGTAAAAAAACAGTAGAATTTTTTATTTATTTTCATGCAGGACTTCTTCTATCAATATGCGGCCGGATTATGCATGCCAGTCTCGGGAGTTTTGTACGTAATTTCTGCCGTGAAGCTGTACGAAATTAATTGCACGCGTGAGAATGATTGTCAGCAGTTTGAAGTTAAATTGGGTGCAGGGGTAGGTTTTCGTTTGGTTGGAAAATAATATTAACATTTTTTATGTAGATATTTATGACTATGAAATTATTTTAGGGAATGGCACTCATCAGCGGATTTATCTTTGCGACCTTGGGCTCGGTTGTGCTAACGAATCGCGAAGAGGTTCAAAGAGGCATCCAGTAAAAACAAGAGTGGGATTCCGAACAAATGTTGAAGACAACATGAAAACCTCACAAAATAAATTTTTATTATGAAGATTACAAATGCTAATGTAAACTTACATTTTCCAAACTTATTCATCTTTGATATACAATTTATACTAATAATAACTGCTAAGTTTGAGTTTTATATTTCCATGAATGGCTAATATATAGATTAACAATGAAAAATAACTGGGATTTTGTTTTCTTGAATGAAGGCTTCAACCCATTTCCATGTAGCTTCTTTGAACTTCAAACGTTAAAATGACATAAATTAATTTATGCTGCATGCTTAAATAAAACCGAATTAAGCTCTTAATTATTGTCAGACTTACTTGAATCCCCCGAATAATTGTATTTTCGAATGAATTCATTTGCAAAAGGATTTGCTTCATTTGTGCGACTCCATCAACTAACATGTCTAAATCATCATCGACTCCATTTTCAATTATTTCCAAAGTTTTGAGACCGCCTGTGAAAAATGTATCGAAAAATAGTAGCTTTAATGTGTTGAGATGAAATTTATTGATCATAAATGCATATCAATGTATGCACATACTTATCAACAATTTCTCGCAATTTGAAAAACACTGAATAAAATTAGACAATTGTATATCTTCAATTGAAACATCCAGTGTCAAAGATTTCAGTCCGAGTGAGTTACACGATCTTAATACTGTTCCGACGTTGGTAAACGGCACATTTTCATCAATTCCGAACTGTACAATTGTTAAGTTTTCCAAATTTGGGAATGGTGTCTTTAATCGTATAATTAATTCGGGATCGCGGACACATGAAAGATGCAGAACTTTCACCCCACTAAAGTAGCCCTTTTTCTGTATAATATTTCGTAGTAAATCGTCCAACTCACAGTGATGTAATTTTGAAATTTCTAAAGTCTCCAAAGCTGGGAGCCTCGCTGCGCAAATATCTTGCAAATTAGCCCCACAACTAAAAGCGTCCAACCTTTCATTTCTAAATTCTTTAAGATTCTTCATTTTCGGGATTTTGAAAGCAATTCTGCCAGCTTCTGTCTTTATGGGATCATCATCCATGTCATCGTCACTGGAATCGTTGTAGAGATCATCATCAAACATGTCATTTTGAACGCATAAAACTTGAAGGCGATCTTTTACTTGATCCAGCATTTTGTTTAATCCGTGGGGACCATTACAACAGGGGATTTCACTCGCTCTCATTTTACGTAAGTCGACCTTAATCCGTTTTACATTTAAATTCTGGCTGAGATCCGGATACTTTTTGCCATGATAGCAAAAGTATTTCAAGTTTGGGGTCGAATAGAGGATGCATTGTGTCATCTGGAGGAAACGAGCTTGTCCAGTCATGTCCAGTATTTTAACTGAGGTCAGTTTTGGCCAAGAGATGGCAAATTGTGACGCGGAATAAATAATTTTATCGTCGAAATTATTCATTTCATCCGTTTGCAAGCAGATTTCCAGTCTTTTCAAATTTGGGCAACGGTTTTCTACAGTTTCGTAAAGCGTTGAGATCAAGTCTTCATTGGCGAATGTTATTGTCAAGTCTTCCACGTATTGACTGAACTTATCGCAAATATGGAGCAGTCTGGATGAGGCGCCAGCAATTCGTAAAAGAGGTGGGTGTTTATCTTGATTTTTGCATCCGTATTCTATTATCCGACGTGCTAATTTCGGTTCCATTTTTAAACAGAATAATTGAAATGGGGTTCCACTGCAACAATCGACTTTCCCTGATGAATCTGAATGCCACGGGTACGGTCGTTTGTAAAGCCCAAGGCGCAAAATTGGTTGGGGAAGGGAGACTGCGATTTCATTCCATAAATGGCAAACAAGTCGTAGGTTTCTTAAAGAACCCGATCCATTTTTAAATATTTGCTGGAGTATCTTTCAAAAAATTGTGGAATGAGTTAAGTAACTTTGGATGTGCATTTACAGTAAAAAAATATATTCAATTCAAAATGTGTAGAAAACTTACGACTGGATTCTGTAGAGCTTGTCGCATTGGATAATCTTCGTCTTCGTATTCCATATTTTTCTGTGCAATTTTGAAAACCTGAAACAACACAAGGTTTTTGTTTTTTATACTGTGCAGCAGTAAAATGCCAAGTGGATAGATTGCGATACCGAGTTAGACAAATAGTTAATACAATTAGTAATTTGGACAAGTATTTACATATAAGTAGAGAGGGTCAATCAGCTGTGGTACGAATTGTGGACGATGGAGAGTTAATAATACTACCAACAAATTCTAAACCACAATGACAGACTGTCATTGACAAGTAAAAATGATGTGAAGCCAAGAGGCAAGAGACAAAGGTTTTGGTTATATCAGAGATGAGTCGGATCCTGCTTTGAGTCGGTGGACCCAACCCGACCCTGGGGGGGTTAGGCATGGGAAATTTCCCAGTCGGGTGAGTGGAGTCCGGGGTCAAGTTAGGTTAGGTTAGGCCGAGTTTCAAAACGCACAAATGCTTTCAGAAACAGAGTTGAATCTTGTAAATTTACAAGATTCACCTCTGGTTATAATTTGTATTTCACTGATCCTGAGAAAATTACTATCGGTTCGAGTGTCCACTGATGCGGGTGATTGTGAAGTGGGGATAAAATTGCATTCTCCAGCTTTTTGCATGCTCCAGCTTTTTGCATGCTGCTAAAATATATCTAATCAGGCCCGTAGCGACGGTGGAGAAACGTGGAGAGACACTCTCCAGGTCGTACGCCCCGAGGGGCCGTACCGCCGGGTTCCACAATAGAATGTACAGGATAAATCGGGGTTTCAAAGTTTTTTGGGGGAAAATTAGGCCGTACCACGGCCAAACTCTCCAGGCCGGACGAAACGTCGCTACGGGCCTGTATCTAATTATTGTTGTGTATTTATCATATTGAATGTAATATCCATACCCCGAATATTTATTTATTTATGACTTTTTCATTTCGATCACGTCGACCCCCAAACTTTGTAGCGTTGTTTATCAACACTTGTGGTTATCAAAAATTACAAAATGTTTTCAATTTTAAAAACTATTTTGGACTTTTCGCAAACATAAATATTTTTGACAATACTTCGCCATATTTTTAAAAAATACATTTTTTTCGTGATATTTGAATGTTTCAGTATTTTTTCGGGTTTTTAATGTGTTTGTTTGCATTTTTGGATTTTTGTACTTGACGCTTGTCCTTAATTTCTTAGTTTCACGATATTATATTACACTAATGTGTGCATTAAAGAAAGACATGAAATACAACATATAACACCGGTTGAAGCTGAGCGCATTTTTAGCATGCGCAAATTTTTACTCTCAGGAGGAGAGACCCTCTCAGATATCTGTATTGATGCCGTTTGCTTATTTTGGAGTACTACACGAGTCTACTAAAATCCAGAATTGGTTTGATGCCATGTCCACATTTGCGCCCGCCACACCCACTCAAAGGCGCCAAAAGCAGGAAAAAAAACAGTTTTCATGTGCTTTAAATGTCACAAAAAATCCAATATTGCTCGGATTTTTTTAATTTGCATTTTTTGTGATCCCAGATACTTGTTTGATCGTATCCAGTAGATATCTCAACTTTTTTGAAAATTTGAACTTTCTAGAATAATTCATGAGAATAATTTAGAAAATTATAAAAAAAACTCGAGATATCTACTGGATATGATCACACAAGTATCTAGAATCACAAAAATGTGAATTGGATTTTTGGTGACAGTTAAAAAACATAAAAACAAGCTTTTTTCGTGTTTTTACACCTTTGAGTGGGTGTGGCGCGCGAAAATGGGGCCATGGAATCAACCACTTCTGGGCTTTAGTAGACTCATATAGTACTCCAACATATGCAAAGGGCATCATGATCTAAGAATGACATGCAGAGGGTCTCTCCTCCCCAGAGCCATGGATTAACCCCAGCAAGTCTTATTTCTCACTTTGAGCTTCTGAATGATGATTTTAATCATTAAAGTCTAATTATCTCTGCCTAATTTATGTATGGGGTGATAAATTATAGTTGAAACTCGTCTTTTGAGTTTTTTGAGGTTGGAATAAAAATATTTTTTTATAAATAATTCGACGTTTTTTTTCAAAAATATAAAATAAATATTTCGGGCTTTATAAAAAAATATTTACCCGGGGTATGGTAATATGTCATCGTTATTTATCATCATGTAATCATCATGTGATTGATCTCACCTCGCTCGTAGCGATGGTGAGTTTATGTTGGATGGTAATTGGACTCGAAATATGTAAGGGCTCAGCTCTGATAATGAAGTGAGGTTTTGACATAGAGTTAAATAAATAGTAATATAAGCATGGGTATTGAACAGTAGTTGCGGAAGCGTCAGGACAGACGACCATGTCATGTCCCCTCGGTTATTCGTTCTGAAAAACAAATAACCATTAAACAAACAACCGATGAGAATCAATAATTTGAAGAAAACTTATTTTTTCAAGAGAAAAGAAACTTGAAATGTGCATATTAAGACATGCATATTTATCTGAGCTTTTGTGATGAAATGATGTATTTATTTATCAGTATTTAGAAAGAGTGAAAACGTTTTCATCTTCTTTCATGGATAAGTCCTCATGAGATAAGATGACTCATAATTACATAGTTTAACTAATATAACAGAAACAGTAGTACGATGTTGTGCCAGTAATTATATAAATATGTATGCACTTTTATAATCTTTGATATGCATACTCAAAGATGTATACATCACACGTATGAAAGGTCCGCGTAGTAAATAAAGAATCCATGTGCACTATGTATATAAGTACATACATTTCACATAAATCAAATGGCCACGTAGTTTTCACCACTACAAATGTCTAGATAAATACCTAAATACATTACGATAAGTTCACATCATTTCCAGCGGACGAAGTTCAGCCACGTATATAAATATATGCAAACTGGAGAATGTTTTTATACCAATACAAATAATTTACTCCAGTTTAAGACTGGTTCCTGATTCTGCAGCACTTTGTGAAATAATTCGCTCTTCTTCATCTCTGTAATTGGATACGTAGAGTATTCTTTGTATTGTGTGTATATTGGATACAAAAGCAAACACAAGGGTATAAATTGGTATGTACGAAACACTATTCAATGAATTAATGAACATTCCTTGTATGCGTTTCATTTTTTAGCAGTATTGTTTTGAACATTCCGCCACGAAATGGAGTCAACCGCAAGAAAACGTGTGAACCAGCAAATTCCCACGCATTCAAAAGATGAAAAACTTTCAACCGACATCCCATTTGGCGCTGGCGTGGATACCAGTTCAACAACTCCGAATAGTACTGAAACTTCGGAACCGAATCTGCAACCAACTTCTCCCTCAGATTCCCCTGCCCAGGAGGACAACTTACCTGTCGACATCATTACAGCAAATTACAAAGGAGTCTCCAAAGAGCGTATCAATTTCGCGGTGGCCGTCCTTGAAGGGCAGGACGACCTCGCCCGTGGTCTCTATGGCCAAATATACGGTCGCTTTATGAGAGGCTCGTACGATTGGCTGGTCATCATCTGCATGTTTTTTGGCTCTGTGATAGTTGACCGTGTCGCCATGTCGACAAATCCAAACGCATCTAATGACTGGAACAAAGTCTTTATGGGGATCACGGGATCCATCATCATCCTCGTGTCGCATGTGGATTCCTGGTGTAAAGGTTCATATCTTGGCGCCGACGCGGCGATCGGAGCAGTGTTGGGAATTCATAGCTTGATCGCCTCTATCGATACGGGGATGAGGGGAGGACCTTTAAATATCAATTTGCCTCCTTGGATGTTTCATCTGTTCATTTTTTGCTTGGTCTTTTTAGGCAAAGAATTTGTAAGTTGGCCAACGGCAATTATGGTTTTGGTCAATTTTGCTGTGTATTGTTTTATTTTGGAGCAATATTATCCTGTAATTTTTATGGTTCTGCTACTGATTTTCATTAGGGTAAGTTTTAAAAATGTGGATGGTTTTATGAGACGGCATAAGAAGGTTTGGGCATTTATGTTTTATATCTTGTTGGGTGGCGTGTTTCTGTATATATTTCTTGAATCCGGAAAATGGCAAGAAGAAATGAGACGGAAGGAGTTATGTAGTAAATTGCCATTGTTTATGAAATATGTTGCTCCTTTTTGCAAGGAGTATCAAGTTGTAAAATAAATAAACTTGTTTGGATAGGAACTTATCTGTGATAGCATAATTACCCATTACTCATAGACTGGAAGTATGAATATGAGTTCCATTTTTTGGGTTTTTGGTGAAAGATATAATTTTTATGGTTGATTAAAATCGATTGTCATGGCCACTTACTGAAGAACTAAATATGAGCGTAATAAAAGTCTGATGAATGTGTAAATTTGTCTTTTACTTCTTGCTTTCTATGCATACTAATTGTAAGTATTCATTACATAGGAGATACAGGCGGACCAACGGTAGCACATTTACACACTTCCGCGGTCACTAAGGGTAATTGCTGACTTCCCTCTAATCCAATCCGAACAAGTCCCACGGCTTCATACCTACATATATGCGTATCGATCGCTTAAAGAAGCATAAATACCAATACATATTATATTACCAAATGTATAGTTACATAAGCTAATAAGTTTGTAATCTCCTAACCGAATCCTACCAAAACTCATATCACCCACACATAAATACTTACCTACACATATTATTTGGACGAATAATGAACGTGCTTTATAAATATGTACGTATAGTGAGCATGCAACAGCACAAATGTTAAAAAGGACCTAACTTTAATATGCTCTTAAACGTGTGTGCACCACAAATATTATCTTATCAAAAAGTAAACCAATGTCAGGGAAGAATTGCAATTGTACCACCACTCTCCAAAAATTGCAGTGGACAAAACGGCTCACAACAGGAGAAGAAACGAGTCGGAATTACATCACTCTACATAAATATTTTGCCTAATTTTGCAGAAAAATGGCTGCAGGTATTTTACATATTTATCCCTATTTATCCCTATTTATTTATGCAAATGAACATTCACCCATTGTGTAATTCTTCCCAGAAATCTCAGATTTTGGCATCAACGTTAAACAACGTGTCCAGCACATCGAAGAGAAGGAATCCCATAAAGAGTCCCCTGTGAAGAGTAATGACGACTTGTTCAACACAGTCATTTCAACCCTTGACGTCAAAAAAATCTTCCCCGATGCCAAACCCGAACATGTACATCTGGCCGTCGCTGTCCTTCAAGATGACGAGGACAAGGTGAAAGAGCTCCTGGACAAAAGATACACCAAAGTCCTCACCGGGGAATACGACTGGGCGGCGATGGTATTAATGCTTATCCTCGCCTTTGCCTCCGATCTGGCCGCTTCGTACAAAAATGTTAAGCCCGGCGAGACCTCGGCGTCAGGGGAGTTCGACGCGGTCTACCTTGGCATCGCCTCCTCCATAATTATCCTCGTGTCACACGCAGATAATTACTTTAAGCACTACAAGCTTGCGATTGACGCCATGATTGGGGTTGCCTTTGGACTGCACAGACTATTAATTTCGATCCAGGAAGGACGGCAAGGTTCCACACATATCACTCTGTACGACTGGATGTTTTCAGTTTACGTTGTGTCCATCTTTTTCGTGGATAAGAAATACGTCGGACACACTGCGGCAGCAATGGTTTGTTTAAATTTGGTATTCAATTGTTTAATATTGAAGATTTTTTACCCTATCCCACTTATTGGAATTGTGTGGGCTTTAAGGAGAGGAAATTTTGAATGTGTAGACAAGTATTTAAAAAACAATGAGAATGAGATGCTAATAAAAGGGGCGGTAGGCGTGTTTATGACCGTGCTGTTTGGATATATGCTGCTCAATTCAGTAAAGTGGGACGTGTGGTTTGGTGTGGAAAGTAAGAAATGAGTCGGATGTGAACTTCACATCGTGAAGTTTATATATATTTAAGTAGAATTATTTTTTTGTGAATAAAACAATGTTTTAAACGTGGTGTGGAGAAACGTGTTGATTTATTATGCTTATCAGGTGAGCTGGATTGCACGTATTGTAAATATGAAACGGTCGCATATGTATGTGGGTTCAACAGTTCTCAGAATCCGTATACCAAAAAACAAATGCATTTATGCACAGTGTAGAAAAATTCAGTTCATAAACCTTGACGTTTTCACTCTTTTCTTTGTCATTGCAAAAATGTTTGTAGAATTTTATCAGATTTTGATAATTTTGCTAAGTATTTGATAGCATATTACATCTTCTTAATTCAGCAAAATGTACACTTTGGTACACATTCGGGGGTTAACTTAAATTTCTGAAATTTAGAATTTATATTTTTAAATTTATATTTCTTAATTTATAATACCCTTAGTACAAATTTTCTAAAATTGTATACATATATAAACAATTTGGGAATTAACAGTTCCGAATTGTCTACATTTCATCCGTAATAAGGGTATAGATGAGGCTGAGGATTAATTAGCGAATAATCCAATAAGAGTTAAAATTCTTATGTTCAGTTAGGCTGACCCTAAAAATGCAGTCTCTCACGTTTCCATCAATTACATCCAAAATTCTGCAACTAATTTTTGAACTGATGATACAAGGATGCAAAAAGATTCACGGGGTATGAAGTGAATTTGCATGGACTGTACATCATTATCTAGCATCTGCATAGTTATGTATTTGATGCCTCATCGCCACATACATACATAACATGACCGGTTTATTTACATGCACGTTTAACTTTATCATGGTCCTCATATATGTACTGGTACTCGTGATACTATAGAATATTTGATCTTATCCTGAGTTAACAACATCCCCCATTCGTTCCAATGTTCATAACCGACAAGCGATTCATCTTGCATCGTGTCTTTGTGGGAAATATTTATAATGAAATTATTTTCAGTCTTTGTTGTATCGTTTAATTTACTTAATTTTGCGATATCAGACTCTGTAATTAAGCTGAACGATAAAGATGGGAAAGGTGAGAAATAATATATTTCTGTAATTTGGCACAATAATTTTTATGGAAAAATATTTTGCAATTTTGGAACGGACAGAACTCTTCAGTAGTCACGGATCCAGTGGCGAAATAAAAAATGTGTCACCAAGGCGAGAAGATTTTCCGATTGTGTTATCATGCACAAGTTCAAGTCCAAACGGATGGAAAATAAATTTGAGTGGAGACGAGAACCAATTGGTATGCAAGTTACATAAAATCAGTGTAAATAAATAAAATGTAAATGAAGTCATAATTGAAATTTTGAGGATTATGAAAGTCCATTTGTCTTACAGAAAAATAGGGACATTAAGAGATCAACCATTTCAGATGATATAAATGGGACCCTGTACATTTCAAGGCTCACTCTGCCAAATTACACTACTTCCATTGTGGGTCGTTATGTCTGCTCATGCAACCAAAATTTAGACCGGATGGGAATACAACTTTTTCTTCAACGTACTTAACAATTTTGAAAATGAAATAATACAAAAGATAAATATATAAAGTTAATTTTGAACAACTTGAATTAAGCCGATAATCCCGACGTGTCACTGTATCTACAACCCGGATCTAGTCATGTTGTCCATCCTGTCGTGGGTGATGATGCAATTGTGCTCCCATGTCCGGTCTCCTCAGTATCGTCGGATCTCTACGTGGAGAAAATAGGGGTAAAAATACAATCAAAATTCATTTGTGATAACCAAATGGATCCTAACTTTCTAGACGTTTTACTCATCACGAGTCGACATTCCATATAATGCATCCCTCAACGGATTCGTTATTCGACCTGCCACCGGAAGTTATAAAGATCTCAACAAACATTTGGGACGTTACACCTGTTCGCAGATCCGTTTCGGGTTAGAAGCCACCATATCGGTTGAAATTACTTCTCCAATTGGTATATAAAAGAAATTTTGAAATTTTCGAGGACTTGAATTTACAGTACAAATTTGTACATATATTTTTTTGTAATGTTAGAATATGACATCCAACCAGCGTCGGAACAAATAATTGTGGAGGGATCGGAAACTATGACTGTTTCCTGTGGGGGAAATGCTCCCCTGAAACTTAGTTTATACAGTGGAGGTGAAAAAGCGCTCAATGTCACGTATTTCTATAATGGGCACGGCGATCGTTTCAGATTTAGGGGTGTGGCCTCCTACATTCCGCAAAAGAATGAGCAGGATGGAATATCTTGTACGACGGAGGGAAATGGGAAGTCAATTCATCTTTGGAAATTCGTGGCGACCGGTGAGTTTCAATTTTTGGGTGGAAATTCTAATAACAATTTATTTACATATATATGCAGGAAATTTTTAAAATTGCGATTCGATGCATACATATGTTGCAAATTTTCACCATTGTGTGATAGTCGCAAAATAAAATGAAAATTTTTAAATCCGTACAGATTACCAAGTGAAGCAAAGAATATCCTCCGACCGGAAACAAATTGAGTGCATGATATCTCCCAAAAGTAAAAATGCTGTCAAACCCTCCCTAAAATTATCTTATTGTCGGAATCACGACGAATGTTTGCTGTTCAATGAAACTGAGAATCACAACGATGCTGGAAACTTTACTATTTCATCGTGTGGAGAAGGATGCACTTCTTCTACAGTTATGAAAGTCGGTGGTTTTTGGGCGACGTGTTCCGATGGGGGTGATATCGTCAAAAAATCGCTATATTACTCAGATTTAAACCTTAATTTGTGTAAGTTTTAATTCATTAAACACACATAATTTCTGGTAAATATAACATCGTATTACTTTTACAGATAGTATGGATGAACCAAGTAAAGAAAGCCGTATGGCAGAAATTAATGGAGAATCGGAGAGCTCAGTATCTGTGAGATGGAGTCGGTTTTTCTTGCCAGAAAATGGAGAGTGGTCAATCCCAACAGATTTTGCCTGGGAAGGTAATGCATACATAAATATTGCCACATATCTAACGATAAGTAATTTTAAAATTCTGTAATTTATGAAGCAACATTTTTCTCCTTCAGAAACTCATCGCGAAGAACAAGACGGTAGTCTAAGTTCGACAATAACCATCCAACCCACTGGTCAAACCGGGTATAACGTGTCGTGGTCAGCTCTTGCATGGAATTCGGATAAATTTTCCAAAAACGACAAAGGATCGATTCAATTAAGACATGAATTCGTTCCGGAACAAGCAGAAAAACAAGTCCCTGGTGACAATATTGTCCACTGTCCTCCCCCCGAGTGTAAGTGTCCTCCAGTGTCCTGTCATGAGGTCAATGGTAAATTGCCAAATATATGCGATTATAAAATTGAGTCCAAATTTTAGAGACTAAATCTAAATTAATTGGTTCCCAGTATCAGGACAAGGTTCCGTATTGGCTTATCAAATTGCTGTCACCTTTTTTGCGGCCGGATTTATCTTTCTGCTGATATCTAAACGTTCTAAAGAGACAGAATCCCCAGAGATGAATAATGACGACTTGTTCAACACAGTCATTTCAACCCTTGACGTCAAAGATATCTTCCCCGATGCTATCCCGGAACAAGTACATCTAGCCGTCGCTCACCTTCAAGATAAAGAGGCGGAGCTGAAAGAGCTCCTGCACAAAAAATACGCCAAAGTCTTCACCGGGGATTACGACGAGCCGGCGATGCTATTAAGAATGCATATACGTTGAAAAAATCTCATAACTAAAAGACAGAGACGACGGTTGCGTCTCCTTGTGTGCCGAGAGATTTATTGCTAATGAGGGGGGGGGGGGGGGGGCGGGGCGAAGAGAGCAGCTGATTTTCATGTAAACAATGCAGGCAGTTGCATGTAAAAAGTTGCTTTGGGTTTTGAGAGTGACCGTTCCCACTCTCCAAACGGGGCATCGCGAACCAGAAAAGGAGAAAAATTTCGACTAAAACTTCTAATTTGCAGCTAATACAAAATGGATTGATTTCGTTTTGGTGGCAATAAATTCCCAAGTTTGTGCTTTACAATTGCCATGTTGCATAAATTCCATAATAAATCTCAGAGAAAAGTATTGAACTGAAACATGGACTCATATTATGTTTCAGTCCAATACTTTTCACCGAGATTTATTATGGAATTTATGCAACATGGCAATTGTAAAGCACAAACTTGGGAATTTATTGCCACCAAAACGAAATCAATCCATTTTGTATTAGCTGCAAATTAGAAGTCTTAGTGACAAAAATCATTTACATTACTGGTAAGTGGCGAGGAGAAAAAGTCAACTCGCTCACTAGGATGCCCAGACTGCTCCCTAACTCAAACTTTAATGCTTGCCCTCGTCTTTGCCTCCGATGTGGCGGCTTCGTACAAAAATGATAACTCTGGCGAGGGTGCGACGCCAGGGGAATTCGGCACGGCCTATCTGGGCATCGCCTCCTCCTTAATTATCCTCGTGTCACACGTGGATAATTTCTATAAACACTACAAGCTTGGAGTAGATGCCATAATTGGCGTTGTCTTTGGACTGCATAGGCTAGTAATTTCGATCCGAGAAGGATGGCAAGGTTCCACACATATCACGCTCGACCACTGGATGTTTTCAGTTTATGTCGTGTCGATCTTTTTCGTGGGTAAGAAATATGTCGGGCACGCTGCCGCGGTAATGGTTTATTTAAATTTGGTAGTCAATTGTTTAATATTGGAGATTCATTATCCTATCCCACTTATGGGAATTGTGTTGATTTTAATGAGAGGAAATTTTGGAAGGCCAAACAAGTTTTTGAAAAATTACCAACCCCTGCTGTTCGGCGCGGTAGGGGTTTTTATGGCCGTGCTGTTTGGATATATGATGATTAAGTCGGGAAAGTGGGAGGTGCATAGAAAATAAGGGATGAGTCGGATGTGAAGTCGATAAATAGGATTATTTTTTAGTGAATAAAACAATGGTTTAAACGTAGTCTGGAGGAACTTGTTGATTTATTGTGCTTATCAGGTATGCTGGATTGTATTGTATGATACGGTCGCATATGTAGGATCGGTGGAATGGATAATTCAACCATTCTCGGAATCTATGTACCCAAAAATGAATGCATTTATGTACAGTGTATAAAAATTCAATTCATACCCGTTTACGTTTTCACTCTCTTTACTGCCACTGCAAAAATGGTTATAGATTCATGAAATTTTGTTAGTTTTTCAAAGTACGTGGTAATATAATATTCTGAATTCAGCGCAATGTAAGTAGTACACAAATGGGGATTTAAAGTAAATTTCTGAAATTTTACCTTTTATACAGATTTTCTAAAATTGTTACATTTAGACAGTTCGAAAATTGTCGAAATCGGCATATTTAGGTCGGCTAGATACTTCATCCTTGACAAGGGTACAGATGAACATTACTTTGCTATGGATTCGATACGAGATACAAAATTCAAATTTTTATCTTGGGCTAGATTGACCTGAAAATCTCAATAAGATACACTTCCCACGTTCTCATAAATTACGTCGAAAACACTGCAGACCATTTTTGAACTCATAATAAGAAAATGTTAAAAACTCCATGGGGTTTGAAATGAATTTGTCTACACTGTATTATTTATACGATTGGTGTTTGATTATGGGATTTGATGGTTAGTAGTTGTCCACGTATTTTTCAACATGCATGTAAGTCAGGCGTTCATTTTCACCCTCGTCTGGATACAAACTTGCATATGTACGTATATATCTTATGTATGCATAGTTATGTATGTATTTGTTGCCTTATTTCCACATTAACATGACCAGTTTATTTACATGTACGTTTAAGTTAAACGGTTTAACTACGTTTAACTTTACCATAATCATCACACACATACATATGTACATACTTCACTCGTATGTAATACTCCAGAATATGTAAACTTATCCTGAGTTAACAACATCGCTCATTCGTTCCAATATTCATAACCGACAAGTGATCCGACTTCTCTCGTGTCGTTGTGGGAAATATTTATAATGAAATTGTTTTCAGTCTTTGTTGTATCTCTTAATTTAGTAAATTTTGTGATATCAGACTCTGTAATTAAGCTGTACGATAAGGATGGGAAGGGTGAGAAACAATATATTTACATATGTAATTTTGCACAATAATTTTTATGGAAAAATATTTTGCAATTTTCGAACGGACAGAACTCTTCACTAGTCAAGGATCCGGTGGCGAAGTGTCACCAAGACGGGAAGATTTTCCGATTGTGTTATCATGCACAAGTTCAAGTCCAAACGGGTGGAAAATAAATTTGAGTGGGGATGAGAACCAATTGGTACATAAACAAGTCAATTTTTTAAATAAATGCAAATAAAGAAAATGTAAATGAAGTCATAATTGGAATTTGAAGATTACGAAAATGCCTTTGTCTTACAGAAAAATGGGGACATTAAGAGATCAACCATTTCAGATGATACAAATGGAATTCTATTCACGTCACGGCTAACTCTGCCAAATTACACAAATTCCATCGTAGGTCGTTACGCTTGCTCATCTAATCATAATTCGGACCGGATCGGAATACAACTTTTTCTTCAACGTATATAACGATTTTTTATTATAAAATGAATCAGATTGCATACAAAAAGTACATAAATTTCATTGTGAATATGTAACTTGAATTAAGCCGATAATCCCGACGTGTCACTATATCTGCGACCCGGATCTAGTCATGTTGTCCAACCTATTGTGGGTGATGATGCAATTGTGCTCCCATGTCCGGTCTCCTCGATATCATCGGATCTCTTCGTGGAAAAAATGAGGGTAAAAATTCATATGTGACCAGATTCATTGGTGAAAATAAATCATGTACTCTTAATTTGTAGATGTTTACCTCGTCACGTGTCGACATTCCGTACGACGCGTCCCGCAACGGATTCGTAATCCGACCTGCCACCGGAAGATATACAGATCTCATAAAATATGTGGGTAGTTTCACCTGCTCGCAGATCGGGTTCGGGTCAGAAGACGCCATAGCGGTCGAAATTAGTTCTCCAATTGGTACATATATAAAACACGTTTTGATATATCCAAAAATTTGTGGTTTTTAAAACACAAATTTTTACATACCAAATTTTTCAATGGTAGGATATGAGGTTCACCCAGCATCCGAACAAATGATTGTGGAGGGATTGGAAACTATGACGGTTTCCTGTGGGGCAAATTTTCCCTTCAAACTTAGTTTGTATAATGGAAGGGAGAAAGCGCTTAACGTCACGTATTTCTATAATGGGATCGGAGATCGTTTCAGATTCAGAGGGTTGGCCTCCTACATTCCGGAAAAGGATGAAGAGGATGAAATATCCTGTGCGACGGAGGGAAATGGGCGGTCAGTTCACGCTTGGAAATTCGTGGCGAAAGGTAAGTTTTTATTTAGGGACGGAAATTCTAGTCAAAATCATGTAAAGCATCAACTTTGCAAATAAAATAATTAATTTTATTAGCAACATGTCGCAAATTTTTATCATTTAGGCGTAAAATAAAATGTAAACTTGTATCCTACACAGATTATCAAGTGAAGCAAAGGATATCTTCAGACCGGAAACGAATTGAGTGCATGATATCTCCCAAAAGTAAAGATGATGTCAAACCCTCCCTAAAATTATCGTATTGTCGGAATCACGACGAATGTTTGCTGTTCAATCAAACTGAAATTCACAACGATGCTGGAAACTTTATTATCTCATCGTGTGGGGAAGGATGCATTTCTGCTACATTTAATAAAGTTGGTGGTTTTTGGGCGACCTGCTCGGATGGGGGTGATATCGTCAAAAAGGCACTATTTTACTCGGATATAAACCTTAACTTATGTAAGTTTTAAGCCATTGAATATATTGATGCCATTAATGACCGCCTTAGTAACAGTAAATTTGTACGTTTACATTACCAATATTTCCAAGAAAATATTTAAATGGAAAATTAGCCTACAAATTTTTCCAAATTTACTAAATAACTGTAAGATCAAGGGCGTCTTTTTAAGTTTGTAAAATTATTTTACAAAATTTGAGAATTTTACAAAATTACCAATAACTGTCGAAATGCAACATCTTGTTATTTTTACAGATAGTATTGAGGAGCCTGTTGAAGAAAGCGGTATGGCAGAAATTAATGGCAAATCGGAGAGTTCAGTGTCTGTGAGATGGAGTCGGTTTTTCTTGCCAGAAAATGGAGAGTGGGCAATGCCAAAAGATTTTGCATGGGATGGTACGTATTACTAAATAATTGCCTATCTGACTTTAAAATTCTGTAATTTATGAAGCAGCATTTTCCTCCCTCAGAAACTAATCGCGAAGAACAAGACGGTAGTCTAAGTTCGACAATTACCATCCAACCAAATGGTCAAGCCGGGTATAACGTGTCGTGGTCAGCTTTTGGCTGGAATTTGAATAAATTTTCCAAAAACGACAAAGGATTGATTCAATTAAGCCATGAATTCGTTCCAAAACAAGCAGAAAAACAAGTCCCTGAGGATAATGTTGTCCACTGTCCTCCCCCCGAGCGTCTTCCAATATCATGTCCTGAAACCTATGATAAATTGCCAATTTGGTTCACAGTTTTAGGCCCAGATTCCGTATGGATTTATCCAATTGCTCTAACATTTTTTGCGGCCGGATTTATCGTTCTACTTGTGTCCAAACTTTTTGAAAATAAATCATTTCCTGAAGATGCGCACCTTCGAAATGGGGTGGAGAAAGTTTATCAAGAGAGGACAGGAAGTGACACGGATTTTACGCCACAGGAAACTGATTTAATTGATACGAGTTATCACAATGGAACTACAGATGACAACTCGTCCACGTCAACTCCTACATTCAGCAGACAGTCAACTTTTCAACAAAATCCCCGTTCCAGCCAAAATATCGTGTCCCCATCGCAGTCCCAGATGTCACAAGATGTGCAAATGTTCCATCACGAAGTTAGCGATCAAAGTAACACTAACTTTACCAGGCAACATTTGCCTTCTACAGATTTGGAATCAGAAAAATTACCACCTCCAACGGCAAACGCCAGTAATGGGTAAGATCATGTACATACTTATCTTCCGTGATTATGCGTTTTCCATGTTGCGATTACATGCAATATACAAAATTTTTATTGATGTCATTCTCCTGTCAGAATAGGGACAAATTTGCGTCCAGTCGATTCACTTCAAAAAGAAAGAGCCCTCCGCACCCCAAGGAAGGAGTTAGGAAAAAGCAAGTCGCTGCCGTAGCAAGGGGGAGGAGGAAACGTTCCCAATGTAAAAAAGAAGACCACCACGGCGAAGAAGAAGGTGTCACCGAAAGTAAAAAGTTTAAGCGTGCCGATGAAAGCTAAGATTAAAAAAATGATTCAATTATTCTTACTTATTTTTGTACAATTCAATTCAATACGAAATTTTTACTTACTTTGAGTACTTTTACATCTAGCGACAGTATGTATACATGCCACTAGCAAATGTAAATATGTAAAAAACAAAAAAAAATATGAATCACATTATTTTTATTTTTTGAACGAATTCTTATACTGGTTTTCTTTAATTTATGTTAAATTTACAAATGTGGGATATATCATTTTTGTGGCGAATCTGAAATGTGTAAATTGCGAGCTAAAATATTTATTTATGGGACTAAATTTATTGGTACGATTTTTGGTGGAAATTTATCCACATACATAATACGTGAGATAAACACATATATTTAATGGTGCTATTAATACCGTATTTGCATATCTGTACAATGCGAATGTGATTATCCAAGACACACAAATACAGGATATTGACAACGTTACATTAGAAAATTAAACTAAATACGATTTATATACACATTTAATTTATTTCGTAAGACGTAAAACTTTTTCTGTTTGTTGTACAAATGTATGTGGAGTATGTACTTTTCGTACGGATGTATTTATACATATATGCAGGTGGGAATTGTTGTCGGACTCGAATTTTAATATTACCAAATTTATGGGGGTGGGGCAAATGTATTTTTAAAGGAGGATGTTAAAGACATAATCCAGGTATTTATTTGTTGCTCGTACAAGAGAGATTTTGACTGTCGTTTTTATGTATTCATAATTCTTGTCATTATAAGATAAGTATAGTATTGAATGCAAAATTAATGAACTGAAGTACACCCAGAATTAAACGAATACTATTGACTATACTGCAAAATTGTCACTATAATACACGTGTCTGGCTGATGATTTACGTATGCGCAAATATATAGGTGCATAATTGCATGCATTATTAATTGTGTCCACGTACATACATACCTATGTACTTAAACTTACCCCTTAATTTTCCAACAACTTTTCATAAATTTCACATATTTCTGTAATTTATTTATTTCCGTGCGTATTACCGTCTCAAAATTTTCTGAATTCAATGGTGCATATATAAATATTAATTGGATTTGTACTGTTTTGTGTTAATGATTATCCGTAGTTACAAATACTTCATCATGTCCATATGCATTAAGTACTTATTATTTATACATGCCTACTTGAAATACGCATTTGCATGAGTATACATGAATTTTGTTTTGAGCATACCAATATGAACAACTGGTCTTCAGTCGGCTACATCTAAATATGCTTGTGCTACAGATGCAAAGATAGTTGTATTGACTTCATAGAAATAAACAGGTAAAGAAAAGAAATTTATAAATTTAGATTTTCAGAAAGTTCGGAATTTTAATATATATTTAGATGGTATCCGTATTAGCGACCATATCCCAACCAGGGAGATTGAAAATTTCCACCTATACAAGATTGAAACTAGTAAAGATTTCTAGATATTACTTTCGATAAAAGTTTAGGAGTTAGTTGGTCGACTTACCCCATGAAGGGGCTGGTGCTGGGACAAATCCGGGGATGGGGGCCCTCGTGGTTGTAGTGGTCTCTGGGGCAAGGGTTGTCTCTGGTTCAGAGGTTGTCCCTGGGTCAAGCGTTGTTTCCTGTGCACATGCGCCAAGCACCATACAAGCTAATGCCAAGGTGGGAAAGAGGAACTTCATTTTCTTAGTGAGATTTCTTGACTGATGTGAGTCTTCTATGTAGTTGGGAAATGATCTTCGGAGAATGTGATGATAAACGTGAAATTATTTTGCTTTTATACCCGAGGATATCTCACTAGAAATTTTGTCGTATAATCAGTTCCATCATATTCAATTCGGTGAAGCCATTTTCAATTGAGGTTTGCACAGTTGGTTCCATAGTTCTTGCCACAAAAATTATTTCAGCCTTTCTTGGAATTGTATTGTGTGCAAGCCATTTATAGACATGCCCGCGACATTTTATTTGTGGGATACATGTGTCAACCTTGACAATGATTCTAAACCAAATAATTTTTTAAAGTAATAAATGCAAAATTGATTTAAACATACTTGTGTACATATTTACATAAGTCGCAACTATATACATATTTATGCTAGTAAAAAAATTGACGCAATGATTTTTCTCTAAAATATCTGTCTAATTTGATTCTATTTGATAACACTTTACTTATATCTGAACGACTGAATGGCTGAAAATAAGCACAACGTGCATTACATATACGTACAGATGTGTGTATAAGTTAAGTCAATCTTTATTCAAGTGTACTTAGATATCAGTTTGGAAAACTGGTTTGAAATTAGTTAATCTATTGCATTTTTTTACACATGTCTACATTTTTTACGTTTTACATATGCTGCATTTTTGCATATACATACTTAAGTATGTATATAACAGATTTTTTTATTACACATTTACCTACATTCCGCTAAATTCTTGACTTGCAATTGGTCACCGTGCTCCCTTCATTAAAATTTGTTTAAGATTCTGATACCACTTTTCCCATAATTCTACTTTTTGGAAGCATTGAAGTTGGAGATTTCACCACTCTTAGCATTTGGCATTCCCATCTCATCCGAATCTCTCACCTGGGCCATTACGATTATCAGAGTAATCAGGACAGACCAAATCTATCGATACAAAAAAGTTTGTCGACAATACTGAAAAAAATGCTGACATGGTTTCCTTACAGATAACACGAAGCTCCGATTCAGGGTGAAAAAATTTCCTGGACTTATACTTAATTTGCAATTGATCACCTTCCGGTTAAGAAATTTTAGCTAAAAATATGTAAAAAACGTTATACGTATTCATGAGTAATTTTCATAATACATATTGCTTACTAAATAAATAATTGATTAACCTTTTTCGTCCCAACTTTCCCCAAATTGTTCACGTCGCATAACCGTTTAATCAGCAGAATCCGATTTTGTTCCAAATTCTCGCCCTCGTCTCCATACGTGTACAAAGTCCTCATCGTCATACCGGCTGCAAACATGTTGGTCAACATGCTCCCAATCTCCGCCATTTTATAGGAAACTATGGAAAAATATATACAGCCCAAGATCCAAATGATGCAAATCCAAACCTCGCCCACCAAGCGGACACTTAATTTTTCGTTAAAATAATCCACCAATCCCGATATGACGTCATATGCCCGAGTGACCTCCTCAATCTTGTCAAGAGTTACGAAATCATGTGCATAGTTGCCCGCGGCCGCATCGTTACTTTTGGCAATTTTCTCCACTTCCTTGATGACACATTTTAACACGAGGTTGTAAATCTTAACAAAAAATGTGATCCAATTGCTGAGAAGGATGTGTGAATATGTGAGGTAAATCCAGAACACGAGGCCCCAAAATAAGGCGAAATTTTCTGTCTGCATAATTTTAAACACGGAGGTTTTGCTCGGGAAGCCAAACACCTTTGTAAGGATTAGGTCGCCGAAGAGAGTTGTCGAAATTGGTAAATGCAGGAAGAAAATGGTCCAGCAAAACTGAACCCGGACTTGTTTTCGGAACAAATTCGTGAATTCTGGATGACTCCATATGTTTGCAATTTTTTGTAACTGATGGCAATGCATTTGCCAAAATGCGAGGGTACGTCGAACAGTAAAATATCCATAGATCCGGTTTCCCATTGTGTTAGTTAGGGAAAGAAAAGATATTACGGAAACTATGACCAAGTCGGTGGAAAGTTTGTTGTATTGATCGAACGCATCAGTTTGTTGGTCAGGTGCAATGACGAGGTACGAAAATGCGGAAAACAAGACGAGAAGGACAAGTTGCGAGAGGACGGAGGTTCTGAGCCAGCGAAATTGTAAGGATTTTGTGTAGCGTGGGGTGGATTTAATTTTTGAAGGGGTTTGTACTGGGGTTTGCGTGATGGTTAGTGGGACGTACCCGATGATCTGGACGCCGAGGAGGGGGTATTTTAGTAAGGTGAGGAGTAAATCCTCGACAGAAGTTAAGTCCATGGCTATAAAGTAGTTTTTGAGAAGGTAGTATACATAAATTGTGAAATTGTGGACGATTGACTAATCATAAATAAGTAGATAAGTAGAAATGTAGATAATAAGCTATGTAATCTCATTAGCTTTAGTGGTTAAGTGGAATCAATTAATTGATATTTGCAACATTTCACGTGACTAATTAGCAAATTATTAAGTAGCGATCGCTACGTTGATGTTCATGGCAAGAATTTTGTGTACGATCGTATGTATGCATCTATTTTCTGATCCTGAGTTTATTTTTTATCATTTGAGACAGTTATTACTATAAAATGTACTTCTTTAAGTAGCTTTGTCTTCCTAATGCAACTATTAATAACAAATATGGCATGACGTTAGTATGAACTTCTGGGAGACAAAGTAATTTATAATGATGCATTTATACATATAAGCGATAAATATCTTTAGTATTTACATAATTTACTTAATACTTAATTTGATTTTTATTCAGGTTTCATGAGATTAAAGTTGTACATAGTTTTTGTAAATTTGAGCAAAGTAGTTAATTGAATATTTGCAGGTATAACGTGCACATACATATAACGTTCTGTTGTCACCAAATAGTTGTAACCAGGCATTGCATAGTGTACATATTAATCAATTCGTTAGTTATTTATTTCTGTGGTTATGCAACTTAAAGCTCACATTGAGGTCGGATTGCTGTGCTAGATTGTAAATACTAGAATTATTTTCCGTCTCCATCTTCCAGCATTGTCCAGCAGCCACTGTCCTCACTGGACAAAGATTGTGCATCCCAATCCAACGAGTATTGTGACGAGCTGATCGATCTCGTCACCTCCAAACCGTACGCCAAGGAAATGTCGTCACCACCAGATTGCAATTCTGCAGATGCTCCTTCATCTGCGGCTGCTGTGCCGATGTGAATTTCCGTCTCGATCTTTGAACTGGCCAACTTTGAGATGGTAAACTGCAAGAATTAATTAAATCTGCAAAGTCTCGTTCACACTTTTATAAAAAAAATCTCCTGCAAATTTTATTCATGCTACATTGGGAGCTACCAATTCGCAAAAAAACGAAGTTCACAAGTTCGCAAAAACAATTGGCTTGAAAATTCATATGCGAATCTCCAAAGTAATTCACAATGTTTTATTTAAAATACTCGTAATGAGTATCCTCATTGTGCCAAGTTTTAGGTGCACATAAATAATTATGCAATATTGCAAATATTGAACATTTTGATTTCTTAATTTTACCTGCAGGATATAATTCACCGTGAAATTAGGACACCCCTCCACGCTGCGGTGGCTTTATGGGGCAGTTTCCAACAATTCCCCAGACCTCGTTCTGCATATATTTTTATATATTCTTCCGTCCTGAGGGCTGGAAGGACCGTCAGTAAAATTTCGTCGGACCACACCCCTTGGGGGGCGAAATGGCCCCCCGGTTGACCTTTGACATTAAAATTGGCTTAGGTTGTAGGTCAATGTGTGTGTAGTTTACCCTCCAAATTTGGAAGCATTTGGTCAACCACAACGCCGGGCGCCGTATGGCGACACTTGAAAAAACCCCCTTTTCGGCCCTTTTCAACGGCTTATAACTTCGCTACGTGGATCGATACAGCTTAGCGGTTAGGGGGATAACATGACACGTAATCTCGAGACTCATCCCCTGCAAGAAACTTAGATCTACTCTTGTCCAATTCGAAGTCACTGGCTTTTGAAGTTTGGAGTAATTAACCATGTCGACATGCCCACATTGTCGACACTTTTGTGTCGACATGATAAAAAATATGTGGGATAGTATCCATATGTATAAGTTGTTGGCAGCACATATTTTAGATCGTATCGACACAAAAGTGTCGACAATGTGGGCATGTCGACATGGTTAATTACTCCAAAATTCAAAAGCCAATGACTTCGAATGGGACAAGAGTAGATCTAAGTTTCTTGCAGGGGATGAGTCTCGAGATTACGTGTCATGTTATCCCCCTAACCGCTAAGCTGTATCGATCCACGTAGCGAAGTTATAAGCCGTTGAAAAGGGCCGAAAAGGGGGTTTTTTCAAGTGTCGCCATACGGCGCCCGGCGTTGTGGTTGACCAAATGCTTCCAAATTTGGAGGGTAAACTACACACACATTGACCTACAACCTAAGCCAATTTTAATGTCAAAGGTCAACCGGGGGGCCATTTCGCCCCCCAAGGGGTGTGGTCCGACGAAATTTTACTGACGGTCCTTCCAGCCCTCAGGACGGAAGAATATATAAAAATATATGCAGAACGAGGTCTGGGGAATTGTTGGAAACTGCCCCATAAGGCCACCGCTGCGTGCCCTCTCTTCCCAAGCCTGTCGGCACTACGTACGGTATCTCCATCACCCCCCTCCATTCCGACTTCCCCTCTGGAAATGATTCACTTTCTCCTTGCCACACGACATGCGCCTCACTCGTCCGCATGTGCCGTCCTCTCATCCGAGACGTAAATTTGTAGCCGATATTCTGCTGCAAGGCCCCCTTCACAGTCAGCGGGAGTGTCCCCCCGTTCCACACTTCGACCCGAAATGGGACCCTGTCACCCGGGACGGCACACCCCGTTTTGAGACAAACCCGCATTTTGACCACCTCGTTCGACGGGGTGACAGAGTTGCTGATTTTCTTAATGGGTTCGGAAAATTCGGCCTTTTCTTTTTCCACGTTGCCAATAATGACAATGTCCCGTTTTAGGATGAAGGTCTCCTTGCGCCCGTACTGCGACTGGGAGCGTGCAGTTAGCATGAGGCCGTACCAGGAGTAGGCGTTGTGCACGACGAAAGATGACCACAAGTCGAGAGAGAGGGGGAGTGAGAAGGAAATTTTGGTGGGGGTGTCGGCAGGGAGGAAAGTTCCGTCGGCTGGAAATCGGATTTTTATTTCACATCTGAATTATTTGCATACAAATTGCAATGTGTTTTTCGCATACCTGGACTTTTTTGGAGGCTCCAAGATCCACATGGAGTGGAATGAATTGTATCTAAAAAATGGTTTAAACTTGTCGCTTTTCCTTTCCCCACTTGTTCTGGGACAAAGACGTAGTCCGTTGTTCGAATCAGTGTCAGTTTAACGTCTAAAATTAATTTCTTTATAAAAAATTCATATGATTATTTTGAGAGAATAAGATGTGGCCAATCAATTACCATACAACTTGTTCCCTTTTGACTCCCCGTTGAACATCAGATTCCCAGTAATGTTCTCTCCTGCTTTGTAAATTAGCACGTTCTGGTCAAAATTGACCCCCAGTAGGCTGCTCTTTACTGACATTGCTGTCTCCCTGGGAAAATAGCGTAATACTGTTTTGTAAATTTGTGCCGGTAAGAATTAGATGGAAATTTGCAGCAGTCAAGAAGAAATATGTATGTTTTATGACCGGCCAGGTGAAAGTCAGCCAGAGCATTGGCATTGTGTTTGTTGGCGTAGCAAGTCCCACTTTCTTCTTGGGCACTCATTATATAGTACGTTTACGTGCTAGAACTACAAAACTTCTCCTTCTGTCCTCTATGTATATTCTTTTACGTGGTAAAAGTGGTTAAGTTGCTCGACTCATGAAGTCTCATAATTTTCTGCACAGCAATGAAAGTGCACAAGGATGACCCTCGAGTAACAAATGTATTCGATATTTTGCATGTATGTACATACGATTTCGTTTCATCAATTTATATACATCTCTGGGTAAAATTAATCAACATCTGTTCGAAATTGCAGATATGTATGTATTTGTCACATTTGCGTTAACAAGACAAGGTTCCCACGGTGAGCAACAGAAAAGTTTCTTTGGTGACCGATGGCATCCGACCATCTCTCCGACTTTAATACATGTCATGTATGCATAAACATTTGAACATACAACATACATGCAACATTATACCTTTGATAAATCATGATAGCTACCTGTAGTTAAACGTTTGAAGTCAAAATTATTCATTATTAATGGATTATGGATCGATTAACCTTGAGGTAACTTTTACCACTTACTACTTACATAGATAAATTTGGCTAGTTTCAATCAATGATCACATGCAATACTGGTACAGAGGGGTGGGACAGAAGAAGGAGCCATGTTACCTGAATTTATTGCGGCCTTATTTTTCGTTTGTGAAGTTTGGTAAATATTTCAATGTGAAGCCCTTTAGTTTGTCCAACGAGCCTCAGTCGCTTTTTCCAACCAGTCATGACATTTGACACCATTTTCAGAGTGATTCTGTACCACTCGTCCTGAACACTTTTCCAAAGTCCATCAAAACGCACGCGTTTTCCTTTCAAGAAGGCTCTGTTTTAAGTACTCGAATCCAAAAAAAACATCGGATTGATATCAGAGGAACTATCGAGAGTTTCTGTAGTAGGAATAATTGTTATACACAAACTTTTTTTAAAATCCTTCGCGTAGGCTGCTATTTTGTGAGAAATAAGTTGGTTGAGAGCATTATCTCGGGATTTCCTACGAGTCACTCGCTGTAGGTCATTGCGAATGACCCTAGAACCTGTTCTCCTACTAACGTTTAACATTTTCGCCATGTAACTTTTAGTTGGTGGATTTACCGTTTTGGCGAAAAAAATTGATTTTCTGGATCAACTTTTTGGTTCAGGCTGATCTTGGGTATCCTTTCCGTGGGTGGAGCTCTAACCGCTGTTGCCCTCCTCTTGATTCCAACGTTTTTAAGTACATTAGAAACGTACTTTCGATCGACGATAAATCCATTTGCAGCAAATTTTCCAACAATCGCTCTCTGGCTCAATATGTCTTTGGAAAACACTTTTATTAGTGCCTCGCACTCTGGGGGGTGCTGTAGGGGCATTTTTAACCACAGGGAAAATGTGAATAGTGCAAAATTTTCGTAAACAATCTGGGTATGACATATGCAAATTTTGAAAATGCCGCAAGTGTGTATCACACGCCACCCCCAAAATTCAAGTGGCTCCTTCTTCTGTCCCAACCCTCTGTATTACAAATACTTATTCTAAATTTTCTATTATACTGCTTAATACAAAAATATGCATGTATACATGGTATTAAAAAATATATATTGTTGGAAGCGGTGGTCAAAATTACCGTAGTCGGCAGTGGACAATGGAGTAAGCGTACCTTTAGTTAATATATAACAAAATTACCGATGTGTAACATGAGAATAGGATTAAGAAAAGAAAATTAAATTGTGATGTCCTACAGGGTCTGGCACTTTGGTGGATACGAATTTGACCTTGAATAACCCCGGAACGGTTTGTCGTAACGGTTCAAAATTTTGAACAGACGAGCATGTTATCCTCAAATAGTTGTGTGCAAAAATTCAACTCTCTACTTTCAAAAATGCCTCCCCCACAGCCCCCAGAAGCTGAGACAGTCAGTTCAACTTGTTCCAGAAAAAATCTCGCCCGTGTTTGCAAAAAATGTTATTTAAATTTTCTGTTCAGGAATAAGAGTGCGTTATTGGTGACAATTGACGAAGAACTATTTTCCCTACAAGTTACTAATTGGGTTCGAAGAGCTTAGTACACGACAAGTGCCGAAAAAAAATTCAAGAAATTTGGTGCTTTTCAGTGAGGAGAACTTTTTCAAACATTTTATGGTTGTGGGTGCAATGTCCGGTCGTGGTATCCTCCCACTTATCAAAGTCTCCCAAAAAGTGAACGTATCTGCAAAGTATGATGTGGACCGTGTTTTGAAACCACTTTTAGAATAACATTTTCCTAAATTACACGGTGAAAAAATAAATAAGGTGATTTTTCATAATGACTCAGCGACTTCGAAAACGACAACGTTGACTCAAGATATTGCAAACGACCTTGAACTTAGAATGGGGATAAAATCATTTCGAATAGTGAAATACCTGTAAAATGCCCTGACATAAGTCAAATAGACTTTTTTGGGTTCGAAGACTTGAAAATAAATTTTTTTTCTATGGAGACCAAATTTTTGAGACGGAGTTTGGAAAAAGTTAAAATGACTCTCTCAACTTCTGGGGGCTGTGGGGGAGGCATTTTTGAAAGTAGAGAGTTGAATTTTTGCACACAACTATTTGAGGATAACGTGCTCGTCTTGTCAAAATTTTGACCCGCTACGACAAACTGTTCCGGGGTTATTCAAGGTCAAATTCGTATCCACCAAAATGCCAAACCCTTCTGTACTTGGTCTTATCATCTTCATCCATTTGCTTTTCTTAATGGACATATCGGTAATATCTAAATTGTTCAACCAGAGTGGGAAAAACGAAGCATTTGTGCATGGTATTTATTTATTTAGTTTCGTACTTTCATGCTTCTATACATACATACAGGTACATTTGCATGCTAAGAGTTTGGTAAAGAGTTGTGCGAAGCGAATTGACTAGGAGGAAGAAATGACTCATCTAAAGCCCGTGTAGCATTTTGTTGTAAATAAACGTTCAATGAGTAACTATTTATGAAAGTAGGAAATACTTCCGACGCCATAAACCAAGACAATGGCACGAACCTCAACTATGGCCATCATTAATGTTATTAATACCCCTTTTTTTAGATTCCATAACTACATTTTAAAGCAACAAATATCATTTTCAATTTGAGAAGAGCATTGTTTTTTCGACTTCCAAAAAATTGTTAAAAATCCTGATTTCCTAATTGTGATGCAAGTTCAGCATGGGAAGCTTGAATAAGTTGTTCTTACAATCCACACCCATGTATTCCGACGAAGCCTCCTCAAATTTATAATTATTATATGACATGTTTATATTATAGTATTTTCATAGCTAAGCTACGCTACATACATATGTACACAAGGAGAACGAGATAAGAGCGTCTATCACCTACATGCATAAATACATACATACATGTGACATACATATGTAAATGATTGGGGGTGTGTGATATTTGAAAATATGCCAAAAATTTACAGGGGATAAATTAGTTTGTGTGAGACTATGAGATTAATTAGCCATTGGCTCATCATTTTATGCAAATTTGATATAATACGTTCTGCGAACAAATATTCCTGAGGTTAACATACCGTTTGCTTTGGCAGGACAAATATTAATAATGATGTCACGTCCTACATACATCGCCGGACTAAAACCATGCATGTCATGGTTATGAAAATTTGGTTTGTAGAACAAAAACGATTATTGTTACTGCAATTATATTTCCCAAAGGTTATTTCCAGAATTTTTGCGCAGTTTGCATGCCATGACGTATATACATACATACATATGTAGTCAAAATGTTTAAAAGTTTAATGATCATGATAATATGTACAGATTAACAGGGCATACTTAATGCCATAGCGAAATCTAAAATTTGCCTTGACCAGAAGATTTGTAATGTCAAATTGTTGATTTCTGACTCATTTCCCTAGATAAGTATTTATATTGCACTTACTTATTTATGCACATATTTACAAACTTGCCCTTCTGAATTTAAATTTTTTATATGTACAAGCATCAAAAATGGGCATTTACCTAGGTGCACATATTATACATATACATATTAGGTAGGTAGATATATCGATAAGCTCTTAATAATTCAAAATATTTGACCAATTTATATAAACGACAATCAAGAAATCAGTGCTTATACCTTTGAAGTTAGTTCTCATCGATGTGAAACTTGATAACTTTTGGTTTTATGTAAATCAAGTGCTTACCTTAACATTTCTTCCGAATTAACGTTTTAAGATAAGCAAGTTCCAAAGTTCATAAGACTAGAATGCGATTTGCATATATCGCAAATAAAATACATAATTAAGTATTTATCGGCAGCTTTTTTGATTCCATAATATAATTATCTAAATATCAAGAAAATCGACATGTACATAATTATACAACAAATTTAACAACTAAATAAAAAAACTTTCCCTTTCTGCAGGTAACCAGCATGTTAGTCAATCATATAACTAAGTACATAAATTCAGTACTATTAGGTTGCAGTTGTCGTACTAAATTTCGATTCTGTAGTGAATTTAAAAAGTTAGTCTACCAAGATTCCATTACTGGCTACAGCATGTCAGCTAAAAACATTGCTGTTGCATTCTCTGAGCACCACAAATTGTTTAAATTCTACTCGAAATCCCCCTTGCAATGGGTGAGTGAACGTGAAGTTATTGAATTCAAATCTTGGAGAAAAGAGAGATCTGTCCTGTATTGGCATATCAACTGCATACTGACAATTAGTGTGACTTACCAAGCTGGCTTTGCTTACGTTCTTTACCAGCAACTATTTCGCCCTGACCCATCAAGACATTTGTTCAAAGTTGTGATCATGTCGATGCTCGGGGTGCTAAATTGCTACGGATCAGTGATGCATCTAATGACAACTTTGTACGGGGATGGAGCGGCGATTGGATGGAACCAATTACATAAAATTGGAAGAGATCTTAAAGATTGGAAGGAGGATCATGGTGAGAAATGGAATTGTATTGGGCGTACTCACGACAATAATGTATTTCGTATCGCAACTCGTTTACGTAGAAAACTTGTGAAGAAAGAAATATTTTGAGGGG